ATTCACCCAAAACACGAGTACAATTATAATATACATACTTCGCATAGCGAGATCTGAATTGTTGTACTCTTATTGACACTGTAAAATCATTATGTTCATGTACATTAGTCATATTGACAACTTTTTCAAGTAGATCACAGTCGTCAAGAGTATTCATCATGTCTTCTACCAAGCACATACAACTCCATGCGAAAAGCAAACCAACATTCACGATCGCTTATACAATAATAATAGTGATTATGTACGAAATACCAAATCGTACTTTGCAAGTATTGAATCCAATAAAAACCAATAACAGAAACAGGATATTTAACGGAAGAGCTAAGCTTAGATATTTAACCTTACTATTCAAGTTGCTTTTGTCAGTATCCTTATCAAATTCGCTGTTGTTAGCGCCACCTTCGAAGTTGTGTCCACAAACATTCTTGATTTTTTCAGCAAGTGAGGTGTTCGTCTCAGCATCACAGTTTGTTGTTAAGCCGGCTGTTACAGTTTTCCCAGTATTTTCGTAGTTTGAACTCACATATGGTTCATTTGTTATCTCGTGAGAACTAGTATGAACTTTGCACATTTGGCTAGCTTTTCAAGCTATAGAGTTCGTGGACCGGTCCATTCCGAAAACGCTCGACATCATTTTGTACGTGAGATAAGCGTATAAGACAAGGAATCTTTGCAAAGCGGTCTTCGTAAAACGCAGCATTCTGTAAATTGTGTTGCTTAAGAAAAGCGAGCACCTGATAACACAAGTTGTGGCACTCTCGTCTCCAGTTTCCGCGATTTACGCAAGGAACGCCTGAAACCAGACCCCCATTTTGCTTTTCGGCTACCAATAACGGCTTGCATTTTAAGACTCGGGCTTTCCTACGGAAGCCCGAGTAATAAGGTAAACAGACAGACATCAGTAGCCATCCAGTTTAATAATCCGCCTACTCAAATACTTAGTATGAAAATTACTGACGTTAAACCATTAAGATCAGCAAACTGGTTCACCTTTAAATTTACTGTTTAAATTAAAGAAATGAAACATAGTATGTTGGCCTGCCAAACTTCGCCGGGAGACGCCGTCTTCCTGCCCTTAGAGCAGAACAAATTTTTGTCAGGCGTGAAATCTGACAGATTTGTCAATTTACACGTTATGATTTGAAGGAAAATGTCAATCAAGAAAGTTTGATCTCTACTTTTAGTCGGAGTATTTCAATCCGAAGTCCGCCGAAATTATTTCTTAGTTGCGCGGAAGATGGAAGATTCGTATCTCGGTATGCTGCATAACGATCCTTACTCAGAATACAACTATTACGGTTCCTAAGTTTACGTCCTAGCTGCATCTCCAGGGCCAATATGTATATTGTAAATGTCGTAATTGAAAATGTAAAGAGATAGCTAGCAAAACAATTCAATGAGGGACAAATAACAAAGTGTGATAGGTCTGATAGTATTTTTATGCTTGTATGGTTCTGAGAAGCTTTATCTTAGAAGTAAAATAAAGCGGCCAGTAGTTTTGTCGTGACTCGGTTTGTCTGAAATTGTTATCGGCCCAATGAAGCTGAAAGTTATGTTATGAATGTTTCTTACGTGTTGTGCCTCTTGGTGCTGCCGAGAGTTATTCGTTTCGGTCGACTTGTAAACGCCTTAGGTAAACCGCGTAAGGCATTGAAGCATAGAGGCAAATTTCCGGCTGTTTTCGAATATTCAGCGTATTTTAATATCTTTTCTAGATGCATTTATCAATTACGTTTGTTTAATATTGCCAATCAGCTGCTGACACGTCACACGCCTTTCGCGCCACTCCGTCAGATGAAGCCCTACCGATTCTCGCTCTACTGAAGTTCGTCGGGTAATGGAAACACTGAAAAATCCGTATCGCTTACAGAATGTGACGTTCAAACTTTCCTAGAAGGTGAAGAAAACAAAAGGAGAAAAGCTGCGGGAAAACAAAGATTACAGCTACATACTGGTAGTACTGGTCATAGGGATTGACTCGACTGATTTAGTGGAAAATACAAAACTTGCTTCTTCTGGCCCTCAATCAGTCTCCACAAAATGGCCACAGTGCAAGACTTTCTTGTTCTACTGGTTATCGTTCTTCTGTTGATGATCCTCCATTTCTTGATGGAAATAAACAGAGCTGTGCAGCATAGCGTAACCCGCGACAACAATGAGCGGCGTGCAGTAAGAAGACTGGAGTTCATAAGAAATGTGCAAGGAGGAAGACGGGAAAACGAAAATCTAAGCTTTCCGCCAAACAGGAATCGTCCCACAGAAAATGATGAACGTCAGGGCTAAAAAAGCAGGATAGGCTGTTTAAGAAGCTTTCCCTGCATCAGTTAGATAAGTTATTAAAATACATTAACAATTCCTATAAAACTAAGAAAACTGTTGTTAAAATTCATGACGCCAGTCTACGCCGCTTCTCTGACCTCTCACAAATCATAACGGCTGTGGCAGCGAGGACGTAACAAAGAAAAAGATCTAATGGGTAGAACAACGGTTCAGCACGTACGTTTTTTTAACTTAGTACATTTCTTAGCCGTCTTCTGGTAAACAACAACATGAAATCACCAAAATTTGCGTCGTCCGCGACGCCAAATTATTTGTACTTCCATTTGTAACTCAACGCTGCTTATAGACGTTAAGAATTGAATTGAATTTTGAAATCAAATGTTCCTTATACGCAGTTAGATAAGTTTTCAGAAACTTAATTTCACGAAAAGATCGAAGAAATTCATTTAAAGGTTTGTTCGCCTTATGTTCAGCCACTATTCAGTCGCCTTGAAAATTGAAGTATTCAGTAGAATGTCTACAGTGGGATCGAATTAATTACTATTGCTTCATCTGCTTGAGCAAAACTTCTCCAAACACTTCTCTCGTTAAATGTCTACAGCAAATTCCTCGACTTTCTGTTCATTTTCCCTGTGCAGGTCCTTGAAGACGAGCGAATCAAGGGAACTATTTGTTACGGTTCTTCGAAGCCGGAAAGGTGTATTTACGACAACTGAACTTTTTCGGTTGTATAGTAAAGAGCCTAGTTTGATCATTTTCAAAAGAAATAGTTAGAGCGGTGGCTAAACGAGATGAACAAAGCGTATCACTATTTTTATCTTTGTATGGTTCTGAGAGGCCTTATCTTAGAGATAAAAGAAAGGGGCGTGTAGTATTTTGTGTCTCAGTTTGTCTAAAATTGTTATCAGCCTGATGAAGCTTCAAAGTCATGTTTATATTTTTTATTATTATACAACTGCACGAAGTAGAGTACAATGAATGCGCGAATCAAGAACAAACATATACAGGTTTTTTTTAGTACAAAATAACCATCTGCCCAAATCTAGCGTGATACTTCGCCGAAAACGAGGAACTGCTTGTAGTCTAAGCACTTGCTATCTGTATCAAGAATGAGGCTTGTAATGCTTTATTTTCTTGCACTGTATCTGATAGCATGATCTTCCTAGTCAGGCTAGTATCACCTCACTCACTCTCTTTTAATCGCCAGTTTAACGCGTTATTATTTATCCTCGGTGAAAAAGATGAATTCATAATAACAAAGGCCAAGCGGGGAGGGGAGGAAAGTTTTTCATTTTTTGTCTATGACATGCATGCATAGTTATATTTGGAAAAGTGAAGCCGATCTATCTTTTGTCTGTAGGCAACTCGTCTCAATAGCTATTGTAGGCGATTGTAGGTCACTACGAATTGAATTTAGTTAGTAATCAAATTCACCCCTTCCTTTGGGAGATAGTTTCTGAGCTACGATTCTTTCCCAAGTTTTCGTCGCAATTCTTTTGACATCAAAAAGCAAAACTGTTCGGACATTTTGAAACTAGAAAACGTGTAGAGGTGTACGGAATGTATTTAACCATTTTGTCTTACACCTAAGATTAGAAAGCCTTTAGTAACATATACATGGCCGACATGGATGGCTTCACAAGATAGACAAATTACAAAGCTGTAGAATGATCTTTTGTAAGGTTCAGATAACCTCTTTTTCTGCCTTCACTTTAAATCTTAGAAAATAAAAAAGCTTGTGATTTTAAATCTCTTAGTTTGTCTGAAATTGTCCTCGTCGAAATTTATTTCAGATAACCGGTACTTAATAGTAGGGACGCCACAGAAACCGCACAAGAGGGTACACGTACACAAGAGTGCTTCTATGCCTGGCAGGCACAGGAACACACTTGTTTACATTTTTCTTCACGAAACTAGCATACTTCAGTTTCGTGGAAAAGTATTCGATTTGAGGAGTAAATCATTTCGAAAATTGGAAAAATCGACTCATACTTTGAAATATGTGAAATTTGCAGCTCCATGCGAGTGAAATTCTCCAAATATTCGCCATCGCAAACGGCCAACAGTCTGAGTGGCAAAACTACTAATGAGCCCATACATTAATATTGTTTTTGAAACTTCTAACTTTTAACATCGGGTGGCTGGGAAAATTTGTTTCGATGTAACAGGGTGAATGTCGCAGAGAAGGTTAAATATTCACTATATTTCGGTTATTTAGAACCCCATTTTTCGTAGCTTGAAAGGAGCGCTACCACAGCTACGTCGAGACAGCAGGAGATTGAAATGTCGAGAAATGGTGAGCTTGAACACGAAATATTATCGTCAGATACATTTAAGTGATTAAACACCTACGTTGCTTTTCTGATGTGATAAACGAGAACGAACCAGCGTTGATAATCGACTCAAAGCTGAACCCTTTCTTCTGCGACGATGAGTAGGTACAAATGGGTCGCTAAAGGAGCGATGCACAACTGATGGTACATCCAGTTTCTAATGGAGTTCTCGTGATCTTGCTTTTCCGGCAAGATTCTCCAAGGAGTTCGAGGAGAGAAGCGGCAGCTCCAAAACCTTTGGATTATTCTCAGACAAACCATCACTCGACCAAGGGATTTCCTCATGTTTTTCACCGCCTATTTCATCCTTCCTAAAAGCAACAGCTCGATAAAATAAATTTCCATCTTCGCTGACAACGAATTCTCTCCTTCGAAGAGTTATATTTTCAGACGTCGTAATTTGTTTATCTGATACGTTAACAAGTATGAAAATAGGCTGTACATACATAAATACAACTGAAAAGACTTAAATGAGTTATCTCATAACGATTAACGGCTAACTTTGTAAAATGTCAAGACCATTACGCGATGACGATTTCACAATAAACCTGACACGAGCAGAGACGTTCATCGGTATATTTCGTGGAAATACTAACAAAAACTTACAGTTTTCTCGAATCAACATTATCTTTATCCATTCATGATAAAACTGCGGCGGAAAAGCATTGATCTCTCTCCAAAACTGATCGTTGTTTCGGACGTTGAAACAATCTTTCGCCGCCATACATTTCTTTATGGCGAGTTGCAATGTTTGCCGCGTGGCGATCCCAGAAATCTTTGCGCAAGCACAAGGATCCGATTACTGGCAACTCGTTCATTGAAACGGAACTTGAAGATAATCAATCTTAAAGACCAAATAAGTTTTGACTCTGGTAGTGTTCCCTTCAAAAAAGGAAAAAAACTTAAAATACACTGATTATGCTGACAGAGCTACATTTATAAAAAAAGCCAAAATTATACGCGTATTTCTACATTATGCCAAAAATTATGCTAGCACAATCTATAAGGGCCTAACCACGAGCGAGCATGACTACGCGTATCACGAGTAACTAGCCTCGTTCCAAACCTATACCATTCTTGAATTTTAAATAGACGACGGAGTCAATTCCAAAGTCTTCAAGACACAGAACTTTCCAACTGAGAATAATGTAAAAGAAACAACAACTTTCTCCCTTGTTATGGACGTACGATCATTCAACAGTCATGGACTGTTCATTTTTCTGGCATAATTCACTCTGTGATAACACGAGTGCTGATACCGCAAACTTCTCGAGCGGCTCGTAATCCAGTTTCCATGGCAGTGTGGACAGTAGCACAGGCAGTCACACTCGTGGCTTCACCAGCGAAAAACAGGCGATCCCCCACAGGGCGCCCAAGCTCGTGGCGCAGGCCATACGCATGAACTGTTGGAGAGCTGTACCCCCCGCGAATGAAAGGATGTTTGGACCAATGGTAATAGATGTAATCCATGAATGAATCAGTAGCAGGGTGCGGGTTGGAGACAGTTCTATTGAAAAAGTTGAAACAGGTAACAGGAATGTCAAGAACCGCTAAACAAAAAACACCTATCTCCCTTTTACATCAACCCTTCTCATAATCCCCAAAAAGCACTTCAACAAAAATGGCGAATCACGTTTGACCCTCTTCCTCTTCAGATGTAAATATCTCTTCCCAGCACTATCTACCGTACAGTTCTTATAAGTTAAGCTCTGAGAATATGGCCTACATCAAACATTATTCCCGTACATTTTTTAACTGAAGTACTCATATTTTCAGAGGAAATTCCTCTTTGTGCAACTGAAAAGGATAACAACTTTCATAGTTATGGATGATTCACCCTCATAGAATGAAAGTACATGGTCCATCTAGCATTTTCGGATAATGCAGCTTCTTTTAATGCAGAAAAGAGAGTCAAAAATGGTTCATATTTAGACACATTTGTAAAGTTACAGCTTCCACCCCAACCATATTAAGTGCCTAACTTCTCGAATTCAACCTTAAATTTTGCCAGCAGACTGCGAAACCACTCGTAAGTAAACGGTGGGTGGTGGTTAAGATTTCGCACTCTATTTTATCTAATGTGAGCACTTTAAAGAGTGATCTCGTAGATTAATTTAGCTACTTGCAATGTTTGTACAATATAATCAAATTCATTAAACATTCATTCAAATTCAATAATTGTCTTCTGGTACAATTTTTGAAATCTGTGTGTGACTGTTCATGGAGCAAGTACAATTTTTTAATGTCACCATCAGACTTGCCAATGATGGTGAAATAATTTTGTTAAACTTAGAATTAAATGATAAACTCGAATTAATGTGCATGAATGTTTTATGCAAGGCCTCAATGAGATTTATAATCAAAATTCGGATTAAACTGTCATGAAAATTTCGTATCTACCTTCCGCAATGCTGAAGTTCCAGAAATGTCCCATTAATTTCCATTCTCTCTACCTACTTCTTTTGAAGGGTGGGGCACTTACTGAAATATGTGATCCAAATCTTGAAGAAACCCATCTAAAACTTCTTGTCCGCTGAGGTTAATTTTCGCCTCTGCGGGCTCAGCCGTTTGAAAGCCCGCGATCAGATGACACTTCTCAGCGCTCTCCGTAGAGTCACGTGTGTACATCCATATTTGGCTCACAAAGCCCCGTACTCTGTATAATAGGTTTAAGTTGTCCGGCCAGAATTGTGACTTGAAACGACAAACAATTTTCAGTGCCCCTCTCATTTCTATTCCGTCTATGGCTCTTTTTTTGCTCGCTGGCAAAGGCGGAATGAAGTTTATGTCACCATCTTTAAGAACTGTCAGTGGCACAGTAATAATCACATATTTGGCGGCTAGAGTTTGGCCGAGTTGATTCTTTAGACAAACATGTCCATCTGATTTCGACTCATGCTGCATTTCTATTTTATCCGTATCATTCTCACCTGCAAGAAACAGCATTTAAAGAATGGAAATTGCTCCCTCTTTGAACAAAGAGTTAAGAAAGATGGTGAAGTTTTGAGCTTAGTCTTTGCCCTACGCCTCACAAAAACATACAAGTACCCACCGGGAATCAAATCTCAGACATTGGGATTCCGTGCTCCGACGTTCTACCGCTGAGCTACAAAGACCCTAGGTTCATATATGACACCTGTCCTTCAAGTACTGCCGGGATTGGCTTTTTTTGAAAGTGTTATGTGAATAAATAGAATAAAAAAGCTGATAAATTTTGAGCTTGGTGAAGAAATAAAGGTGTTTTTCGTCTATGTGAGTAAATGTGAAGAACGGAACACGAAACTAAGAATTGCACCTTGCAAACCTTAAGAATTGAACCTTGCGAACATTAAGACCTAAACACTGCGAACATTTACGTTATTTTTTAATTAGAACCTACCATCAAACTGAATACTGATTATCTTATCAAAGGGCGTGTTTATTGACACACACGTAGCTTTTATATACCAGAATTGAGTTTAATCCTTCGAGAGAAATTGTTGTCTACGAGAACGGATAGTTTCTTTTTGACGAATTAGAACCTTGGAATATTTTAAATCTAATTATCGGAGGATATTGCCAAGAAAAACCTTAACAACCGTAAATAGCAGAAAGCTGATAAATTTTGAGCTTGGTGAAGAAATAAAGGTGTTTTGCGTCTTAGAAACGAAGAGAAGTTTTCAGTTGAGTGTCAAACGCATTCTAGGATTGCATTAGCTTTGCTAAACTTTGTCCTTTGATTGTTCTAGAAAATGTGCAACATCCTCTCAACCAATCAGTTGCAAAACTAAAACCAACCACGACTTGATCAATTCCATTTCCTGTGCTTCAATCAGTTTGCTCGCCATTACTATGACTTCTCACTGGCTCTTTGTGGTAAAGCACTTTTTTCTAAGTTTAAAGACACTACATAAACTTTACTCTGAAGATGACTTCCGCACAGGTTGTCGAAACGTCAGTCACCAACAACAGTTCTTTTCAGAACTACACTCACCCGGACGATCATACTATACGAACTACACTACATAAAATTGCTTCATTCGATTAATATCAGCTCTCATTGAAGGCGAGTGCATGGAATATATACCGTGTTATATAAAAGACATATAAATGTCTCTCAAACAACTTTACCTTTCCAATTAATCTCTGTCACTTGCCAACACAGTCGTTTCTCGACTTCAGAACACTTCTCTAAGAAATGTTCCACAAGCAGAGAATACGATCCCGCCAACCTGAAGAAAAAATTTGAAAAAGCAGTAAAATATACCTTGAAAAATAAATACCGAGGAAAATGAAATATACTGAAAATACCGTGAAAAGTTTATGAGATACGCAAACAATTAGATGTGTCCTTTATAATTCTCAGAAGAAGAGAGGAACGGGCAATAAAAGGCAGTAGGGGAGCGATTGTATTCTATAACAACAACCAACCTTCACATCTAATGAAATGGATTACAAAATTTGACCAAACATCCAACAAAGAAGGGAGGCAAAGGGGAGGATAGTAGTCATCGAAGTCCCAACCCAACCCCCCTCTAAATCCACCCAAGTTGGTAATAAGATCTGAGGAAACCAATCTTCAAGAGTCACCCTTTTTCAGTTTGAGTGGTTTTGCTTCGAAGCAAGTCTAAATTGTTAACATTTGGGTCATTTTGGGGTGCTTCTTTGCAAGGACGCGGTGAGCTTTGTCGTAAACCTGCCTGGTTATATTAAACCTGCATATGGGAGTAGATTCTTCAGTCAAACATTCAATTTTGTTACTTTTAAACATGAGCACAAGCAATTGACGTCACAAGTGGTACTGTATTCTTTAATCTTCCCCACATAAAGTGAAACCAGGGGTGAACATGAAAGCGACCTTCGCAGTAATGAACACTACTCGGGCTGTAGCGAAAATAAGGCCTAAAAAATTCAGGCCTGTACGGGGTGACAATAACTTTTTCCAAAAGCGGTCGCTGATATTGTAATGGGCAGCTGCGCTGTAACATAAATCCCAAATGAGAGAACGTGCTCGCAGGCTAAACAAATGGCGGTAAACGACCGGTAACTAGCTTCTATGGAAACCTCTGGTAGAACATAGAAAGACTGAGTTAAAATGATGGATTGACGAAGGGCAGTTCATTGCTTGTGGTAGAGATGGTGGAGTGAGACTTCGCTTAAACACCCATTCAAAAGCCCCTTTTCCTTCTCTAGAAATTTTGGATTAAAAGTTAAAACTGACCTGAAATTCCCATCACCATACGTCCAAGCATTTTCCTCACGTGCACACTCATACAGACCCATCTGGCTGGGTGCAGCAGCTACTGTTTGGCAATACATAGAATCAAACACCGCCATCACATCATCGTTACACTTCTGTCTCTTCAACCACTGTTGAATACTCATGTCTCTGCGACAGGAAAAGTACCAAAGAAACCAGTCTCTATAAGTCTAAAATTCACCTTCCGTTGTTTTAAAATGACGCATTAAAAAGTGCATGAGACGAATTAGCCTCTCTCGTTGTTAAGTTTGTTCCATTACCTGCTTATTAGTTTAGTAAATAAAGGGGTAAGTTTCTAAAGAACTGTGTTGCTACGTCGGTGGTAGAGTATAACAGGGTAATTTAGTATTTTTATCAACCGAGTTAATAACGTAAATTGGCCACCGTAAAGAGTTTATAAGCTGACATTTCGTGCGTTAGCCCTTCGTCGATCGCTCTGACGAAGGGCTAACTCTCGAAACGTCAGCTTTGAAACTCCTTACAGTGGCCAATTTATGCTATCAACTCAGTTGTTAAAACAAAATTACCCTACTAGACTAGTGATGTATTTTACTTTGCCAACCACTTACACCGCAGAGGTCAGATTTTGCAGCCATCTCTTCTCAGGGAAGAATGATACTCAACTAAATTGTCTAGGGGACTTACCTAAAATTCTCGGCATCATCTCCGGGATTCTGTCTACTGTCAATTTCTGATGCCTCTATTGATTCTGCTTGGGCAGAAGTTGCCTTGGATTCTAAATCAGGTTTAACAGAGTAACACTCTGCACTTCTGCCATTACCTTCACAGGAAACATTTTCTGCATTTTGATGGAGTTCTCTTTTAGATATCTTGTCCCAAAGAAAAATGATATCATCCCAAGCTTTCCAGGCTTTCTGAATATCAGGATGGCTACTTAATAGTGGATGTAATTCATCTTTGTAGAAGAACATGTATTCTTTCTCCATTCCCTCGCATTTGAAGCACTGCAAAGTCAGCAAAATGGAAGATTTCTCTAATCATCTTATGTGCTCTTTTATCGAGAAGGAAAGTAAAGTTATGGAGAGCACTATGGCACACAGCCAATCAAAAAGAGCATTATGTACCAGGTGGTAAAAATTACCTGATCATATGACATTACACCCAGCATGAAAGTGCGACCCCTTGTGTGTGACAGTATGACAATTGCATGACAGTGAGATTGCATTATAAATCAAATCAACATCTCAGATGGAAATCGCTACTTGCGTAAATATGGTCAAATATCTTTCCTGGGAGACTGATGTCTTTGTGGTATTGCAAAAGTCAGTCAAGCCCTTAGGATTGTTCACTCCCTTGGGACAAATTTTTTTCTCTCCCCATGCAGCCCTCTGCTGCTTTAGAAATCAAAGATGCACTTGCTCACCAAAATTACACCAGCTCTGCTGGGCACACACTTATTCGCTTTACAAATGAACTGCTATTTTAGGAAGAAATTCCTTTTTGGTTGCTACTGGGCATAAAAGGGCTAATAAGAAAAGATGTCCACATTAGGACTAGTATGTATGTTACAGTAGGGTCCCCGCCTCAGGAGTGAGAGAAAATATATTATAAATAACATGCTTTACAACACTTCAGTGATGAATTCTAAATGCAATTTACAAGTAACAAGTCCTGACCACTGATAATTCCATAGAAAAAGAAAAATTGCATGCATGCAATCAACAACACCTTCACCCACTAAAAGTTTATGTATCTTACTGGTTGCACAACCCAGCCATTTTCTTTTGCTGTCCTGGTTATGATACTATCTGATCCATGGATAAACTCTCCACCAAGATCAATTGGAGAAAATCCTTCAAATGGCTGAACTTGCTTCACTCTTCCACCTAGCAAGACAAGCAAAAAGTAATTATTGAAAAATTAAAGGAAATTAGAAGATTATTAAATATGTTCAAAATCCTCTCAGGTCCCTGAGAGGTGGATCACAGTTAATAAATACTCAACAAAACTCAATCCTGGGCCCAGTTGTTCAAAAGGAGGATAACTCTATCCAACAGATAAATTGCTATCCAGTGGATAGCAATTTATACAACCAGGGCCTGATTGGTAAATAAAAACTGCTGAAAGTTGTATACTGGGAGTAACACAGGATTTTCAAATGGCCTTCTCTTGAAATTATAGCCTTTAAAGATACCTATTCAACAATGCTAGATTAAAAAATAAATGTTTAAGTTGAGTTTGGTCCATTCAAAGAAAAAACAAGTATATTCCAAACAGTTCAAAAGTGTTCTGAGTAATGCTGTGATGTGAAAAAAGGATGTGAAAAAGAAGTACGGGTAAGTGATTTTGACAAGGGTTATAAGGGTATAAACAAAAGAGAAAATTGCATTACATGCCTTCTTGTGCAATTCAATATGTTAAAAATTGACTACTGTATTTACCAAAATAATCAGATGCTTCCAATAAGACAACTTGAAGACCAGCCTCTGACAGAGCTGATGCTGCCGCCAGCCCAGCCATTCCTCCACCGACAACAGCAACTTGGGTATCATGGTAAGGTGGTGTTGCCTTCCCTTGAAGAAGAAATGAATGCACCATTGCTAATGCACAAAGAAAAAGCTGAATAACTTTTTAATCAGCTGTCAACAGGACCCTACAAATCATATATTCATTGCTTTTGTTTTGTTTTTCACATGAAGGCTTTCAGTTGTTACAACATGATAAGTAGAGTAGAACAAATTTATTTGTGGTTTGCACTTTGAGTAAGATGTCTTGTTCATGTGAAGATAAACACCCCTGAGTGACTGAGTCCATCCTTCTTTTCAGCTTCTTATCGTCTAATTCCCTAGTACCAGAAAATCTAATAGTATACACTTTTCACTGTAGAACTTGGGTCAAAAACATTTCAAGATGTTTCAACTGGTCTCCAGTAATGTGATGATCATGATATTCCAAGGTTGGCAGGAGAAGGTAAAGTGTGCACTCCAACCAAGTGGAGCCTTAACCTCAAGTGACTAGAAATATCACTACTCTCCCAGATGGGATGGTAATCCATTGCAGGTTACCCCAAGGTATTTTGTCAGCTTCCCTGATGGTTTTCCTGTACCCATTTATACTCTTGGGTGAAGAGAGGCATTGTCTGAGTAGAGTGTTTTATCTTTTGACTCACATAAGTGACCAAAACAGAATTTCTCCTCACAATATCCATACAATCTCTAGCAGACAATTAAACTAAGTGATGAGAATATAGAGAAATATGAATTAAGGGATCATTAGTTGATCCAGTGACAAATTCTCAGAACTAAAATCATAATAATTGTATGGCAGTTATTATGGAGAATTACTAATAAGATCTTTGGAGTGAAAGGTTTAACAAAGATCACAACACAATGACCAGCCCAGGTCTCGAACCAGGACCTCTCAACCTGGAGTCCACCACATCTCCCCTGAGATTCCAAGACCACTTGTTATAATCTGGAAAGCTTTCTGAGTCTTAACTTGATGGATAGGTAGATGTTCAAATTTTAATTAATTATACTCCTAATGTTCATTTCTAGCTACAAGAAATGGGGATATAAACTCTATAAAACCAACCATCACAATCAGCGTTACTCATTCTGTTAACTCTCTTCTGATTGTGCTCCAAACAAGCTGCTGCGTGAAAACCAAGACACGTTTGACATTCTTTCACTCAGTTAGGTAGGAGTTTATGTTCAACCCCTTGAAATTCATTCTTCTCTAAGCTTTCCTGAAACAAAAATTTATCATTTCCACTATTGAGAAATGAATTATTCAATAAGGTAAAAAGTCTGAGATTTTCATTCTTCATAAGCTAATAATAATTTGCTCTTTATCACCCCTATGACATGACGAATAAACATCTTTCAACAGTCATTGGCACTTCAACCAACATTTAGACTGAGGCCTCATGTACTACACAAGATCTGTATCTTGTGGTTGATAGCGTCTCAGTGTTTCAAGGAGGGAAAACTTAAAATAGAAGGACACATTCTTCAAGACACTCCCTGGAATGACAAAGGGATATACAATACATAACTAAATAAAATTATCATCAAGTGTGTTTGCCAAATGTTAGATCAATTAGTCTGCTGCACAAAACATTACATCAAGAACGTCCCTGATTAGCCAAAGTGCAGAAAAACCCCACCTCCCTCCCCATAGGAATGGACCTCAAACCACTGCCTCCCCTTGATGAATTCCCCAGTCGCAGTCCTACCTTAGGCATTCTTCTCTCGCTCTCATCTTAAATTAACATTATTTCTTTCCTAGTTCTTGGCTCCTCTTGGATCTGCGAGTATGAAGTCTTCCCCTTAATAACCTGCTTAGATAGGTTGGAACGATTTCTGAAAATTCTCTGACCACGTGTCCAGCTCTCTTATGAATACACAATCAAAACAAAACAGATCAGCAGACTCTCCAACTTGACCATGCACTCCCCAGTTCCTCACGAACGTCACATCATTCTGTGTTAGAAACATTTCCAGTCATTTGCTTTTGTCGGGTAATTTTTTTTTTTATAGAACCGAGATTAACACAATTTCTATAATCAGCAACCAAGTACTATGTCCATGCGCCGAGCAAGTCACGCAGGAACCTGGTATTCTGATAATGGTACAGTAAAAGCGCTTAGAACAAAATGTTTTCTATCTGAAAGCAAACTTTAAATATTTGCTATCGCGAAAAAATACCGGTGTTTTAAAAATTACTTACATCTATTGTTACTCCCGGCAATTCTAGCCCGAACACTTAATCAGAAGTTAGAGGAATGGTTATCTAAAGCTCACCCTTCGTGTCGACCAGCCAAAGCTATCATAGCACCGTAAGTAAAATTAGATATTTCTGAAGTTCTTCGAAAATTAAATAGATAATTGAAGAACGACCCTTTGTGAATTAAGTGATGTTTTCTTTCTTTCATGAAGACATGCGGGTTATCAGTACTGTGGATCTTGTGGAGCTCATGCCTACAGACAGATCGATCCAAGTAAAATGTAAGTATATGGTGCCGTGTCCCTCGCGCTTTTCAAAGGTGTTAAGTAGGGGAAAAATTATTTGAACAGAACTCGCATGACTATTCATGTTTGCCCCCGATATCAACGGGAAACAACAATATAAGCTTCAATAGATTTCTGTTTTCAGGTGCCATCCACAGACTTTTGGTGGTTCATTCAGTTAAGAGGCTAAGCGAGGTTGTTGAATTTTTGGTTCATGAAATCTCTTTTCTCTTTTCTTTTTTCCTCATTATTTGCATTAAGTTCTCCTAACTGATTTGCATACAAGTATTTTTGGGCAGCTTTGAGAATTTGAAAATTGATAACTCGCTAATACACACTGTATTCTGAAATAGTAAACTTATTTTGTGTGTTTTGGACTTTTAAGTGTGAAAATGTCTTGCTTTAATGTGTTATGAGAAATTGGGTTTTGGTCAGAAGAGGGAGCTGGCAGCTGTGTTGCTGTTATGAAATTAATTGAAGGGCCTTTTGCAATAGGGAAATCTCATTGTGCCAAATTCAGAGCAAAAAATGTAAAGCAGTTTGCAGTTCATTAAAAGTATACAAGGTTTTCTTATCATCCATACAGTTACTAAGTAAATAATTTTAAATTTGTAGGTAACAATTGTATAAGCATTAATAATTTACCCACTGGTTCAACTTTGTCTTTGTCAACTGGCTAAGGAAAAAAATGAAACTGTACCCATTAAGAGTTAATTGTAAATATTTAAGCCAGGCCATGTTACAACCTACAATTTTATCAGATTTATATAACTTCTCATGTACATGAAGAAGCCTTTTTAAAAATTTTTATCGTAAACCATGGAAGAGTAAACTTCCTTTCTGACTGCTTGTGTTCTATTTAATTAATTGTTTTATGTTTGTGGTTAATTCTGTCTGTCATTCCACCTGCTATTAAATGGCCAATTTGATTTCACTATTTTTTTAAGTAACATGTACAACTCTCTAGGGCTTCAAGTGAAACTTGTCTAAATTGATATTTTGATGACTGTAAATATTTAAAGGGAAAGTATTCTAGATCAATTTTTTGATCTTCTAAGAAGTTTTTGTTTTATAGAACAAAGGATAGACTTTAATTTTGGAGAGGGGGTTTATCAGTGGTACTATAATGTGGAGGGAAAAAATATTACTTAGAATGTCATTTGTTAGAGCATGGAATAGGTATGTTATATCTTATTGGCAATCCATGGACCTGAGAAGCTGCTCATGTGAAATAAACTTACATAATTAACCCTTTAATTCCCATAAGTGACCAAGACAGAATTTCTCCTTACAATATCAATAAAATATCAAACAGATAATTGATAAGAATAAAGAAAAATATCAATTTAGAGATAATAAGTTGATCCAATGCTAAATTCTCTGAACTAACCTTATAAGAATTATATGGTTGACAGTAAGGAGAATTATAAAGTTGATCCGGGAGTTAAAAGGTTAACCCTTTAACTCCCAGAGGAGATTAACATGAAAATTATCTGACTGTAAACAGTATCCAGCAAACAGGTTATGAGAATACTCAAACATATCAGGTAGAAGTTGATATCTTGATCTAACACTTAATTGTTATAAAAAAAAATTACAAGGAAATGTGTTGAGCTAGAAGGGAGAATCAAAAATCAAATCTTGGTAGTTGGAGGGTTAATTTAACCCTTTAACTCCCAGATCAAATTTGTAATTCTTTTTAGTGTCAACCATACAATTCTTATAATGTTAGTTCAGAGAATTCAGTATTGGATCTACTAATTATCCCCAAACTAATATTTTTCTTTATTCTCATCACTTACCTGGTTGATATTGTATTGATCTTGTAAGGAGAAATTCTGTCTTGGTCACTTGTGGGAGTTGAAGGGTTTAAAAAATGAGTGGAAGCTCTCAGGAGGTTCCCTCTAAATTCCAAGAAGGTGTCCATAACTGGAATTGGCTTTTTAGTTGTTTGGTGTTTTGATGGCCTGAAATTATTAAGTCATGACCAGAAATGTAATTTTTGTTACTGGAGTAGATAATGAATTTATACTGAAATGAAAAAAAGAAAGGAAAAGGACTCTTTGCTGACCACACCTCTTTTCTTTGAAATGAGCTACATGGCTGGCAGTAGTTTGCAATTGGGGATTCAAGTGACACTGTTAGGCTAAACCCTTTAAGTCTCACCAGTGACCTAGACAGAATTTCTCCTTACACCATTAGTATAATATCAAGCAGGCAATTAATGAGAATATAGAAAAAGATCAATAAGGGGATTATTGGTTGATCCAGTTCCAAATTCTCCAAATTAACATTACATGAACCGTAAGACAGACAGTAAGGAGAATTACTGATGAAATCATGGGAGTGAAAGGGTTAATACTCACACAATCAAGAAGAAAAAGTATTATTTTTTTAACTGTAAGGAAGCTATGAATGCTGTGATATGTAAACGCTCCCCTTGCTTTAATCAGAACATAACAGCGTGCCACATGACTAGGAAACTCAGGTTACCATATTGTGGTTGTCAAAATTGTCCTTTGCTGAGCACAGAAACCAATTTGAAAACAGGTTGCAGCAGCTTGGAGTAGTAACTAAAGCTGTATACTTTTGTGAGCTTGTTTAGTGGAGTGGTGTTTGAAATTTAACCAGATTTATATGACTACAAAATAAACATCAAAGTACTAAACTGGAGAAAGCACTAACATTCTCCTCCCTCTCCCCCTCATATTGGGATTCAGACTCATTATTTTATGCCATGAGCAATGGTTTGCTACAAGTGGAAAGAAGTAACAGCTAAAGATTAAACTTTTTGAGGTCTTTTCCCTTTTTAATATTTTCTTGGTATGTTTTATAGAAAGAGGATATTTATCCTGGGTCCATCTCATCATATGTACCTGCCTGGCTGTGCAGTAACAAGTTTATCACAGTATGAAACTCCATTGTACAATCTTTCAATTGACACAGAGGGTAAGAGCAGTTTTCTTTGAAATATCACTTTTGAGAAACTGTTTTAATTCATCTACCAGCTTTATTAATTTATGTGTCTTCAGTTATAGTTAATTAGCACAATTTAAGCAAAAGCCAAGGTTTCCATGGCAACAGAGTGAATTGAACAAATCAAGAGTGGTTAAAGCCTCTGCTATGACAAATGATGTTGTCGATAAGAGTACAGACCACACAAAACCACCGTTGATTTGTTTTTTAACAACAATATTAATTTTAAAGCTGATTCTTTTAGTGCGTGACCATTGCATGAAACATTGATGCCTGCAGTGTGGTTTGTATATATTTTGATCAACAATGTCAAATTGGCCAATGTGATTAGGACATAACTGCCAATTGTGGTAAAAATCAATGTTTTAAATTTCTTTTTCAGTAAATAGAGAACTATTGGCAACAGGAGAGTTTGAGAAGCTTAGTCAAGCTGATGATGAAAGAGAACACAGTATCGAGCTTCATTTGCCTTATATTGCCAAAGTTATGGAGAGGTGTGAACATCAAGAAAATTATTACACTCTACCAATTGCATCTTTTGTTCAAAGTTCTAAGGCCTATTATCAGGGTGGTGATCCTTCATAGTGGCTGCAATGTGATTTGTTTTAATTTAGCTTCGTGAATTTGATTTGACATCAACTCAACACCCAACAGCTGATTGCATAAATACATAAAAGCCTCCATTTGGCACAAAAATATACTTGGATATTTGTCCACAGAAATAATCTGGTCTGAGAAGCTTGCTCTCAGAAAACTTTTCCCTTCTCAGAGCAAATCATGTTTGCAGACAAATACTCAGGCATATTTTGGTGCCAAATGGAGGCTACTGTGGTTATTATTGTGATTATTATTATCCTCTAAACATTTTGCAGTGTGTAGACAAAATGTTTACAAACAACGTACTATTTACTGTACAATGACATTTCCTTTTTAGTGTTCCTTGGTACAATTTTATAAACATAGAAATATATCATATTGGCTTGAAAACTGGGTAATATTACTGGATACTTTCCAGTTTAGATGGGAAGTTTTTGGTTGCATGACACATTTAGACCAATCACATGCGAGCAAAAATATTTGATGGAATGGATTATAAGTATGTATATTCACATTATCTGTTTGCTACAAGAGTGCATCTCAATTGGGTGTCATAAAACCAAATGCAAAGTTATCACTGCCACTAGCCAATCAGAGCAAAGTAAAACATAACAATGTGCTGAAATAAATTCTCAATAAAACCAAGAAAATTGCTCATAGCGTGGAAAATGTAAGTAGCCAAGTGGCAATCATTTTTAGATTTGAATCTGATTATTCCAGAAAGCAGGACAACTTTTCGAGATCAATCACATTGCAAAATTAAGCAAAAATAAAGGAATCAGAGGTTACTTTTGATGGTGAATTGAAAATTTCTTTGATATATGGGGATTATGAGGAAAATCACTTTTTAAAATATCTTGAGAAGTTAAATGGTTTTAAGAATATTGTTCTTTTGCTGACAGTAAGAAGGACCAATTTAAGATTGTTCCAATTGTGGTTGGTTCATTATCAACAAGGAGTGAAGTCACATATGGCCGGCTTCTTAGCAAGTATCTGGTCAGACCAGAGAATTTGTTTATCATCTCTTCAGACTTCTGTCACTGGGGTTAGTACACTGAAAATAATTTTTCAAATGTTAATAAAAATCAGTGATTAAGAGTTGTCCATAAAGCATCACATACAATACTTTAATGTGTTGATAAGAATTCTTATGAAAAGCTAAGTGAATGATGATTCAGGAAAAAGAAAACATACACAAATGTGCTGACTGAATCTAACTTGAAATTTAACCCTTTAACTCCAAAGATCTGATTATTAATTCTCCCCTCTAGCTGCTACACTTATCCTTGTAAATTAGGCACAAGAATTTGGTTTTAGATCAGGACAACAACTTTGACTTAGCAAGTTTAAGTATTCTTAGTACCTGTTTGGTGGATAACATATGGATGTTATATAGAGAGGTTACTTGTTGATCACTTCTGGAAGTTAAAAGGTGAAGGAAAAAAGTCTAGAATACTTCTGCAGTAAATTGTTGATATCCTCACCATAAAGAAGATGTGTGCTTTCCATAAATTGATCATGAACTTGAGATCAAGAAAATCATCAAATAAGAATTTACAACATTTTGGAAGATTCTTTGTAGTTAAAGTGGCCAGTAATACTTAACATTAATTTCCCAGTCTGGCTGAGCAAGCTGTAACAAATTTGCACAGTCTATGTGTGGTTTGGGGAATGACAGTAATAGTTATAATGATGATAATAATGATAATAACCAAAACAATTGAAAGCTGGGATTATTACCTTCCCAAGTTAGCCTGAAGGAGTTAAACTGGTAAGAGTGATCTTTCAAGACAGTAATGGCAACTGACTGTAGGATACCCTTGGCCATGTACAGTGTACATGACTTTTTAATGCTTTTTTTCTTTCAGGATCTCGATTTAGTTACACAGTTTATGACAAAAGTTGTGGTCCCATTTATAAATCTATTGAAGCTCTAGATAGAAAGGTAATCTACGACTTAAATGTAAAGATCACAATATCACAATTTTTTATATGGAATTATCATTATCATTAACTAGATGCCTTGTCTACTGAGCTGCAGAAAGTTTGTTGACAAGCTAGGCTGCTCTGCGTGATTTATATGTGACACATGTGGCAAATTACCACATTTCCTCAAATAAGCACTTAGGTGCTTATTTAAAATTTTGTCTAGAGGGGGGGGGGGTAGAAGAAGGGCACTTTAGCACAGTAAAAGGAGCAGTGTTTATTAAGAAACTTCTCAGCTGTACTGATCCCACTGAAGTTAAAACTTACAAGGTTTTAAATAAAGTAGCAGTAGAAGCAGGTTTTTTTCCTTGTATCCCTGTTATTAAGAAAGTGAGGGAGAAAGGGGGGAGCATCTATTTGGCCTATGGGGTTGGGTGCTTATCAGGCAAAGGGCCCTTGTTAGAGAGTGGGTGCTTAATCAAGGAAATATGGTAATCACTCTTTTTTTCTTAAAGTAAGAGGGAAACAAAATGTTTGCCTGTCAATTCAATGAAAGCACAGAGGTTTTATTATTTATTCTTTCAGACATTAAGATAGCTAAGATTAATTGCTGTGCAACATTGTTGTATTTAAATCTTAGGGTATGGATGCCATAGAAAAGCTTGACCCTGCCTGTTTTGCAGAATATTTGAAGAATTCCAAAAACACAATATGTGGTAGACACCCCATAGGTGTCCTACTCAATGTAAGTATTACAATAAAACCTCAAGTATCCAGACCTTGATTTTCTAGATTTTTCTTGATTATCAGGACTTGTTTCTTTGGTCCCATATTGTTTGTGAATTTTAATTAATCACATTTGAGATCTGTAACAACTTTTTTCCATGCACGTGTAGCAAAACTACCATTGGAACTGAATTTGTTCCACTTCCAGAAGTGTTTTAGGAAGTGTTAACATACTTTAGGTGGAAAGACAAACCAATGTTGACACTATCCCATGCAGCTTTGCTATTCAACTCAGTCCCTAGGGGTCTGGATGATTGAGGTTTTGATTTTGCAAAGCATTTAGATTCAAGCTTTTTTAAATATCAGCCCCCAGAGCCTCTGGAGAACACTACATAGCTTGCACCTCCTTTACCCTTAGATATGCCCTTAATATCTTCCAAATCAACCCTTACTAATCCAGATTAAGAATCTCTGCTATTCAGTAAGTTAAGAAAACCTGACATAAAGCACCACACAATGCTAAAATTCCTCTGAATTGTGAAACATTTATAGATTATCTTAAAACCAGTGTTGATAGATAATAACTTGATCTTTGCCTCTTACTCATTACAGGCAGTAGAGGTCATGAAACAAATGAATGGTGTAACCCATCCATGGGCATTGGAATTCATTCACTACTCACAGTCTAATGCATGTTTTCGCATGGATGAGAGTTCTGTCAGCTACGCTGCTGGTGTGCTGCATCAAAAAGCACATTGACATTAGTGACAAGAGTACAGTGAAAAATCTAGCTTCTTTGTAAAATATTCCTTTTATTTTTCTTCTTAATCCAGAAAGCTTTCTCTTTTACAGCAGTTTCTTGCTCAGAACAGGCAATGATATCAGTGTTCAGGACAGGCAAATATATCAGTGTTCAGGAGGAAGATGTTGTGACATTCTTTGGTACTCTAATAAGAGCCCTTTCTTTGCCAAGGCCTGGTCTTGAAATGTTTTAGCATCAAACTTTCCCAGCTCTTATTTCTATTGTTAAGAGCCCAGGAGTGGGTGAACGAACAAGTATCTTGTTCACACCATTATGTGTAATATCTGTTACAATAGTAACTCATGTCTGGAGCTTCACATTTAGCTTCCTGAGTAAAGTAGACTGAATCCAGTGCTATCAGGGTTTTACAGTGATTTTTTGTTGAGTGAGGCACCGCGGAAGTTTGGCAGGCATGTTTTGATGTTAAAATCTTGTTGTTCATATGAGTGACTAGCTTGGTTTCCAGTGGCAACCATGACTTTTTTTGGTGGTCTTCCAATTTTAAAGATCGATGACAAAGGACTTTTGAGATTCTGTTACCACTCAGAAGGAGAAAGGTTGCCTGTGACAACACCCTTATTTTATGGTCAAAACTTTTTCTATGCCTCAACTGATAATTGTAGTACCAACTGTTGGTGCCAAAATGTCACATATTCCAATTCCTGAACATGATTGAGACTGTGAAGAACTGCATTTGCTGCATCTCCCATTTTCATATATAGTTCCTTAAATAAGCAAAATTATTTCTTCTCAGCTTCCTTGTTTATATCTTACTGTGCTCTTCTGCTTTGACCAAATGTTGTAAAAGGTTGTTGAAAAAGTTAATTGAAAGAATTGAAAGAGCTATAGGGAAAAAAGTTATTTTCTTGACCATTATCAAAGAAATTTTTGCACTACTGACTTCTTGGAAGTCTTAGTATTTTTGCAACTTTGCTATACTTGATTTTTGGTCATTTTTGGGTACCTAATATTTTCCTTGGTTTCCAGAATACTGCTCAGTTCTTTGTTGTCAAGACAGCATCCCATTGGATTTCACAACTGATTATAGTGTAGTGGTTAGAACTGGTTCCTAATGCGTGATCTTATTGATATGGCCAACATTTTTCAATAAAACCAGCTCTGACGAAGGGAGAACATTAAAAATGTCAGCTTTAGATAATCTTTACAGTAGCTAATTTACATTATCAAATCAGTTGACAAAGCCAAATTATCTCATAATAAGACTGGATTGAGGAGATGACTGACACAGGATAATAAATAACTTTCAAGTCATTCTAGAAAGTACTCTGCGCTATGCAATTCACCTCAGGTAAAAGAAGGAAATATGTGGTGCACAATAATGGCTGAAAATCAACCTAGATTTCGCTTAAAGAGAATTTGTTTGGGTATTTATGCACATGGAAATAAAGAGCTTCAGAGTTATATGATGTGTATCATGCATGACTGTGTGTACCCTTTCAGAAATAATCCCTTTGTCCAGTGGATGAAAGAAATTTATGGAGTTTTCGTTTCAATATTTGACAAACATGGTTCATTCTCAATATGTGGCAGACCTTCACAACACTTCCCAAAGTTTGGTAGGCTTTTTATACTCACATTTTTATTTGATCAGATATCTCTAATTACAACAAAACAACATTAATCTTATGCTTGTTAGTAATTACATTTGGGAACTGCAACTTTCACTCAGCACACTCTCAAGGTGAATCCTAGCCAGAAAGGTCATTCCCAGAAAGATACACAAGGATTTAAAAGTTATTTCCAGGCAGGAAAGTTTTTCATGAACACACAAAATGAGAATTTCTAAGTTGAATTATCACATTCCATGAATGTCCTTTCATTAGGTTTGTAACTTAGTTATCAGATGCACAATTGATAACTTTGGTCTCCCAAACGAAAAATCCATTCTGTCAATTTCTGTTTCTTTAGCTGTCATTTCAGACCAGTTCCTTGATGATTATTTACTTTTAAATCTCCAAGGAATTCAATGGCAAAAGCATCACAGAATCTTAAAAAAAGGATAAACTGATCAGACCTTAGTTTTCTTGTACACTATGCCAAGCTGGAACTTTTAATAGACACAATATTCCTGAGTTTCCGTGTAACTTTGTTGACTATTTTACTGGCTAGTTTTACCATGAACGTACTCAAAATTGATTTCAAAATGATTACCTTTCATCACTGGTGCAAACCCAACATCCAAATTGATAATACATATTCAATTTAGTGGAACTCAACTTGTGGTTTTGGTAACGTAAATGATTGTAAAACACATAACTAGCTACCAAGGATAAAATTCTACTTTAAGTATGTAGGAACTTTGCATAAGATAGCATGTTTCACAAATTACAAAATGATTTGAATGAATTTTTCTTTTAATAGTACCAAACTCCTTATAAAACTATGCATCCTACCCTTACAGAAACAATTCTTCAATACACAAAAAAATCTACCAAGACTCTTACTGCAGACTGTTAATGATCATGATGGATGCTCTGGGAATTCAAGATATTCATATAAATAAAGTTGAATTATATTTTGCAAAAGTCTTCTTAAACAAGTGTGACCTAAATCAACACTCTATAAATTCAACAATACTTTATTTTTTATTTGTGATACAGCAAATTCTATTGTACACACCTAACCAGTGTTATCAATTAACATACAATGCTTTGGTACCAGTTTGCTCTTTAGTAAATCCAAAACTACATCGGAGTTTCAAAAAAACAAAAAACAAAAAAAAACAAAACCAAAAGGATTATTAAATTGAAGCAATAATAGAAAGAAAAAAAGACAATCTGAAATTTTGCATCTAATATATGCTGCACCATAATGTCATGATGTAAGATTGCAGTGACCATCAACATTTTAATCATCTGGACTCCCACTTATAGACCCTTTCCCATGACGAAAAGTCTGCGTAATTTGAAAGCTGAAAAGATGTATAAAATGGGAGAGGTTCTTATCATTATTTTTCAGAAGTATTAAGTAACTCAAACCAAGTGGTTTGCATCCAATGTTTTTTTTTGTTTTTGTGACTATTTACTAACAACATCCTCCACCACTGGACTTGACTGGTGTACTAGAATTGATTTTGACATTACTAGTTCCAGGTTGAGCTGGTGCTGGGCCCATTCGATTCTTTATTTCTGCAGCCATTGTCATAAAGGCTTGCTCAACATTTGTTGCATTCTTTGCACTTGTTTCCAAGAAAGGAATCGCAAGCGAGTCTGCATATTCCTGTAGAGTAAAAAGGAACAGACACAATTTACATCAACAACCCACTGTCTACATTCTCTCTTAGTGTATAGGAAAGCTTGTTTTTCTAAAAATTTGTCAAAAGCATTCAGACTTCCCTCCTCAAAGCTAAAGACATTGAAACTAACACATTGACTACTGCTATGTTCACACGAGTCAACCTCTGCCTTCATCTCTATATGATTGCAACAGTTTTGACAAGACTCCTCTGATCCAAGAGACTTTTTTTAGCGAGGAAAACAAGCTGAAATATTGAAGGGTAACCAACAGTCATAGACTTTTGGAAACTTCAATACAAAATACAATGCTTATCCAGAATAATAAAGAATCTGCTATCTTAACAACTCTTCTCACCGCACTTTTAGTGTCACTGTTTAAGCAACAGTTTTAGTCCTGAAAACCAAGGAAGCAACAAATAGAGGTAGAACCAGAGTCTCTTATATTGACAATAACCTGATAGCCACTGGTCTGAACGTTATATTAAAACTTGAAAGAGCAATGCAGGAGGGGAGCATGCAAAAGAAGCAGCATTCTAAATTGACTTAAGGGGGAACTTCCTCTTTGCCTATAGTTAGACTTTTCAGAATTTTACAATGATACCTTTGCAGTTGTGTAGTCCACTACTTTCTTTGTTGTGAGATCACACTTGTTCCCAACGAGTAGTTTATTTACATTTTCACAAGCATATCGGTCAATTTCTTGTAGCCATTGCTTGACATTGTTAAAGGACTCCTGCAATACGACAAGACAAAATATCAAAAATTCATACAGAAAGCAAACAGATAAATCAATCACAATAAACAATAGCCTTGAGTAGTAATGAGAACACTAATCTTTAAAGACTACACTACTCTTTAAAGACTCTTTAAAGGTCTTCATGCCATATAGATCTTTTGACCTTATCAAAGTTTAACGGTTTTCATGGGTAGGTAAACATGTCAGAAATGACAAAGCATGTATCAAGACTCTTGTGTCGAATAATTATGAAAAACTTTCCGCCCACACAAATTTATCAACTGCAAGCTTCTGTTGCCTAACAAAGGTGACTCTCTCGAAAGCAATACACCTTATTGTTCTAGTTTTTTCAGTTTTATTTTGATCTTTCCACACATTTTTCATGTTTCCTCTCATAATCAACATTTCAGACCAGTGTGGATTTGAATGCTCTTCTAAACACCTGATAGTCCAGAGATAGTTTGCTTTTATTTATTAATTGAGTTGATAATGTAAATTGGCCACAATAAACAAAAATCCTATAGCTGATGTTTCAAGCAGACAAAGGGCTGATGCTGATGCTTGGTGCAAGGTTGTTCTCAAATGTTGGTCTGTAAAAACTTTAAGTAACAACTGAAGTTTCAAATTATTGATGCGTCTTAGTTACAGGTTTTCAAAAGTCATTTGACATTTGAGTTGGATGTTACCATAGTTATTTGCATCAATTCTGCCCATCCAAGAAGATGATGCCCCAAAAAAACTAACAAATTCCCATCTAGAAATCAAATGGTTGGTCTTTTTCAGTTACTGAAATTATTGCACAAGTATTGGTGTTCCTTCTAACAGATGTGTAAGTTGATTCAAACCAAAAAATGTTTGCAAACAAAGTGGTCTGACAATAAAAGGAATTAGATTAAAAGCTGCAGACAAAGCTAATTATAAAATTCATTGAGAACCACAAACCACTGGAAAGCTATTTACATTTTCAAAATAACTTTTCTTTGGTTTTAAACAGCTGATGGCCAGAAGCTTTATTATGTTTTACTACCGAAAGGACTTGGTAAACTGAGTAGGCAAATGTCCCTTTTCTAAATCCAAATACCATGCTATACTGCAGTTCACAGGAATATTGCAGAAACTTGGCATTTTGATAAAATGACTCAGCAAGTGTAAACGCCAACGACATTTTGCCGTAACTTTTCGTGAATGTGTACATATTTGCGGCTGCAAATCCCGTACAAACCAAAGTTCAATACCTCCGAACAATATGTTAGATCTTACAGACAAGAAACAATAAGTCAAGTGTACATTGTTCAACTTTAGAAAGTCATTAAGAGCAATACATTTGTCAACCTACCTGGTCTGTAACATCATAAACGACTATAATCCCGTGAGCTCCCCGGTAGTAGCTAGATGTGATGGTTCGGAATCTCTCTTGGCCCGCCGTATCCCACTACAGAAACAAATCCAATCATATTCAATTTAGCTGTATGAAAATATCGCCATTAACTCTTGATCAAAGTACACTGCGTTTTGAACGACGTAATGGCCACACTTTCGCGATTCTCTAGCCAATCGATGTGTTCAAAATTCGTATTTATTTCAAAGTTAATAAATCTAATGCAGAGCAAGTAAAATTTGGTGTGTACTTACAATTTGCAGCTTTATCGTCTTGCCGTCCAATTCTATGGTTCGTATTTTCTAAATGTGGACAAAAATAAAACAATGAAAGCAAAATGAATCATTACGTATCCATCTTAAGCCATCCGCGGTGGCTAGCTGTAGTTAATCGATAAAATAACAGCTAAACATTGGCTCATAAAACTTACGAAGTCGACCCCAATTGTACTGATGTAGCTTTCCGTGTAAGTGTCATCCTGTTGAGGTGGGTTAAATAAGAGAGGTTAACATCGATTCGGCTAAAAAGCAGCACCGGTGGCCGGCGAGATACTGATGACGATCGAAATCCAACATATTAGGCAATACGTCTAGTAAAAAGAACATGAAAATGCGAATACCAACCGCGAACCGGAGTAACAAGCATGATTTTCCGACACCGGAGTCTCCGATAAGTAGAAGCTTGAACAAGTAATCACTGTGGACAAAACAGAGCAGAAATACGTTCCGTAAGAGAAAAATTCCAAATGACACGTAGAATCATCCGTGGTTAAACTCGAAACCCTGCCAGAGGGAAACTGCGAAGATAGCACAATCTACACCTACTATTCGGGATTCATTGTGGACATGTTAGGCTGTCTCGCTCCCAGTTGATTTGGTCGTTGATTTAGCTTCGTGTCAAGCTAAACTTTAAATGAAATGATGTTCAAATACCGGCAATTTATCTTGCTTTTTTGGTGAAAGAGGAAGCGAGCCACTAAGCTCAGCTTGGCGTGGTGCTAACAATAATCCTTAGAGGGGGATAAACGAATTGCCCTCCTCCATGACGTCATGATGTTGTAAGACGACGTGGCAAGTTCACTCGTGGAATTCTCGTATGTTGTTCGGAACACGTCGGCTTATCTGACGACTTTCCCTCACGGAAGGGAATTTTTTAAGCCTTACGTAACTTTCAGTTCGGTTATTTTTTGAATTTGGAAAAGCAGTCCTCAAATTTTTTCAATTCTCCTTTTTTGTTTTAGCGAAATTTGGTAAAGAGAGCTGACATGGCGGGATAAGATATCAACAATTTCCCAAGTACCCATTAAACATTGTACGTTAATTGATCACAATCAGAAGCTTGCGTCTCGATAAAACAAAATATGCTTCATTGTCGCCAAATTCTGACACAATATCGGGAAGGACAAAAGATTTTGTCATTTCCTCTCTGAAAAATTATTCTAATTTTTTTATTTATTAACCAGTTGCTAATTTATGCCTTTCCGAATCATGCGTATAAAATATGCTCACTCTTTGTCATTAAAAGGCCTTCTCCCGTGAGACGGCAGCCTTGAAATTTGAAAAATTTGTAAGTCTTGTATGAAGGCTTTGTCTTATGGCGATGAGGATCAAAGTATTATCGATATTTGATGATGTATTGTAACGTACTGTTAAAAGTTATGTCCTATCAAGGTCCATGGTTTGCATCACGCGATAAAAGGAAGGCCGAACAAAATAAAACTTTATTGTAGAGGGTCTGAGATATAACATGCGTTCCTAATAAGCAAGAAACCCTGCATCGTTCTTTAGTGCCACTCCTCCTCATGGAAAACTAAATTAATATAAAGTCATTTGATAGAAATATAAATCTGCAATGTTTGTTTGTCGGTTTGACGCCATTATCTCTCGCTCGGAATGTTAGGAGAATTAACACTCCAATGGCTTCTGAAATCACGAGTATTTGGCTTGTGATTTACAAATTTCTCTCGTGATCTTCTCAGTCCCAAGTCACGTGGATTACAAAAGCATTTAAAGCGATGGAAAATGCGTTTAATGGCTTACGTATTTTATCAGTCACCTCTCTGAGTCACTGGGGACGATGCAATTATTCTTCAACTGAGTTAGTAAATTCATTTTGGATGTGCAAAAGAAACTAGATCAAAGGTCGATTAACACTTTCAAAATTAGAATGATTTGCCGCAGATAATTTAGAATTGATAGTAAGTCATGGACAGTCTTCCTGATATATCATCGAAACGGATTTACCTCACTGTGATTACATTCGAAATATACTCTCTTGTTTGCTTTATTACTAGAGAGATTCAAAGTTATTTCGCTTCAGTTCCCTACAGTAATTAGCCCTCAAAATCTACTCGTATCACAATAGTGCGCTCTGGTTCTAAAAAGGACTGAAATATTCGAAATATTTCGAACGTACGAAGTCGAAAGTTTCATAAGAGAAGATATCAATCAAAAGTAGTAAAAAGTAGTAAAAAGGCCTTTTAATGACAAAGAGTGAGCATATTTTATACGCATGATTCGGAAAGGCATAAATTAGCAACTGGTTAATAAATAAAAAAATTAGAAGAATTTTTCAGAGAAGAAATGACAAAATCTTTTGTCCTTCCCGATATTGTGACAGAATTTAGTGTTTGACAATGAAACATATTTTGTTTTATCGAGACGCTGTAATGAGAATTTAGTGTTTGATTTCTGATTGTGACCAATTAACGTACAATGTTTAATGGGTGTTTGGGAAATTGTTGATATCTTATCCTGCCATGTCAGCTCTTTGATAACCAAATTTAGTGTTTAAAATAAAAAGAAAGAATTGAAGGGTTTTTAACATTAAAAATTTGAGGACTGGTTATTTTTCCAAATTTAAAAATAACCGAACTGAAAGTTACGTAATCCTTAAAAATTCCTGCTCGCAGAGTCGCTTTCTGAGGGAAAGTCGTCAGATAAGCCGACGTGTTCCGAACAACATACGAGAATTCTACGAGTGAACTTGCCACGTCGTCCTACAACATCATGACGTCATGGAGGAGAAGCCGAAAGCGTCTTAATGGAAGCTCCTATCCTGGTGACAATGACAAACTGACTTCCGTTCGATTTTCGTCCTCTGCTACTTTGATATTACCGGTGGATGAGGTGTAAGAGCCAAATCGTACTATTTGACCAGGTTTTGCGGTAAATCGTATGTTGACACCGCGGTAAACGATTCTTGTGCGACTTTCTTTGGGCGTGGCCGCGAGAATTTTCCGGCAAGCCTCTCGGAGAAGGTACGATAGAATTGGGAAATCCACGCCATCGCCAGTGTAACCTCTCCTGGTGTCGCTGTTGAAATAGCGATACACAGGTGGATTATCCAACGTGTAACAAATGACAGCGAAAATCTCGTCATCTGTCAGACCAGCGCGGCCAGAATTGATTTCAAGTGTTTCTTTCATTTGAGGCCATTTCTTCATGGCTTCTTCAAATCCAGCGTGAATAAGAGCGTTCTTTTTACCCTCGTATGCCAATCCCCTCCTCATCATCGTCACCATGATTTCACCGGGAAAGGACACAGCGAAGCTGCTTTCTACCAGCCCCATTTGTATAACGTTCGCAAAGCTGGAGAACCTGTTATATTCAGTCTCTGAAACTGCGGCTGGATGTGTCACTTTCAGAGGAAAGAACCCTTCCGGCGGGATGTGGACGAAGGGATTCGTTTCAGTGCCTAAGTTAATCTGTACCCTCTCTCCTCTCATGAGGGACAAGCATGGATAGACAGCTCCCTCGACGTTACTCCTGAAAAGGCGCAGCCCATTTCTCCTTCCCAATCACCGTTCAAACCGAAGCTAACCTCTCGGTCTTCCAAATTGACAGCCATGCAAATCACATCACCAGCCTTCCACCGTAGGCCATATTGTTTTTTCTTATTATTGTGCCACTTCAAACCCCTCATTCCGTCGTAGGCCCACGAATGCTGATCATCCCCACAGCCTTTGCCTTCGTCAGCTACGGCCGTAAAGCTTTCGTCTACTCACCCAAGCTGCATGTAGCCGCCTGTATTTGTTTTGCATTCAAAATAAAACTTTCCTTGTGTTTGCCGAAGTGGTTTCAGCACTACAGTCGGAGCGGCGCGCTGCGCAAAGATTTCTATCGGCGGGCCCTCCAGAATGACGGCTGCCTCTTGGTGGTTATCAGCTCCTTCGACTGTTACCAAAGATTTGTAGTCCATATCCATGGTTCAGCCACTATCTTTCTATATCACTAAGTTGAATGCTGCCAAAAGATTATTTCCGCTTATCGCTTTATTGAAAGTTTGATGTTGTACGGAGCTCAATATTGAGTGCTCGTAACTTTTGCGTGCATTATTTCACGCGCTTAACTATATAGGCAAAGGCCGTTTGCTCGATTTTTCCCGTAATTAGGAAGACTTTGTCTCTTCAGCGTATTCACGAGAACTCGGCGCGCCATTTATTTTTCCCTTATTTTGATACATACCCAGTATACCCTTCGATCCTTTGTTTTGGTATCTACGAGTCGCTAGTTATTCCCTTCGCGATTATAGGAAATGACGCGTAGCTAATCTGGTAATTGATGCATCTTTATTCATATATTTAAATTACAATTAAAATATTTTATCTTCTGTTAACAGTCAGTTATGTGCATACTTTAGTGGGGTTTATTTATGGTCACGACATTCTCCGGAACGGTTGAAAAAAAAAACCCACTGAAATGATGAAAATTATTGTTATTTTCTCTTTATCATGCAAAATAGTTTCATTTGTGACTACTGCTTCCTACCATGGAGGCGAAGTCAACAAATGTTACCGAAATGAGTGAGTGAGTTACGGAGTCGTGGATGGTAAAGTAACTGTGGAAAGCAGAACTTCACCCGATTTTGACCCATGTCACTTAATGTTTATTTCGGAGTATCCTAAAGAAAGAAGAATGCCTTCGAAACAAATTATTTTGTGCCGAAGACAAAACAAGATGACATCTTGTCAGTTCTTGCCGTGACACTGCAGAATACGATAAACATCTCCCTATCATTTCAGGATAGTGGGTGATTTAAGACAACATTTCCATGTAGGAATATCTGAAAAGGGGCGGTCAGCGCATCATGTTAAATTTTTTTGGAAATTTATTTCTTTGAAGAATGAGGGTTTTACCGTTTGAATTAGCGAATTATGCCTAGTAGATTTCACAAATAATTTCGGCGCGCAATTTAAAACAAACCTGCGAGGATCTCTTAAATTTGTTTCTTCACCGCAGTGCAAATATATGAATTTCATATATCTGAAATCATTAAAACAAACCTTTCACTTGCAGTAATATCTACAAAGGTGTGATCTGCACATCGTGAAACCTTTGAGGGAAAATTTTTCTTTTTGGAAGAGAGAGCACTTTGCCATTTGAACCAGCGACTATTATTGCCCAAAAGAGGCGCTAAATAGGTCCGAAGTACCATACCTCGAGTATATTCGATGGAATGATGGAACGGTGGAATGGCGGAATGACGGAATATCATAACGCACAATGCCTTGTTGTATGAAACAAACTCGCCACCACAACAACTAACGCCACCACCACTGAGAATCAACTCGCCACCGGTGGTAAATTGAGTCGTTGCGTTAATCGTTGAAGGCTCTTTGTCTGCATTTCATCGTGTTTGTGCGCACTTGTTTATTCTGTGTTATGATAAAATACAAGATGTAAGCTTTCATGTGATGTAAGTTTCATCTGATTTGGTTTCGAATTTCGCCTGATGAACTCACATTAAATTCATCATTCGTTGTGCTTAACATAGAGAAAGGACGCTAAGCCCCTTTCTGTAAACTTTCGCCGTTTTTGTACGCGCCTAATTTTGCAATATACTACTACATATAAGCTTGTAAGTTTCATTCGATTTCATAAATATCGACCCATACCACTCAGCAAAATTCACTCTGGTTTTGCTACACGCAAACTGACCATGATCTTCGTGATATCAACATGTTTTATTTCATTTCATGCAACACTGAAATTCGCTATTCTTCTTGCATTTAACGGTTAACGTTCCATATATAATTGAGACACTACACATAACGTCTAAGTCAATTCGTCACTGGCGGGGAGTTGACTCACCGTGGTGGTGGCGAATTTGTTATGGTGGCGAGTTGACCAGATACCTTATAAATTATCCTTATAATCAGTATTGTTAATGTGATATTTGTTGTTGGTTGAATATCAATAAGTCACTATATTCTTGAATTACCTTTCTTGGGTGGAACAGGGTACTCATAAATATGTGGGGTATCCGGTTAGATCGCACCATGGTTAGATCGTTCCCAATTAGATCGCTCCGACCAAAAGTTAAATCGCTCCACTCGAAAGCTAGATCGCTCCATCAAATAAGTAACTTCGTTACCAACATGAGTTACTTCGCTCCATGCAAGTTGTGAAGCGAAGTATTACCAGTGATCTTTTAAGTCTATAAGTGATGATGTGTCTTGCGACGATTCGAGTACATCGTATTCACTCTGTCCTTCAGATTAGTCACCGAGCTGCCGATGTATGATGTATAGCGATGATGGAATAAATGATCGTGGAATAAATTATGACGTTATAGTCTGAAGTGTATTGAAAAAGATCATTCAAATACCAATACTATCCAGTGTGGCCTTTTTTGCTGTTTGATGTGAGGAAACTGATATCCGCCATCTTCAATTAATAAGGTGAGTCCCTTTCATGAGTCCCTTTCACGAGGCTTTATTTTTTCTTTCTGCGTAGCTCGAATTTATTTTAAGCGCGCGTGAGTGATATTAATCGATTGTTCGGTAAGATATGCACGTCATTCAATGAACTATCAATTTAGATACCTTAGTTTTGCTACCTTTACCTTAGTTTTCTACATGGAGCGAAGTAACTTATGCTGGGAGCGAAGTCACTTATTTGATGGAGCGATCTAACTTTCGAGTGGAGCGATCTAACTTTTGGTTGGAGCGATCTAACTGGGAGCGATCTAACCATGGTGCGATCTAACCGTAATTAATATATGGGATACGGCAAGTTTGTGTTTTAATTTTCATGCAAGACAAATATACCTTCTAGCGTCATAATGCAACCTTTACTTCTTTTCAATGTTATAAAAATTACGCTACATCATTTACCAAATGCAGTCTCACGCCTAATTTCTTCATTTGCCTTCGCTCGCGTAAAGCTTGATTAAATAGAGGCAGAGTAACGAACGATTTTCAGCTGTTTCGCAACAACCTCAGCGAAAGTGGGTGGTCTGGCTTCATCTGTGTTGGCTGCACAGAAAATTGAATCTGATTTCTCTGCAGTTCAAGTCTATTACTACAAAGATGAGGTATCTAACAAGAGATGTTTAAGCTTGGTCCTTTCGACTAAAGTCAAGGACAACATTTTTGGCAGATAACATTAACTGAATACAACTTTTATTGTGATACTTATTTACAGGAAAGAAAACTGCTAAAATTTCCATGATTTCTTCAACACGGTTTAAACTTAAGCATGGGCTGTGTATCTATAAAAACGAACAGCAATGAAGAGTTTCCTTTGCCATCCAACTGTACAAAATTTTTATCGTTGATTGGATCTTCCCCGCTTGTCTAATCAATCTGTGGATTGTTCTTGAACAAATACTCAGCCTAAAATAAAAGTAAGAAAAAAAGAAAGAAAGATGTGTCATTGAGACAAAACAAAATAAATCCCCACGACCGATCAGATCAAAGGGAAATGTCACAAGGAGCCAATGAGAAGTCAAGGTAAAGGCATACAGACGGTCACTAGCGTGGGAAAACGCGCACAAGTGACTAAGTCGCGATTCATTGATTCATTTGGCATCTGATTGGTTAGGAATTTGACACGTGGTCCTTAATCACTGACTGATCACAAAGCACAGAGAAGCAAAACCAATACAAGTTTGGAATACAAACTCAGTGACACTATATCTGGCTCAGAACTTACCAAGTAATCGACTGGATCATCAGGGCGCATTTTACAGCATTCTATGAGGCCTTGGGCCAGTGTCGGCATAACGTGCTTCATGAGATAGTTCCTCAGGGGAATGGATTGGTTTTCTAATAACTCCTGTTCCTGACGTTTCACTTCTGACAATTGGACACGCTAAAAAAAATCCATTACTTAAAACTAAGTAATTCCGGGCTGTGGAGGAGTTTTTTAGAGGTACGATGCTAGTGTAAGCTCAACCACTGGCATATGCAGATGAACATTTTTCGAGTAGGCCGTCATTATGAGTCGGCTTCAATACAAGCGTGTCTTCGCACACGAATAAGTTTGAGGCCTTTAGTAACACGAGCCGGTATGAGGTCTGTAAGTGATATAGCACTGATACATATTACTAGTGCCAGACTCCTGGTAGACCTCCCCTCGACTTGTCTTAAATCTACCGCGTTCGGTGTTACCCTCGTCGTGCAGCGATGGTAAAGAAGGCAAGCTCGCAAACTAGCAGACAAAGTAAGCGAAAACGAAAAGGTGGGAAGGCGACTTGTGTAATCATAATTAAATTCTCAACGCTGGAAGGAGCTTTGTTGTGCACGTGACTGGCAAATAACTATCTCCTTATCTTAGTTAAGCAAGGGTAACTTTCTCACTTGAATGACAACGACGTACATGTAAATGTTCCAGTCTTAAAGCTAAATACAAAAAAAACATCAACAACAGTTATAACTCGTACCCATTCTTCCTCCCGTCGTTGTCTCTCAGCCGCTTCTTCTGCATCTCGTTTTTCACGTTCTTCTCGTGCTTTTCGTTCCTTTTCAAGCTGCACGAACAAAAAAAAAAAAAAAAAGAGACTGAATTTTAACAATATTGTAAACTCCCCTTGAAAAGATTGCAGTCCCACTCTAAAAATTCAACCACTGCATTAACATAAAGAGCGTAAAAGTACAACTATTGCGAGAACATGTCAAGTGGTTGCCATAGTAATTGACAATTCGTTCACCCTTTCTTCTCAATAGATTTAATTTCTCCAAAGGCGCTCAAAATGTGAACAACGTACCCGCTTCTCTGTTTCAATTCTTTCCATCTCTGCCAACTCTTCTGGTGTTGGACCTAAATAACAATAATAATAAAAACAATAATGCAATAAACATAAGGACAAATAAAGCAATGCTTCACTGTTGGTCTTGTGTAAACTCCTACGCAGTTCATATTTCTTTGCCCACATAGTTGCCTAAGCTTTTCACCCTTACATCAGTATGCATATTCTTCATACTGTCCACTGTACATTCCCTAAGGTGCTGATAAGGAGAATTTGTTTAGCAATCAAGAACTTCGAATTCTTAGGTTTGTTATCATTTCCTTTATTCTCATGACCTTGATGTTTGATTCAGATGTGGCATTGAAGGGAGAAATAACATATTGGTCACTCTAAGGGTTCTTAGGGTCAAACGACTAAAACTACTGTTTCTCTCTCTGGATGGCATACTTATCCATCACAAGTTACCCCCTGCCCCTCCTCCCCCAAAGGAAATTTGTCACGCTTCAATGACAATTCACCGTCATCAAATTTCTGATTCCGGAAAAAAATATTCTCCAAAGAGTTACTATTTTCTGATTTCTATCCTATATTTTTCATTTAGGATGATTTCACAGTTATGTTCTTACCGTAATTTCTCGGCGTTCCCATCAGCTTTTTGATCTGCTCCACTACTTTGGTCATTTTTCTTGTTTTATCCAAAGTTATGTCTGGCAAAGGTTAAGTTTTTGATGGTAAGTGAAAGTGAAAAACTTATCTTCAGTACTGTACCACCTTAATTTATTTGTGTCCTATTCATTTTAGCAGTAATCAACTCCAGAAGGCATGTATTGTTTGAAACGTGTTGGCTAGCTGCATAGCTGACCAAATGCCTGTTAACTCTTGAACTTCAACAATCTGATTATCAATCCTCTAAACTTGCCTATACATTTCTTTTAAAATCACAAAATTGAATTTAGTATCAGATCAAGAAATCAACCCTTAAATTCATATTTTCTTTTCTATCAGATCTTCTCCACAAGAAATACATTGTACATAGATTGTGAATAGAACTCCACTTTATCATTTACGACAAGGTTGAATACTGCACTTCTCAAGTTAAATATTTCAACGTCTTTCCCTGAGACCAAAATACTATGATCCACTCACCGATGTGGTCTGGGTGGATTTCCAATTCATCAAAATAATTCAATACTGTCTCGTCCTCGGTGTTTGTGGCGCGAAACTCAGCCAGTCGCCGCATCAAACCTTAAATTGCACGGGGAAAACAAACCGTAAGAAAAAAAACAGTTGAAAAGTCCTTACGGCAAACAGAAAGAAAACAAGAAAGTAAGCAACTGCCTTGCACATTCCGCATAACCAATTCATTCGTTTACTAGATAACTTGGTAAAAGTTGAAAACAATGATTTTCGGGTCTCTTCTCTTGTTGCCACATCATGTTAGAGCGCTTTTCGATCGAGTGTTACATTATTAAAACCAAAGTTATCACAAAGGCCAACAGAAGAAAGGAAAGTGCCCTCAAGAGCCAATGAGAACTCAGAATAAAACCAACCAAACTTCCTAAAGCGCGGGAAAACGCGGGCGACCAAGTCGTGATTGGTTTTAATTTTGAATCTGATTGGTTGAGAGAGTGGCGCGAGTTTCTAGACCAATCATGGAGCGAGGTACAGCAAATCAAAGCAATCCCGGATTAAGACTTACTTAAGATTACTTAAGACACTCGATTGAAAATTGTTCAATTCTCTAACCCGATTAAGATGCTTGATTCTAGTTTCCACGGCGGTACACCTTCCGCACTTACTACTGTCGTTCTAAAGTGAATTTAAACTACCTCATTGGCAAATTTACCCCACTCATGAGCACTAATGCGCAACAAAATTGTAACCTTACTATAGAGCCAACGTGCACTTAGCTTTTTTTTTTAGCTGTTATTATCTCACCTTCCTCTGTATTGTGTGTACCAGCGACGACACTTTCAGGTAAGTTCATCACTCTGGTTTTTAAGAATTCGTCTGGGGCATCAAGTGAAACCACTACCTCTGCATAGACGAAAAGAAAAAAAAATCTCGCTCAGCATAAGACACCACTAACCAGGTGAAATTTGGTAAATAAACAGTTGTGCTGATTTGCCTTTCTCCCCTATACCGCGAATGGAGCGGAAAAATTCCAGAACGGAATTCAGTCAGCATTGTAAAAAGTTGGACCAGTTACGAGCGCGAGATTAGATTAGCCGGTAAGTTTTAAGGATTTAAGATCCCTTCCCGCTGAGATGCTTCAATGACCGAACCCAAAGTTGGTATATTTCTTAATACATTTATGGCGCTCACTTCACCTGGCATGATGAGTTTGTCGTAACTGAGTGGTGAGTCCTCCTCGCCTTCTTCTCCCTCTTCAGCTGAAAAAAAAAAACAAAAAAAATAAACAAGAATGTTGAGCGTTCTATAATTGACGAGTGTCGTAAAAAATAATACCCAAGTAGTCCAACCAGAATGAAGGGAAATGTCACAACGAGCCAATAGAAATTCCAAGTGACACCATATAAACTGAATGAAGTGCGGGAAAACGCTAGCGACGAAGACGTGTTTGGTCTCAGTCGTGCATTCGATTGGTTGAGAGGGTAGCACGGGATTTCTAGACCAATCACGGAGCATCTCTTGAAAATCCAATGCAATCACTCGGTTGAAAATTGTTCTGGACAGCAAAAAACACCAGTTTATATAAAAATACAGTTATGGCTGAGAAAGTGGATTAAAAAAGGTCTTGGGAGGGTTGTGCGTAGACTTGTCAATAACAAAAAAAAGCTGTGGTAAGAAGCCAAAAGTAAAAGATATCTCCCTTATAATAATAGAGTTTTGGAAAGGTTTATTGTGAGTTCGCCAAATTACGTTGATTACTCTTCTGGTACATTCAGCGATATAATGAAATTTTAATGCCTGTTTCAACGCAGAAAATTGTTTTCACTCACAAGGAAATCAAGAAATCGAAATTTCCCAAGGAGGGCAAACAATCAAAAGAAAAAAACTTAAACGAAGGAGGATGATTTGAGATGAAGAATTTCAAGTTAATTCAGGCGCCTTGAAAGCATGGCATCAGCTCCTGAGAGACACTTTTAGCTGCACTCTTAACAAACAACAAGTATTGCAGACATGAAGTGCTAAGACAAGATATATTTCCTAATTCAGGCTATACCTGCAAATAACTCTTTGGCTTGTTCATATGTTTTTGGGTATCCATCCAAGATAAAACCCTAGTTATAACAGAAAACGACATTAGCAGGTGATCAAAACAAGAAAAAATTAAAACAAATGAAAGCAACAGTTGTCAGTGAAAACTGTAAGTAGGATACTATAGGATGGGTAGAATTAATTATTTAACTACTTGGGTGCGATGTGAGTCTATCGGACCACATCTCTAACTTTTGTAAGGGAAGTTCGTGCCTCATAATGGACTAAAGTACTTAAATTCAGCTAGACACACAATGTAATACAACGAACCTGGTTTTGACAAGGCATGGAATGCAATTTGTCTTTGTAGAACCTGATTATGTACTGATCTTCATAACGAGCTGAGTGGAAAGACGAAAAAAAAAAATGAAAATTAGTTTCATACAACAAACCAACGAAAAAAAGAGGGAGAAGCTCTAAACAATGTTTTATTATGCACTCCTGAGCCATCATCCCAATGAATTTTTTTCATTGCGTTCCCATAGCCTGCTAAAAGAGCGTCTTCTTCTTTCGTTTTGTTTGCGTTTTTCGTCGAGCAGAGGCAAGCACGAGGCGCGCGCAAAGGGCATGTCATGCGCGAGAGGACGACTGTTGACTCGCCTTTCGCGTGCGCTTACTCCTTGACTAATCCCCTCCATTATGTCGAGTAGAATCAAGACGAGGTGCACGCGCCGTACACGTCATGCATTGATCCCCACCATACAGTGTCGAACAAAATCAAGCAGGAGGGATGCGTCATGTGCGAGAGGACGACCGTTTGACTCGCATTTCGCACGTGCCTTACGCACGCCTTCTTGACTTATCCCCGTCATTATTCACTCTCCGCTTTTTCGCATTTCCACGAACCGAGAGTTTGACGCTTTAATTTAAGATTACTCGAAATGCACGATCGACGGCTAATATCTACTGATGACTATAAAAATGCTGGATTTTATCATGTGTTCTCATACCACTATTTCTATCCTTGCTGTCCTGAAGAGTCTCAAGGAATTCTTGATCTTCTTGCGCCTTTAAATCGTCTTCATCACCTCCCTCGGCTTCTGCACGAGCAGCACTGCGTTGCTAAAAAAAACATAGCACTGCAAATGATTAATGTGTCAGATTTACATCGGTATCTTGGTTGTCGTCAATCTTCTTGTAGTGTAACCACAACAGAGTTATTTCACAAGATCTTCAGAAGGAGGTTTTGAACACTTTACAGTTGAAGTAAAGGTCAGGAATAACCTTTTTTTAGTCACACTGCTTGGCTGTAGTGTGGAATGCTCTAAAAGAGATCTAAAGAACTCATGGATACGCCTTATATTAATACCTTATCGTTGTTATAATAAAAAAGGGTGGCAAAGTGTTTGTTTATGCGCGACGCATGATTAAGCCCAAAATTAAAACGTGAAGTGGGAATTTTTCAGAAAGGAAAGATAAGGCGAGATTTCGCGACGCGTGAAATACAGATTACAGTACACGTGACGTGTGTGACCTTTCCCCCCCATCCATTTGCTACCCTCCCAAAACGTGCTGTGAAAAGTTCAATTTCATACAAAAAATTACAATGTTACAGATGAACATGTATGATTTCCATGAAGCCTTGACCTTACCAGTTTATCCACAGCTTCATCAATCACATCTTGAATTTTGATATGATGAAGTTTATAGTGTTCACAAAGCTGTTTGATGACCAGAGTTTTTCCTGATGCTGGGGGGCCAATGATGCATGCCCTGAGAGGCTAAAATGCAAATAAAATAAAAGAGATTCAGCAAACTTTCCAGTACAGCAATGATACCAATGACACTGAATTGTCAAAAAAATGCAATGTTGGTTCTACAAATCCTTCTAGGAAGATAATAAATAATGGTAACAGGACTGAGTGGAGTCCAATTCTGTCTGTAACCATACAAGTGATTATTAAAAAAGACCCAGAGTTCAGCTCACTAACCATTTGGACACTGTATGACTCCTACATGAAAGTACTTACAGGTAAATTAATTGTATATGTGCAAGAGACCTTACCAAAAGTCCCCTTGTTTCTTTATACTCTTTAATGACACCATCAATGTTCTCTGTAAGTCCAGTCTGTGGATTTAATAATTGGGAAATCTTAACACTTCTAAGTTCCTGGTAATATATGTATGTTTCTACATCTTTGTAGATGGTTGATCCATTGTTGCGTAATTCAGGCAGATTGCTTCTCTGTACATAGCTCTCTTAGCTAACTAAGAGCCACTCTACAGCCACCCCCCTACCCTCCAAAAGAAAATCAGAGGGGAGGGTAGGGGGATTTGAGAGTTAACCCTTCAACCCTGTCATTCTCCTTACTGTCAAACATACAATTCTTATAATGTTAGTTCTAAGAATTTAGGATTGGATCAACTGATTCTCCCCAAATTAATATTTTTCTTTATTCTCATAACTCATCTGGTTGATATTGCATTGATATTGTCAGGAGAAATTCTGTCTTGATCACACATGGGGGTTAAAGGGTTAAGAGAAAAAAGAGTGAGAATAAAAGATATCAAAACAAGAACCTCTACTAAAAACATCAAAGTTGCATACATGTGTAGTGACTGTGCTTCTCTTAATAGAAAGAGGAATACCAAATCAGCACTGAAATAATATTTTAAGGAGAAATTCTGTCTTGGTCACTCATGGAAGTTAGAGGCTTATAATGGTTACATGAATATTTCTTACTTCTGACACCCAGTTGATATTCATTCCCTCTTTTATGTAAGTGGCATCCATTCTCAGATTGACTAGGAGCAAGTCAAAGTCAGCTTGCTTCAAAAGGAAGGAAATTAAAATAATATTAATTAAATAATAATTACTAGCACTTAAATCAACAAAAAATTGTTCACAGTAGCAAAAAAATTCATGTGAAAAAACGTGATTATAATACCTCAAGTTCTTTAATAAGAAGTGCTTCCTCCTTTGTGATATTCTTTACTTTTCCATTTCCAAGGTGTAAACTAACAGCCTGAAACAATGCATCAAACAATTTAAAAATAACTAACTACCATTAATTTTTCCTCTCTAAAGTCATATGATGATGAAAAAAAAACCAGTTATTATAATAACAATAACAAAAATGGCTCTTTTGTCCACTTTTCCATGGTGAAATCAGAAAGTGGAATATTGGTTTTGAGAAGGGAAGGAGGGGGGAGGAGGTAACCAAGGGACCTTGAGAAAAACCCTTAGAACAAGGACAAGGCCCATCAACAAACTCAACCTGCCTCTGATGCCAAGTCTAAGAATCAAACCTTAATTCCAAGTTCCCATTTCCTCATTTCCTCAATCCTCATAGTAATTACTCAGAGGTCATATATGAATCAAAATGGAACAAAAAATGACTTGACAAAAAACTACGCAAACAATAGTTACCTTGACAATTTCTTCAAGAGTGTTCTTAGACTCATCCACTGCCACCAGATAGCGTACTTTGGGATTCTGATCACAAATATTCACAATTACTGCTGCCAGGTCTTTGATGTGGATGGTGGGTACAATATTTTGGCCATTGCCAAAACACTGCAATGCAGGCGCCTGACCATGCCATGCTGTTTTAAACAGAAAGTGAAAGATGTCCTCTCCTGATCCATATGTTAAACCTGCTGCCACAACGTAAGTGATAAACTTGGACTTGTTTGTTTTTCCATGTTTGATGACAAGCTTCTCTGCACTGATGTGGGATTTGAAGTTTGGATGGGCTCTCCTGCGGCGGTAGTCATCCTCCGTGAATGATATCTCTGGGTCATCCTGTGTGAATGCAAATGAAAAATTATTACTGAAAATTAACATATTGTCATTATTTCCTTCACGATTTTGCAAGAATATCATGGTTTCTAAGGTGAAAAACAAAACATCACAACCAAGAAATAGATTGTGTGGTCAATAGTCCATTTTACAGTTGTGTGCTTGGTTGCCAAGCCTTTGAACAGGAATGAGGCTAAGGGTGACCTTGTTATGATACAAACCTTGCTGCTTTTCAAATGCAAATTACTTTGATATCATGCTAACTAGATACTGGTCTCTATCACAACAAGGTCACCTTCAGCCTCACTCCAAATCAAAGGCTTGGCAACTAAGTAAACAACTGTAAAATGGCCTATTAGTTGACAGGAAACTTTGAATTTGTACAATGAATATAGTAGTGCCAAGGGAAACAGTAAACTTCCTTTGGGTAGAGTGTACATTTTTTTTAAGTTTGTACTTTGCTTGAAGGTTTCAATTAAATTGTAAAAGAATAAGAGCAAGACAACCATGGAAACTCACAGGATCAAGTGGTTTGCTTCTTGCCCATGTCATCACAGTTGATAAACAAATGAATACTTTCAATGTGTTGAAATTCTCCAGTTCTGCATGAAGGGCTGCAAAAGGATCACATATATGACATTATAAATGCTTTATCCCCAAAGTTCTGAAAGAGTTTTCTGCTAACTCAACCCTTTAACTCCCATTAGTGACCAAGACTGAATTTCTCCTTACAATATCAATACAAAATCAAGAAGACAAGTAACAAGAACCAAGAAAAGTATCAATTAGGGGATTATTAGTTGATCCAAAACCAAATTCTCAGAAGTAACATCAGAAGAATTGTATAGCAGACAGTGAGGAGAATTACTAATGAGATCTTGGGAGTTTAAGGGTTAAATAACATTGAATTTCTTGAATAACTTAATTGAGTGTTGTGAATTTGATGACATATCTAAATACACCAAAGATCAATTTGATAATTTTCTCTATTCTTATTTTCTGTGTGATAAAAGTTCTCTAAAATTATTAGGATAATTAAACTGCTGATCACTTCTGAAGGAAAAGGGTTAAGCTAAATTATTCAGAGGCAATATAAGTGATCTGGGCAGTTTTAGATTGAATTAAGGATGACAACTTTTTGTTCTATGGATGCTGCTCAATTTCTGGTACTTCAAATAAGATTAATGATTTAAATGAAGATGAGAGTGGTCATTGTAGTTATGAACACTACTAAAGGAGTGATGAAAACAAAGCCTGAGAGAAAAAAAAATAAGGCCTGTACAGAAGTTGAACCCAAGACTGGCTGTTTAAAACTTAGATAACTTGGTTTAATCCCTGAGTTGATAATGTACATTGACCAAACATTTGTTTTTAAAGCTGACATTCAGAGTGTTAGTCCTAAGCCATTTGTTCTGAAAGTAATAAAACTACCAAGGTAGCATGTACCACAGCTCCGTCAAAAACTAACCCTCTTTATCCATTTGCTGTTTAAAACCTAGCTGAGCTGAATTTTAATTCAATTGATTGAAGGTTAGTCAGAAAAAAAACATGAATAATGTAGAAACCAATCCCCTGCCTAGCCCCAATCCATGTGGCTATCCCTATGAGTTTGACCTTCATGCAGATCATGCAAATAAGAGGTGTGAGCTCGAGTTGAAAAATTTATCAAGAGTATGTTCTTAAGCCAGTTGCACTCCAAACTTGTCTCATAAATTGCCCTTTCATAGAGTGTTTTGCATTTCCTATGTTATTCATAATTCCTATGTTTTTTGTATTTCCAGTGTTATTCATAATATTATCTCCAATCTTGTAGTTGTTCTGTTCTTGATGAGTAAAGAAATTAAACTCCACATAAATTTATTGCTGGTGCATTGGTTACAAATAACAAATTACCTGACACTGCCCAAGTAGCCTCATCTACCTGATCAGGACTCCCAGTTATGTCATACACAATAATGTCGCACTCCAGTAAATGGGGAAGCAGATCTTCTTTCGTATTGTACTGCAGAGTAAACATGAGAGTTATCCACTGAAATCGCTTTACAGGTCAGGTCCCAGTTGTTGAAAGGGTGGATAAAGCTATCTACTGGATAAACCTCTATTCGCTGAATAACGCATTACGTCTTCTTGACACTTATCCGCAGATTACCCTCCTTTTGAACAACTAGAGCCAGATCGTCCAATGTCAGATAACTCCACAGTATAGTCTGATCATTTAACTTAACAGATGATTAGATGGACAGATCACAGAAGTATACATACATCCAAAAGTGTAATAAAACATAAATCATTATGACTGAAAGTTAATTAGCAAGGTTTTAGCTAAGAAATAAGGCTGACGTCAATTCATATATACCTCAAAGACTTCATCAACCCACTTTGGTTTGTGTTGTGTTGGATCCTGTAAAGTACCAACTACTTTGTAACAATTTTCCTTTGGAATTTGGGGCTGTCCACTAGCTTGAGACTCATCATCATTAACTTCATCTTCTTCTGCTGTAGCACCAACCACAGACTCTGTCAATATCTATGAAAAGTAAAGAAAGATATCAAAACTAAATTAAAGCTACGGGGATTGATTGCAAACTCGACTAGTTAAAAAAAAAAACATTTTTTCCAAACTAAAGCGCTTATTCATAAGCAGAAAACCTGCACCACAACACATCAAAGTCAGATCTGTTTGATAAAAGGACCAAAGAGTTCTGTGTCTTAAAATCCAGAGTTGAGTTTCTGCTCCAGATGCTTCAAGTTCCGGTTCTTCAGACGAAACAGATATAGCAACAGCATGTCCCTCACCTTGCTTATACTTTTTCCAGTATATAAATCCACATGATTCACAAATACTAGTGTCCTTTTAGGATTCTCTCCATCTGCGTTCGGTAAGTCCGCCATTTTTGCTCTTTTTGCTTTTCTCCCCGAGAAACGTTGCTATGGAAATTGAGCGGATGAAACCTGGGGAGAGCTTCCCATGATTCTACTCGCCCCACCCCTTCACTCGTAAATTTTACAATAAGCGAGTTACAACAACTGTAGATGGCTTCGTCAACGGACCAAAGCTCAATGAAAACGATGCCGTCTTCTCGAGGACTTGGATCTATTTCAGACCTCAAAAACCTCTTTCCTACGAAAACACACTTTTTGATTTTCGTAGGGTACATGGCCCTATTTATAAGCCAAGGTCTGTGGGCTAACTTACCACACTTAATTCGTTTCCTTATTCTCAATAAACAAAAAAACCTCGTTAATTGATTTCGCAGTATTGGCTTTTTCTTACTTGATATTTGTGGTATAGTACAATATATTCTTTGTTATGCTCGATATGTGTCACAGTAATTAATATTGGCCGCTTTTTTTCCGACAGGCATCCTTGTTACAGCAACTAAAGACAAAAGCAACCACTACTCGTATAATACTGTCACTGTGGTTCTACTGACGGAATTCGTCAAACTCATAATTGCCGTCGGAATTCAGCTTCAAACGTAGGTGTATTGAAATTATAATTAAACATATCGTGTTGTAAAGCAGTTTTACACGCATATAATATCTTGCAAGGCTTGTATATGTTTGTATATTGTGATCAGCTGGATGTGTACTGTGAAGGTGTTGTTGTCAGCGTGAAAGCACAGACTTGAAAAGCACCATAAAATTGAAATCGCTTTGTTTCTGTTTAGATCAACTTTCGGGGAGTTCTTGCAGCATATCCGATCTAATGTCAAAGGTATTTTTCTGTTTTTTCTTATCCTTACAATTAAAATAGTCCTGTTGTGGCTAGAAGTCCCCTAAAGTTTAAAGTAAATGATTAAATTTTAGATTGTTTGGTGATTGTGTGAAATCAGTGTTAAAGGTAATTGAAAATTTACTTGCACACGAGTATTTTCTTTGATTTTAGACCCTTGCCTTGACACTGTAAATCTTGAATTCTTGTAAATTGTCAAACAGACATCAACTTGTTTTAAATTAATTAGCAAAAAATTTACTTGTCAACCTTTTTCCCTGAGATCTTTCCCATCTAATGTTAATGTATACCACTCACTATGGCACTGTCTCTATAAAGATGTAGACCAGCTTTATTTAAAAGATATACACATGCTTAATGTTGCCTCTTTTCTCTGATTTTGTCTCTAGTGCTGGTACTTTACGTGGTACCTTCCTTCATGTACTGTCTCTATAACAACTTGGCTTTTGTGAATTTAGCCAACTATGACCCAACAACTTACTACCTCCTGCTGCAGTTTAGAGTTGTGGTAACTGGAGTAATCTTTCAGGTAATAATGCAGGCAATAACTCTGTTTAATCTATCATAATCTCTTTTCTGTTTTATTTTTCCAGGCAAAGCTGATAAGTTTTGGACACCTCTGATTAAATTTGTTTTGCTAATCTTACCATCACATTTTTTAAAGTCAGATAGGGAAATTTTTCTTTGGGGAAATTTTAAAAAATCTGACAAATATGGTTCTTTTGCTTAGAAATCAGAAATTGAGCATTCTTTAAGATTTCATATGTAGTCATGGGAAAAACCACCTAATTAGCATTTCAAATTATGGAAGAATTCTTCTAATATAGAATGGTTGCTTTGCCAATTTTTTTTGGAAATGATTTAGTCAATATTAGTTTTAACACATGTTCCACATGCATATTTGTTTTCAGATAAGTTTTAGAGTTTTACACCTTTCAGTGAAACAACAAATCAGTGAAGTTACTCCCTCCTTAAGGGTTTTCTGCCCATAAGCAATTAGTAATGAAAACTATGAAACTATGCAGCAAATCAAGATTTTGATTTCACTAATAGTGAAAGCTTTCCTTTGGAGCACCTCAACTCATTAATTTTTTTTTTCGGTGATTAATTATTAACAAACTCCAGCCTAACATCAATCCAGTAGACTTCTCTTTTCAAAGGACACTTGTCAGTCCCTGAGGGCGTCCCCTTCAGGGGAGTTCCACCGTGATTTCATGTCTTGTTTAGGGCAGTGCCTCTTTTCAACCAAGAGATGCAAGTCCTGATTTTTTTATAAATTAGACATTGTTATCCATGTCTGTCAGGATATGTTCAAATTCTCATTTGGTCCTCCATCTTACAAAAGGAAACTTATGCTACAATGTGTTTGGGGATTTAAAAAAAGTTTTTCTCTTGTTTCCAAATTTTTGCTACCAGCCATGGTGATCAGAATTGTAACAGCTTGGAGCTCTGAACCTAAATGTTTATCTTACTTAACCTTGTAACTCCCATGAGTGACCAAAACAAAATTTCTCCCTACAATATCAATACAATATCAAGCAGACAAGTGATGAGAATAAAGAAAAATACCAGTTAATCAGTTAAGGGATAATAAGTTGATCCAATACCAAATTCTCCAAACTAACATCACAAGAACTGTATGGCAGACAGTAAGGAGAATTACTAATGAGATTATGGTAGTTAAAGGGTTAAACTTAAAACTTGGTGATTCAGTAAATGGAACTCTTAATTTCTTTATACTATGCAAACTGGGATCAGCTTGAATTGCAAGAGCTGCTGGGCTTGAGGATAGTTTTGACCTAATCCACTTAGAAGAGAGAATTATTGATCAGATCTTGTGAATTAAAAGTGTTTAAGAACTTACCTGTATTTTTTTCTTGCAGATATTGTTTAGTAAGAAGCTAAGTGGGCTTCAGTGGGTATCTTTGCTGTTGCTAACATCTGGTTGTATTATCAAGCAGATCAAATTTGAGAACCTTGCGGCAGGAAGTAGCTCTTTCTCCATACAGTTTGACATTCATCTTCTGTTAATCCTTGTCCAAGTGTTTTGTTCCTGTTTTGCTGGTGTTTATAATGAGTATTTGTTAAAGGGCAAAGGTGGTGATGTGCCATTTATGGTTCAGAATTTTTTCATGTATGTAGACTCAGTCTTGTGTAATTTTGCCGTTCTCTGGTACAATGGCACATTATCTGATGCATTTACTGGAGAAAGCCTAGCATCCATTGCCAGAGGTAAAGTTTTGGCCATTATTTTCAATAATGCTGGCATTGGCATAACCACAGCATTGTTCCTGAAGCAGCTGAATTCTATTCTTAAGACTTTTGCTAGTGCACTAGAGATCATGTTCACTGCTGTATTGTGCTGGATTATCTTTGGAATTCCAGTTGATATTTTCACGTTCGTTGCCATTGCTATTGTTTCTTACGCAGTAATTCTTTATGCTCATAATCCTGTAGATAACACACCTAAGCCTGTAGAGGGCAATCAGAAATCAAACACTAGTGTTTAGAAGCTAATTTCTTTTTAAAATCACACACACACCTAAGAGAGGAAGGTACCCAAAGAAATAAGTTTTGGCTGTAGGTATTAGATACCAGGATAGTGGGTTGCAGGTGAACTAGCTGAAGAGCTAGCTCTTAGCTATCCAAGACATGTCAGTTGAAGTTTTGGAATGGAAAAGATTTTAGAAAATGAATTCAAGGTAGAAGGTAGACTTGAAGGTGGAGATGACAGTCAGGTTTTCTCCAAGTTTTGTAGTGAGGAGAGCAAAAAGAGTGATCACCATCTAATTTCCTCTTACATTATCATCCCTAAGTCACACATGTAGATCACAAGAAAAAGGGAAATGATCACCAACTAAAGAAGTTTTTGATTCAAGTTCTCCTTTTCAGCACCCCTGGGAAATTTATAGAGAATAGTATGGAGATTATACATACCAATGTTAGGTGGTAAAGGATTAAAAGAAGACTGGCTAGTATCTAGTTTATTAGATTTAATATGTAGTCTTTAACATCTTTAGTTGATGACCAAAGTGACCAGTGAACTTCACCACTTCTGACTTAAAGAGAAAAGCATTTTACTTTAATTAATTCATTTATTTGTTTTCATAAAGCTATTATCAAATGTAGGTCTGTGTTAAGATCAATTTATACTGTGCACTTTTTGCTTGTGATTTTTGCATGTAAACACCTAAGAAATGAGAGAATTGATGAAGAAGGGAAATTAGTTTGACCAACAAATCACCTGTGACAACATCAGAGGTAAAAAAAAAAAGAATTAAGCATTTAAATTGGTCTTGAATTGCAGATGAGCTAATACAGAACACATTCATGCAGCTAATTTTAGTTAAGCATTACCAAGTAAATATTTTCTTTCTTTAAACTTTAAATCTCCAGTTAACAACTAGCTTTTCAGACTTAAGAATGTTTAACACATGCATCCACATCTACTATTGGAAAAGGTTAATAAGGTCTTAGTTATGTCTTAGTACAGTACTGAACTGTTCAGGAACACACCTACCATCCACATGTCAAAATACACTTTCATATTTCTAACTGTGATAAAGTAGATTACATAGTCTAAACAGTTGAAGTTGGTATTTTATTAGCCAGGGCCCAGTTATTCAAAGGGTGGATAATGCTATCCAACAGATAAATTGCTATCCTGTAGATCAGTACTAACAAAATGTACTGTGCTATCCACTGGAGAGAGATTTATCCATTGGATAGTATTATCCACCTCTCCAACAACTGAGGTCGGGTTTTTTAAGTTTTCCATTACTTTTATCCATTTGGGTTAATTTTTTTCCTTTTCCCATGCTCAAGAGGAATATATTTTTCATTTTTAAGGGTATGACCACCTTTAAATAAGGACATGAAATGGTTAAAAGAGTCCTGAATTGTGTGTCCCACATTAAGTCTTTGCACAATTTCTCTAATGAGAAATAAAAAACTATTTCTGAATTTTTCAATTTGATCCACCTCAAGCTTTTGTTAAGGAAGATGTGTCAATTGTGTTAGATTCCATTCAAGGTAATTTTATTAGACACATACTTAAAAAAAAAAACCTTGTCAATTAAATTATTGAAATTTTGTCAACAATAAATTCAGAAGAAATAAATTCAGAGACATCAGTGTTTTACTTCATACTAGCAGTGTTTAATCTATTCATACTGATGGTGGACAACAGAAGCCTTGAGCCTGGTTGTTGGGGAAACCTGACAGGGTTTCCAGCTTATTTGCTTCCATGTATGTCGTTTGTAAACCCCATCAGAGGTACCTTTAACCCTTTAACTCCCAGATCAAATTTGTCATTCTCCTTACTGTCAACCATACAATTCTTATAATGTTAGGTCAGAGAATTTAGTATTGGATAAACCAATTATCCCCAAATTGATATTTTCCTTCATTCTCATCACTTATCTGGTTGATACTGTAATGATATTGTAAGGAGAAATTCTGGCTTGGTCACTCATGGGAGTTAAAGGGTCAAGTTATTTCCTTATCCTCTTCCCAGTCACGCATGTAACGCTCTTTCTAGTTACCAGCCTTCTTTCGGTCTCAGGCTGATATCGAGGGAAAAGAGGAATGTCGTCACTGTTTCCGCCATGATGGTTTTACAAAATTGTTAAGCCTCGTGCAGTTGAGGAAATTTTACGGCTTTCGTGAAAGGAATCTCTGCTTGAAGTCAGTGCCAATGTTTGAGATAACAGATACATGAACGAGGACGACGTGGATGAAACAACCAGTCTAATGTCGGGCGAAGTAGTCACTCAGAATTTTCGTGGTAACAGAAACAGTGACCGCCGGAGTCGAAGAAATGGACAAAATAACGAAATAACAGATGTGGTAAGTACTTTTTGATGCTGAAGATTATAATGAGAGATTTCAGTTTCTGTTCTGATTTCTGAGTTTTCTTTGGTTGTCGTTTACACCCAGGAATCACCTTAATATCATCATTAAAAATCATATTTTTCCCTCTTCAGTTTCGCGTTTAATATTCAAAGATTGCTCAGTTTCAGAACTTTATCAGTTACATTTAGACACACCTAGTGTTGTGCTGTCAGCCCGCGTCCCTTGTAAACTTTCAATGTACTGAAAAGTAGAGAGTTCGAGCCTCTTTCGAACGAAAACACGTCTGTGCTTGATCATGATAACTTTGGAGACAGAAATGGTGACACTTCTGTCATATCCCGTAAACGCCTATTCTAAGCTCCCCTTTCTTTAAAATCAGCGAAATGTTCACTCAGAATTTCCTTAAATCATTAAGCTGGCTTATTTTGGAAATAGATTTAAGAATAGCGGGAAACAGTAGGTGTGGGGTAAAACTAAACAGTTGATGTGAAATGTTAGGGTCCAGGCTTAGTTCAAGAGAATGTGTCATCACTTTCCCCCACTCCATCCAGGAGTTGATTAACCCTTGAAACCCTAACAACAGTTTTCATATTCTTCATACTGTTCTTTGTACATTTCCTATGATGCTGATAAGAGGAATTTGTTTAACGGTCAAGAGCCTCCTTCATTGGTGATCATTTCCTTTATTCTCATGACCTTAATGTTTGATTCAGGGATGATATTGTGAGGAGAAATTAGATGCCAATCTTCTGTAGGGGTTATTAATGATAAAAACTATGGTGTCCACTGTTGTAAAGTAATTTTGATTAACCCTCAGAACCTTAAGCGTAACCAGCTTCTAATTTCTCTTTGCAGTAGTACTGCTGAATCATTCATTCGTTAAAATAAAGGAAATGATTAGCAATTTAAGAAGCTTTGATTGTCAGTACTGAAATAAATGTATAGGGAACAGTATAGAGAATATGGATACTGATATTAGAGTTTAAAAGGTTCAACCAACATACTTATTTGTTTTCCTGTCAGAATGATGGGCCTGAACTGTTTGAAGAAGGTGGTAATGAAAGGCCATCAAGGGCACGTCAGAGAAATCAGGGCAGGGAGCAAAGGGTACGAGATGTATCGCCCAATGATAGTGAAATGGATGAGGAGGAGATGCTCAAATATGGAGCCAAGAGTGTTATGATGTTAATAGTTCCTGTTTCGACCTGTATGTTGGTTGTTGTAGCAACTATAGCGTCAGTGACATTCTATACACGGAAAGAAGGCACATACCTGTAAGTTGCCCACAGCTGTCTCTTGTATACTTTCTTTCGGAATATTGGGAAGGGAATGTCAAAAAAAAGATGAAAAATTTTTTGTTTCAATTTACCAGTCAATCTTTTTTAACATCATTTTGTGTCTTTCCTTAGTGAAGCAACAGACTGCCAGCTCTCATGTAAAACCAACGTTTAAAGGTGTCTTTGGTTGAGATGAGGTGGCATGATGATAGAGTTTTTTTTTATGTAACAGTATTCAGATTTGAAAATTTTTTTGATGGCAGAAAAGTTAACAAGATCTCCCTGAGAAACTATTGGGCAATCATGTGTTGGCAGCCCTTTAACTAACTGATGGTAGTAAGGTGGTTTTCTGTGGCCATTTGCTAGCTGTCTGTTCACTGTCATTTGACCCTTTGTCAGATGTTAGTTCCCTGTAAAAGGTTTTCTGTTGGTCATTTATTTGCCCCTTATCAGCTGTTTCTTGGTTTATTGAGGGCTGTATATAACAGGGTAATTTAGTATTATCAACTGAGTTGATAACATAAATTGGCCACCAAAAAGAGTTTCAAAGCTGACATTTTGAGAAGTAGCCCTTTGTTAGAGCAAATGGGGGAGTTGTGGGTTGTGTTTGTGTTTATATGCAGAAAATGGGGCTATGCCACTGGCGAAAGAAAAACAAATAAATTAGTTGAATGGAAAGCACTTGTTGATACCATGGAGATAAAGAGTGCCGATTTGAAAGATTCATTTTTGTTCTAGAGTTTGGTGGCTTTCCAAACTGCCTAGATGTAGGGAAATATAATAGCCTTCCATTGATCATTTTTCTAATCAATCAACCTCAATGTTGATCTATTAGTGTGTACACACCATTTCATGAGGATGGAAACATAAGCCAGGCAAGGAAGGCTGGAGAGGCAATAGCAAATGCCTCCATAGTGATTGGTGTTGTTCTGGCTCTCACCATTGTCCTTGTGCTGCTTTATAAGTTCCGATGCTATTGTGTGAGTACAGTAATTTTGCTTCTCCCCACATGTAGTTTAAACTTGTTACTCATATTACGTGATTGTAATGTAGTAAAGTTAGTAACATCATATGGTAAAGTATCATTAGATAATGAATGATTGTTATTGGTGAGCTGTAATTTTAAGCAATTACAGAAAAGAAGCCTGAAAAAAATTATATGGACTACGCAGCCATGCATTGGAAATGGGAACATTCTAGAAGGCTTGTGTAAATCATGAAATTCTAGCAGCATGCTGGTATTTGCCAAACAATGCAATTGACTGGTTATGGATTATTATTTCTCTGTAAAGACTTATAATATTTATAGGAAGATTGTACTAATCTGCCTCATTTAACAAGGGAATGAATTGTGAGACATATATTGGTAATAATACCACAGTGCCACACCTTCCTTAAAGTAAATTTGTTAGAGTGAGATTCTCAGATCTTTTTAAAAGGGAAATTAAGTTAGTGAAATATAATAATTAATTACCTTAAAACATTCACAGGAATGCTCTGGTTGTTTCCTAGGTAATATCAGGATGGTTGGTGCTATCGTCTTTAATGCTGTTATTCTTCTTTGGCTACATTTATTTCCAGTAAGTCATCCATACTTCACACTCACTTTACCAGCTTTGCTTTCCCATTAAATAAAACAATTGGAACTTGTCATTATGTGACTTCTTAGAATGATGGCGAATGTTACTGTTGGTCTTAGACTCTCAGTTTTATTGAGTGTGTAGCAAGTTTTCAAAGCCTATAACAGATCTCATTTAAGTAAACCCAATTCAATCACAAATTAGTTTTGACACTTATTAAAAATATCTCTATTTACTCTATTTTCCTTGCCACACCTAGTCTGTTTTTCTAGGTTGTCATCTATCCTAGGCTTTCCTTTGTTTTTGGCAAAGGTGCTTTGTATGTCAGTGACAAAAAAACGTTTTTTTAATGTTCAATATTTGTCCTTGTTGTCAACAGAGAGGTGCTGAAGGTGTACAACGTAGCAATGGACTACTTCACATTATCATTGATAATCTGGAATTTTGGGGTTGTAGGAATGATTTGCATACATTGGAAAGGACCTCTTAGATTACAACAAGCATACCTTATCTTAGTTAGTGCTTTGATGGTAAGCCATAGCTTTGTTTTTTTGGTTGTTTTTTGTTGTGAGATGTGTACTGGTTTGAAAGCATAAGATAAAATTCTTAAACTAATGAGTCACTAACAATACTTAGTGAGGCCAAAACACACTAAGTTTCATGTCCTTATTGTTCACTTCTGGACACTTAATTCCACAATTGCCACATTCCCATACATATCAGTGAAGCCTTTCACTTATAATTTTAGATCTAAAAATGTGCTAACCAATCAAACAATATTCCCCCAGTTGATGAGTTTTTCTCTTCTTGTCCCATTTCTGCTTGAGAATGTATGGATGTTTAGAAGATGTGGGGCTCAAAGCAAAGTTTAGCAGATGCAAACGTACTCAGGGGTTTCAATAGATTGTCCATAAGAGGCTGTGGGTGCTGTACCAGTAATAGGCACGTGTGTTCAGAAAATGGGGCGTAAAGCAAAACCCTAACAGGAGAGCCTGTTTGAAGGCTAAATGGACCTGAAGTCTTACATACAGTGGTAGACTTCTGTTAACAGCTTTCATACTTTTTTTTTTTTTTTTTTTTTTTTTTTAATTGGTGATGCAAAGCTTGTTTTACTCCATAGGCTTTGGTTTTTATCAAATATTTGCCAGACTGGACTACTTGGGCAATATTGGCAGCTATTTCACTCTATGGTAAGCAACAACACCCTCTCTTTAGTCTTACTGTGGGTTTATATTGCTTGTGAAATACCTTAAATAACAGTTGCAATGGTTGATTTTTTTTCCTGTAGATTTGTGTGCTGTTCTATGTCCCAAAGGGCCTTTGAAGATTTTGGTGCAAACTGCACAAGAACGAGATGAGCCTCTCTTCCCATCATTAATTTACTCCTGTAAGTTTTTTACATTGCAGCTACAATTCAACATGTGAAACATTGTCTAGAAGTGCTCCTCCAACAAGAGATTCAGGCATATTCTGAAAAATAAAAATCCAATTGTTTGTTGTGTTTCCAGCCACCATGATGTGGTCAATTGGCATGGCTGATAGAGACAACAGTGAAGGTGCAGGAGCAAGAGTAACATCAGTCACACGAGTTAATTCAGAAGACGAGGAGGAATTACTAGAGACTACTGAAGGGGTAGGACCCACAAACGAGGCTGCAGAAAATGCAGTGAGGGCCCTGGGTTCACAAGAGGAAGAACAAGAATCACCAAATGATGGTCAAGATAGTGAAGAAGAAGAAAGTGAGTTCACTTATTGTATACTTTGGAATATTTGATCATTTAGTGTGAATTTCTTCTAAGAGGAACTCTGAAAGAACTGTTGATGGTGAAAATGAACAAGTCATTACCAGAATCCCAAAGGAGACAACAATCTGTTACTTTTTAAAATACTCATCCTTACATAATCTTGATAGTGCTTGTATGATTTTATGCTTTTTTATTGAGTGTTTCAATTTATTGGTGTCTGAGAAAAGGGTGTGTTTTTCAGTGTTTTTTTTTTTGTTTGTTTGCCTTAGCTAAAACTGCTTCAGGGTTTCATTCCCATAGTGTTACCTGTATTTTCCATTGTTTGGAGAGTTCTTCCTCAAGTTTTGACTGATTGACCAGTTGTTCAACATAACCATGTATGATTTCCTCAGCGTAAATTTAATTTAAATGAATCCTAAAGAAACACAGAGTTTAATGTGTCGCTTTAGGGAATATTAGTGCTTTTTGTATTTTTTAAACAGTAAGAATCGTGAATCATTCAGTGATATATGGTAATTTGTAAAGCAATCTTTTATATTTGATGTTATTTATCATTATTTTTATCACCAGAGGGTGTAAAACTAGGCCTTGGAGATTTCATATTCTACAGTGTTCTGGTTGGCAAAGCATCCTCCTACAAGGATTGGAACACAACAATTGCTTGCTTTGTAGCTATACTTATTGTAAGTGCTGAAAACTGGTCATTCCTTAATCATTAACTCCTTTTTATTGCCTTGTTGTGAGATCTGTGATCTGCTCAATGATGATTCGCATTATTATGATGTCAAGATGTACTGAGAGTACTTTTTTGACTATTGAAAGGGACCAGTTTTTTTTTTTTTTTTTAGCTAATTCTGGTGTCTGAATCTGACTGAGCAGCCAGTTTTAATTTGGGAATCTACTGGGCTAAGTTGTTCAAAGCTTGGTTAAGATAACTCAGGGCTAGCGAGAAATCTAACTTCTGATCTGAAATCTTTAAAAAAAAAATTCCGTATACTTCTTTCTGTCTACAGTTTGATGATTGCAAAAATATCCCCGTAAATCCTCTGAGGGCCTCCACAATTCTTTGACAAATTTCTAAGGTTGAATGAATGTCAGACCAGCATTTCCCATGGTCCCTAAGCAATTACCAGTATCTCCCTTTCTATGTATTTTTTAGAGACACACTTTGGCCATGATGGCTACCAATGCCTTTAGGATCATGGTCATTTTTATCAATAACTGTTTTTTTTTATTAAAAAAATCACCTTGATCTTTATTTCTGTCATCAAGCCCTTCCTTGACTTCAAACACAGAATCCTAATGTAGGGTTTTCAACAAGAATTTTGCAAGAATCTTGACCATCATTCAGTGATTCTTGTTCTGCACTATTCTAAGTGCTTTCAATTTTAACAACATTCATACTTTGCCCATTTACCATGTTTAACTGTGGTGGAACTTATTTCACCTATTTATTCACTTCTAAATGGATTATCTGGTTTTATCAACTGAGTTGATAATACAAATTGATCAACATAAAGAGTTTCCAAAACTGAGGTTTTGAGTCTTAGCCCTTTGTTAGAGTAATTGATGAAAGGCTAATGCACAAAACTAAGTTTTAGAAACTCTTCAGAATGGGCGATTTCTATTACCAAATTATCTTGTAATACCCATCACTGCTGTAGCACCACAGTTTCCTCAGAAAATTAATAGGCTTTGTTGTTTGTTCCTTGCAGGGTCTGTGCTTAACACTCCTCCTCCTGGCAATCTACAAAAAAGCTCTACCTGCCTTACCAATATCAATTACTTTTGGACTCATTTTCAACTTTGCCACAACTGAGCTGGTTAAACCATTCATGGACAGCTTGTCAAGTCAGCAGGCCTTCATTTGAGCTTTTGGAACATTAACAATATTATCATATTTTGTATTAAAAGCTGCAGAGAGAAATGGCTATTGAATTAGAATGCTTGTTATTTTGGGGGCAATCCGTGTTAGTAATGAGGCTGTATTACTGTTATTTCAAACATATTTTTCTTTTCGTAAAAAAAAAAAAAAAAAAAAAAAAAAAAAAAAAAAAAAGTGAGAAAGGAAAGAAGCATGGACATAATACATTTTCCTTCACTCATGACAGAAATTTCATCTCCAAATGTCATTGTTAAATTTGAAGTATTTAATATGTACTCATCTTGAACAAACTTTCGTGAACTTCGCTTGTAAACTCTTCCAATTAATGGTAACAGCATCTAAATAATAGTTCTTCAGAAATCACAACACAGGTGGTAGTTTCTGAATTAATAATGATGATAACAGTAAAACATGGCATCATATTCCATAATGTTACCAACAGGGGTGTACAGTATTTTTCCTTTTTTTTCCAAATGCCTAAATACACAGCCATTTGACTGGCTTTTGTGGAAAAATCATTGTTCTGGTATTGTTTTGGAACATCAATTCTGGTCCCTTAATGATTGCCTAGAACTCAACATATACAGGTAGTTTCCAGGATTGCTATTTTTGAGTGGTGATTAACATTTTGCCTTCTCATTTTGTCTCCCTTTTATGCAAACTTAATTCCTTATATTTTGTTGATAATTAACTTTTGTATTGATGTACCAGTCATGAGGTAGTTATCTTTTCCTGAATATGACCAATTGAAGTTGGAAGAATCTTGAAAAAAGCTGCAACATTAGTTTTCATATCTGTTTTTTTTTAACCCTTTAATTCCTAAGATCTGATTGTTACTTCTGTCCTTTAGCTGCTACACATTTCCTCGTAAATTAGTTACAGAAATTTGGTGTTCAATCAAGATCACAATTTCAACCTCACAGGTTTGAGTATTCTCATTGCGTGTTTCCTGGATAATATCTGCACATTATAAGGAGAACTTACATATTAATCACTTAAGGGAGTAAAAGGTTTAAAAATAATGAACAAACTTAGTGGGAAAGTAAAATGTTCTTGTAAATACCAAGCAATGAGTTCAAATCAAAATCATTTAGTTTCCTTCAATAAATTTCAGCAAGTAGTTAATGCAGTAAATTATTTAACTATGAATCCAATTATTATTCTTACCAAAATAGACAGCACTTTGCAATTAAGACTACTTTGTTTCCTAATACTTATATACCAGTAGATCACACATTGAATTTTTCCTGTGCCATTGCTGGGAAGGCAGAAAGAAGCACACAACAGATAAAAAATAAAAGTAAAGAGGTTTTATATCAGTCTATGTTGATCCTTAATGGTAAAAACTATGCAAGACTTCTTGAGTAGAGCCTAAGGAAGACCAAGATAACAGTGTTTTCCTGTACAGACTCCCCACCCAGTATATAAAACATATTATTGTAATTGTAGTGCTCGGAATTTAAAAAAGTGAGGTTGACCTTATTTTAAATGGTGGGCAATCAAAATTCTTGAATTTGGTTAAAAAACAAACTCCACATATTAAGAACACTGCACAAAAGGAAATCAAGAACACTTGTCTTTCCTTGTTTGTTGCAAATATTAAGATGTTCCCAAATGTTAGATGAGCCTAGATTCAACAAAAACTAATACAACTAATACAAGCTAGCAATTTCAGGCAACATTTGATCTCTTTATTTGAATGATAATCTTTCCTACAAGTGTTTATGGCAAAAAATCAGTAATTGAAATGGATTTCCTCAAATCTATAAAATTTAACTGCTAAGCAGTAAATTGTTGTCCAGTTGCAAAAATGAAATGACAGTCCATGAGCTAACCAATCAGTCAAACATATTAACCATCAATTATCTTTTATTTACAGAGTCATTAAGAGTGTTAGAGCTCAGAGAGCCAGTCCCTCATGTAAATACATTTGCTCGGAGATATGGGCCCACCATCGCAACACTGGTTGGATACCTGTAATGGGATGAAATTTCCATGTCAATGTTGGAAAGTCAACCCTTGTGGTCCCAAGGGGGGAGATAGTTACCTTTAGTTCCTTCCCAGTTTTAGCACACTAAGTAGAGATCCTATACACTACCTGTTATGTACCAGTTTAAGTAAACCCTAAAACACCCCCACCTTAAGTATATCAGCTTTGGAGGGCATCGAGTCATAGGTCTTTATGTCTCAAGTGGGTGGGGGATTCAGGCATTTTTGCCTCCTGTCGGCAGGAAAGTGAGGCATTGGTCTGGATCCTAAGGGGAGTGGGGCTTCCCAGACCTGAATTGAGTTTGTTGTTGGTTCTCATCCTTGCTCTGTGGGTATTTCTCCGATTCCTCTGGTTCACAAAAACAAACATTCCAAATTCCAATTTGACCTGGAAACAGTGGACCAGAAGAGCCACCTCATGAACCGTCCACCCCTAAATCCCATCATCATTATGATGGCAGCCACTATTCCTTTGCAGATTTATGGGGATTCTTTGTGTTTTGCTCAAAGAACATGAAAGGAATGGTGAGTTTTTGTTCACATCATTCTCAGATGGCCACAAGATTGTTCAAGGAGTGTTTCTACTCCTGTATTTGTTTCGTCATGCAAAAATGTCATGACTATTTATGATTACAAAACAAATTGCTATATTACCGATAAATCAAGTATAAATCAAGCCTTACTGGACAAACGCCACATGGTGTACTCATGAGTCCTGCTGCTGGCAGCAATGGAGCAAGTGCTCTATAAAGTTTCTTCTGACCATTATCTGATGATCTGCTTGAGCTGTTATCAACAACCAATGACATTTCCGCCTTTCCATCAAAGACTAGTGTGTTTAAAATTGTTTCAATGTCCCCTTCAGCCAGTTGAACCTACAACAGTAAAGAAAAAGTTGACACCTTTATGCTAGAACATGACATGGGTAGAGCAATCCTTTTACCTGTTGATTTTCAAGAATTCCAAGTGATTTTAGGGAGTAACAAGAGTTACTCCAGGTAGTAAATATTACTGGCTCCTGGGTTACCCCTTCAAAAGGAGAACACAGCTTCTCAATGAAGTTTACCTTGCTAATCCCTAATTCAGAGATATACTTCCATACATCATAACATGATGAATAAGATGCATTCCTCCTGGCCAGTGGATCTACATTCATTTGTTCAACTTGCAAAGCCTGCAATGAAAAAATACCAATTTTCAACAGAGATATAAATTACAAAATTATTAACAAAATTCCAAAATATCCTCCACTGAAATGCGTGTTGTTGTGTAGTCTTCTCAGCTAAATTCCACAAAACTAAGACAGTTTGGTGCAGTTCTGTCCACAAGGATTTTTTTTATTGGTGGGGGTTGTTCTTTTGAGGGGTGGGAGTTAGAAAATAAACCTGCTCTCCCTCTGACAAAATCTGTTGATTTTGCTACCTTGTATGAGATGAAAAATTCTATGTATTAAGGCATGTCAACCTTGGAAGCCATATCCAGCATATTGAGAAAGAATTTTAAGACTCTGGCACACTAATTATCCTACCCTTTGTTCTAGATACTTGTGACATTGTTGATTGAGCACTTCCACAAATTCTGATTCAAAATCCTGATCACTGTACCAAGCTCCTCCAGTCACTGTTATATCTGGTTCCAAGTTGAATAACATGTATACTTTCTTTCTGGAGGCCTGAAAAGATGGTCATTAAACATGAGACAATATCCACTGAAAAGAAAAACCCTTTTTACCTTGGTTCTTATCACAAAAGAACTAAAGCAGCATTGATGTTATTTGGGTGGGTTTGTAGAAATATGTCCTCTCTCAACTCACAAATCAAGATTTTTTGGACTTTTGGCATGAAGAATCACTGAAGTTAATGTTGTACCAGATATTGGAAAAGAAGCAGGATGAATGAGCACAAACTTGCCCAAAGGCAGCTGTTTCAAGATGTTTGAAAGCCAGAGATGAAGCAAACTGGCGTCCATCTTGTCTTTTCTCAACTTGTAGGCAAACAGATGTCTGGTAATGACTTTCAACCAAAAACAGTCAATGTTAAATTTTCTTTGGGGAAACTTTAACCATATCAACATAACCCTTTGACTGCCAGAAGTAATTAGCCCGTTTATTTAGTTATCCCTACAATATCCATACATTATTCAGCAATCGGGTAATGAAAATACTTAAACTTATTAGGTAGAGTATGTTATCTTGATTCAACACCAAATTCTCATCACCAATTTAAAAGGAAATGTGCAACAGCTTTGGGGGAGAATTAACAATCAGACTGGGGAGGCTAAAAGAGTTAAAAAACTGTGCATAACTGAAATGGTTCACCCACATAGAACACAACCACAGTGTCATTTTAGTCAACAAAATACCTTGTAATACTTACAGCAACTGATTTAACGGCTTTAATAAGCTTCTTACTTTCCAAATTCTTTACAATCTTGTTAACTTGCGTCATGGGTAGATTACTTTTGAATCTAATGTCCCTGATCCAGATACCTAACAAGTAATGCAACATGAAACAACAGAATTTTATTCCCAGGAGTGACTGAAAAGGAACTTCTCCTCACAATATCACTAAATGCTTAAGCAGAAAGGTGATGAGAAGGAAGAAAAAATCAAATCTTGGGGAAACTGTATGAATTGACACCAAATTCTCTGAACTAAAATTATAAGAAATACACTGCAGAAAGTGTGGAGAATTAGTGTATTAGATCTTGAAATAGAAAGGATTAACACTTTAACCCCTGAGAAGGATTAGCATCTAATTTCTCCACACAGTATCACCCCTGAATCACACATTAAGGTCATGAGAATAAAGGAAATGATCACTAAATGAAGAAGCTCTTGAACCCTTTGACCCTTAAGAGTGACTAGCATCTAATTTCTGCTCACATTATTACCCCTGAATCACACATTAAGATCATGAGGACAAAGGAAATGATCACCAATGACATATTAAGCTCTTGATTGTTTTAACAAGTTGACAAAAACAAGTTCTCCTTGTCAGCACCTTAGCAAATGTGTAGTAAACAGTATGGAGAATATGCATACTGATGCTAGGGTGTGAAGTGTTAAAAGTGATGCCATATAAGAGGTAGCCAGAGCCCTACTACCGGAAATTGGTAAAAAAAACGACAACAACAACAAAGCAATCAAAGACATTTTCAATTACCTTTTTGATAAAATATGAAAACAAGCAACAGTGTTAATACATGTACCTTTGTTTTGTGCCTCTTCTATGATCTGATAGACAACCTTCTCTTCTAATTCAAATCCTTTAGTTTTCCTGTTGAAGAAAGGTCATAATCTATTATATCAATCTATATAATGTTGATAACTGGTTACAGTTTTAACATCATTCTGAAAGTGAGCTAATATTTCAACCTGATGAAAAACATATTAGCTCATTTACAAAGATGAGCAACTCCATAACTTTAGAGATCTTCCTATCCGCTACACTGGGGAAAATTGGAAGAACAGGTGTTTCATTCTGTTCCTGTATCGTTTTCTCACACTCTATTGATCTATAAAAATATTGCTCAGGCAAAGAAAAGAGAAAGTATTACTAAAAGTAACTATTTACAGATTACAGGCTGCATTTTGCAGATCTCAACCTGTTCTCTCTACATGGCTAGACATTCAAAACTTCTAATTTTCAGGAACTCAACATCTATTTTTGGCCCCAATGTTGTTGCCCTGCGAATGGTGAGCTACAGCTTTCTTTAATTTGCCGCTGTTATTTGGCCTTATTTAATTGGCTCATACCCTTAGGAAATGTGGAAACTGAGAGGTTAAAACTTACGTAGTTGATTGGGCATCTTTATATCTGTATAACAGTTGTGTGCCACTTTTAAGAAGTTCAATCCTACCCTATGGACACAAGTTAGAAAAACAAACTTGAAAATAAACTAACATCTTTAGAAAAATTATGCAGCCCTACAAGTAGACAGAAATTCATCTAGCGAAACTTTTACTTTAATTATTCCATTGAATTACCTTCGAAATAGTTTAGCTTTTCAATGTCAAACATGTCTGTTGAAAATAGGAAATAATAAGGATAAATTCTGAGACTCAGCTGAGCGATACTATGACTCACCATTGAGAGAAGTCTGTTTATGGCTGTGACTCTTTGCTGAGGTGGAATATTTGGCATACCCTGCGAAATAATCTGATCTGTTATTCCTTTAGGATTCTCTTTGCAAAGTTGGACAACTCTCGCTTCTAAATCCACGGCATCTACAGCCTCTTGCTTGATAACAACATCGGCGACGGCCATGTTACTATTTACTTCGTGACCACGCGATGTTGTGGCTTGGAAACCAAGCCTAACGCACGTGCAACTTACTAACCTGCAACTCGGCGAGAACTTTTGCACATCTTTAGTTTTACGGTTCACTTTGTTCCTTTATACCCTAGCCTAGCCGGCTTTTGGTTTAGTTTAGCGCGTCGTTTTCGGATGTAATGGAAGATAGTGACACTTGTCCTTTCTCCCTCGAAGAAGCAAAGTCCTCCTTTCTTCGCACTCTATCAAAACTTGACCCAAAAGATTCTAAAGGTTTTGTTGAATGGGTTACGGAACATTGTTCCAATGCATATACCTGTAAACAAAGTGGAGAAAATATTGATTACACTTTTAAATGGGCTGAGAAAAGGTTAAAAAATATTACAAAGGACATAAAAAGGATAATTCCACTTCAAGGAGTCCTGGAGACAGAAAAAATCAGACACCCGGAAGAAGGAAAGGTAAAGATTCCCTGGAAGTAAAAGAGGAGGACTGAACATTTTGAATAAGGAAAAAAAAAATCACAATTTTTATACCTCTTGGTTTGTTTATTTACTTCAGGGCCTGGCGAGTGAACCCTCAACCACAGTCCATGTAGACTCATTCCTGTATAGTGATGAAGACATCGATAAACTTTGTGATGAAGGGAGAATGAGCCGTAACTACTGTAAACAATGTGGATCTCACAATACAGCCCCACTAAGTATATAATGTTTAATTGCTATTGATTATTATTTTTATCAATATTTAACCCTTTGACCTCCAAGAGTACGTGAGTAGCATCTAATTTCTCCTTATCATGTCACCCTTGAATCACACATTAGGGTTTTGAGAATAAAGGAAATGATCACAAACTAAAAAAGCTCTTGATTTTTAAACGAAGTGTCCTTGTCTGCTGCTAAGAAATATGTATGGAAACAGGTATGGAGAATATGCATACTGATCTTCAGGTGTATTATTGAGAAAAAAAAAATGACTGAGACAAAAAAACCAATTAAATTTGATGCTATTTACTTTTATTTACAAATATTTACTCTGCTACCATTGGTACCTTGGTCATTTGAACACCAATCACTGTGTAGGGAATGAACAATTGTTCAAACTAAATTTAATTGTGTCAATCCACACACAAGACCAAAGCAAGCATGAATGGCAAGGAATTTATATAGAATATATTTCTCATTTACTCTTAACAGACTGATCAGTTTTCTGTTAGTGATCCCTTCCAACAGTAATTGTACTGTAGGCACTAAATTGTCAATTGAAGTTGTGTGTGGTTTTCTTTTTACTACTTTGGGATTTGCAAAAAGCTTCATTTAATTGGCATAGGGTGAAGTGTTTGGAAATTTGTGGAAATATGTAAGAGCACCTTGCTATTGATAGGTGTCTTACAAAATGTCAATAATTATTAATATTGTTCTATTTACACAAAAGGGGCATTATTCATTTTATCAATATTGTACTTAAATTACAGCTTTCATCTCCCATTCATCATCACTTGTGCAGTTAAAATTCATTTTTCAAGAAGCCCTCCCTTCCATCGCAACAAATCTTGCGGACAAGTTGTTAATGGATGTTGGCTCCAGACTGGGTGCTGTACTCTATGGGGCAAGTGTTCTCAGGTGTTTTGTTTTATTATAAGTATGAAGTGAAGAGAGGCACTTTAAAAATAGATTTTCTTGCCCAAAAACACAAAACAATTACCCAGCAAGGTCTTCAACTTGGGCCTCCCAACTCTAAGGTCAGCATGCTAACCGTTAGTTGGCCACCATGTCTTCCACAAGTGTGGTACCCATGATTAATGAAAGGTGTTTTTTTTTTTCACACAGGCATATCACTTCAGTCCAATAAAGAAGATTGTTGGAGTTGAAATAAACTCAGAGCTGTGTGATTTACAACAGAAAATAACAGAAAAGTATAGAATGCATGATCGTGTTGAGGTGAGTTTGTTGAACTTAAAAAAAATACTTTTAGGTAAAGATTGTTAGCATTCACGTGCTAGCTTCTGCAAAGGCCATGAGATTCACAACCCAATCGCATTATCAGTTACATTGTGTTTTACTCTGAGACTGTATTTTCATTTTTAACAATAAGAGTAGACTAATAACTCGATGAAAGGGTTTAACTCAGTGTCTCCTAAAGTTAATCCTGACTAGAGAATCAATTTATCAGTCTTTTGATTGAAGGAGAAGGTAGCTGCTTTGTTATGGAATTACAATAACTATAATTTTCTTTATAGGAAATTCTTTTGTTTGCACTGAAAATAGAAACAGGTTGACAAAAGTGGCCATTAATTACTACTTATCATATGATAAATTGAAGATCTGAAACAAGCAAAAAATGATCCTACAGTTATAGCTACCAGTAATAGACCACTGGATCTTGCCATTATAGTGGGGTTATATTTAATTTCAGAAAAAAAATTATATATTAAGTATTTCATTAGTCAATCAATCAATCAATATTATTAATCAACTAATTAATCAATCTTATATTTAATAATTTATTTATGAGCATGGCAGATTAATAGTGTACTGAATTTGTGGGGAACACTACTCTCAATTGTCAAATCCTTGTTATATTGTTAATTGTCAACATTCACCACATCACAAACTTACTGGTAGTACACTCTCCTAAAACCTAAAAAATAACTCCTGACCAATCGTCACATCTCATTTCAATTTCAACCTAACTGGAAAGGTGGAAGTGTCATGTCACGCAACTTCCATTTAATAGTGCAGTGCTGTTAGGCAACCTGCATTAACTAGACTAAGAATCCTGTAATTAAGCAAGATGTATTTGGTGTCTATTCAGAAATTACTGGTGAATCCTTAAATGCTTATTTCTGCTCTTTGTCATTAGTGTAAAGTTGTTTCTTTCCAATGTTTTATGAAAGGTACATGCAGGGTTTTAAAATAATTTTTGAGCTTTTACCGTGAATTTGCAGGCTTTTGTCAAGGTTCATTTTTTTTCCGAGCTGTCAATAATAAATGAGCAGTCAGCACATGTATTACTCTTTTCTGGGAGAAACCTTTTTTTATTTAAAAAACTTATATGTACATGGTGTACCTATCGTATACTCATACTCGTTGGTGTTTCCAAAAAGTTTTTAAAACATTTCTAGGCTACTTTATCGCCTGATATGGAACGTTCACCATAACACAACAGCAACTTTTACTTCAGTTTGACAATCAATTAGCATCATATTTTCTATAAAATTCGAACTCTTTGCTGAAAAATTGCTGGCAAGTGTGCTAAAGGTTCCCACTGCCGCTGACAGCCAAATGTTATATTGAACCCTACACATGATGTAAAATGACAAGCGCTTCCATTTCTCTTAGATTAGATGTGCTGATATTTGTAGTGAGCCAACCCTCTTGGAACAAGGTATTACAATGATTACACTTATTGGAAGAACAACTTACAATTTTTTTCACTGATACCAGTAACTGGAAGTAGAAAGAAAGTATGTACTGTGTGGGAGGTCATGATGCAAAGACTGAATGCAAGGAAGTCAGTATATCATGACTGCTGCTCTTTCTCTTTCTTTCTTTCTTTCTTCTTCTTCTTTCTTCTTTCTTCTTCCAGGGCTTTACAGTACCTGAGCAGCTTTTTTCCAACCCTGAACACACCATTTTGCCTCATCATGCTGTGAAATTTCAATGTTCTTTTGTTAAAGTGTGCAAGGACCTGTCATACAAGTCATTTGATAGACAAGCCTTTTCCACCCTCAGTTTTACATGGCTTACAAATCACAAAGTCTCTAGCATACATGTATAATACTACATGTTACAATCTTAGTGAATAAGTACAAGAAACTCGTCAGTAAAAACTAATGAAAAATATTAAATAACTACAATTAGTTTATTCGGCAAAGTGAAGGAATAGTGGTGGATATTTACTGAGCCATAAAGCAGTGAGGTAAATATCTTCCATTTATACTACTCAGATACTGAAAAAATGGTTTATTTCTTTCAGTATACCCAAAAAAATATTAAGAAAAAAATAATCCTGATGCACAATTTTGTCACATTGGCTATTCAAAGGTGAATACTGCACCTTCAATGCTATTCACTGCTTTTGTATCTATGGGTAGTTATTTCTAAAATTTCAAAATAATTTTTTTGCAGCTGACATTGTGGTTCTCAACAATGTGTTTGAGTTCTTTTTATCGATGGATCAGCAAATAAGGTAGGAGAAATTAGTGTGATCAAAGGATGTGGGTTACTCCACATCCTTTTCAATATGTGCTGAGAGAAAATTTCAGCAGTAGCAAGAGTAAGAGATTCATTTGCTTCATGCACAGGACTTGGAGATTCATCCGAGAGCATGTGATTAAACCTGGATGTATTTTGGTCACTGTTCCAAGTCTTGAAGAAGCCACAGAGTTCAACAACAAGGTACATGGTGTTAAAACTTAGACTCTCAGAAGTGATTCACATGTAACTTCTCCCTACCATATTCATCCACTATCCAGCAAACAGGTAATGAGAATACTCAAATGTATCAGGTAGAAGTTGTTATTTTGATATAACACCAAGTTCTTGCAACTAATTCATGAGGAAATGTGCAGCAGCAAGAGGAAGATGTAACAATCAGATCATGGGAGTTATAGGGTTAATTGATGACTGCCTTTTTTTGCAAACCTTTTGACTTAATGTTGATGTCTAATAGACACTCTTAAATTTAGCCAAAAGGTTTGCAAAGAAAGCAATCATATTATGTTTTTACTGAGACGAGAGTGGTTTAGTTGAAATATTTTTTTCTGTTCTCTTACTTCCTACAGCCATGTATTGATGTCAACAGTTGGGTAAAGCCATGCATAGTTAACTATGATGTACTAGAAATTCCTCTTTTAGAAGAAGACTTGGATGAATTACAGAACATTTTCTTTTATCAAGTGAAATGAAAAAAAATTGTCTGATTTACTGGTACCTGTTGATAATAGGAGTCCTACTACCCTCATGGTTAGTATGCTGGACTCGGAGTCGAGAGGTCTGGGTTTCAGACCTGGTTGGGACATTGTGTTGTGTTCTCTGGCAGAACAATTTACTCCCTGTCCTTCTCCATCCAGGAGTATAAACAGGCACTAGTGAATGGTCAAGGGAACCTGATGAAATGCTGAGGGGTAGCCTTGTAATTGACTGGCATCTCATCCAGGGGGGAGTGGTAATACTTCTAGTCACTTCATGTAGAGGGAACCAGGATAAGCTATAGCTGGATAAGCCACTAGGCCTTAGTGCAGACTTTCACTATTGAAGTTATTGTTATTATTTGAATAACAAAATCCAGCTTATAAGTTGACTCTTTTTCCATTCACAATATATAATATTTATTTATAAATTTATTTTACATTTATAATAACTGTTAACTGTCCAAGCAAGAGGAAATGCAAAGGGAAATATTTTGTGTCAAAGGATCTTGAAAACTTTGAAACTTGAGGATTTGGAGAACAAGTTTTAATTTTTCTTTTTCATTGGTTAAACTGCATTTTATCAAATTTGTAATGAGTAATCAATAAGCACTTCATGACTGGCCCCAAAAGAAAAATTAATTTTTTCCCCTGAGACCCTCAAGGTTGCATAAGGTGTTTCACTTTGCCTGAATTTATTTTATTTTGCATTGTTATATCTATGAATTGGTTAATCTCTTTCTCATAAGTTCAACAGCCTGTATACAAAAGATAAATGCAACACTACTTTTTTTTATTATTTGGATCTTATGTTTCATGAAGTCTACAGTAAACACTGAACAGTCTATGCAGTTAAGTTACAGAAATTTTTGTTTCTTTAGTTACACTTAGACTTGCTTGGAACATGAATGATGTCTGACTTTGTAAGGTATGGCATATGTACAGCAAAGAACATTAATTCATAACAGATATGATAAGTAAACACTTTGTATAGCCTAACAAAATTCCAGATGTCTAAAATTTCATTTGCCACACATAAGACATGTACCTCCTAGTAAGGTAATAAGTTAGTGCAGTAGGATTTGTAATATCCTAATGGGAACACAAATACTTGATTAAAAACACTCCAGAATCACCTCTTAGCAGAACAGTCTCTTTCAAAAGTAATGAAGTAAATGTAATGTAATGAAATGAATGGACTTCATGTGGAAAAAACAAGTCAGATCACAGCTACTAACAGTGCAATATGTACAGAATTAATAAATATTGTGGCTCAAATCTTACTCCACATAACCTCTCCCTAATAAAACTAAAGACATGAAAAAAAAGTGTGAAAAATAACCTCTCCTTGGAAGGTTAAGATTGCCTTAGAGTTTGTACTTTATAGCTCTTCAAAATGTTTGAAACACTTCAGAGAAAGTAAGAAAAGCCTTTAACCAGCATTTCAACTGAAGAACTGAAGAACTAAAAAAAAAGTGGTTAACAATTTTAACCACTGCAACCATGTGCCTACTCAATTGAAGACTGAAAAACAACTTCTCCTTGGGCTAATTAACCAGTTTGCCATCAATTACCCAAAACATCTATTGATAGATCTACTTTATCTTAGCAGTACCATGATCCAACCAAGGTAAGTTGCCTACTCTAATACAACCTTGACAGGCAAACCCCCTTTTTGTCAAAACAAAAGGATAATTTATAATTGCAGCAAAACCACCTGGCACCCTTGGATGCCACTAAGCCACTGACCTAAGACCCCTTGAAGAAAATCCTGTCTACACCCAAGATGTGATGATCACTAGATCTTATTTTCAACTTAGCAGGCTATTGGAAGCATGAAAAAATTAAGACTCGGTTTGATCCTCATACATCCTCCTTCTCCAACCCTCGCTCGGTTGTTCACCCTTTTTTGGTCACCATTTGCCCCTCTTTGCCCAATCCTTTGGAGTCCAGTGAAGACAAGTTGGATCAATGCGAACCTTTCTCTTTACCATGGCTCTTCTATGTCCATCGAGAATTTCTTTGGAAAGATTCAGAATATACTGTCCCTTGTAGTAGTGAATGATCCCCAGATGCTGAAGAGTAGAAACAACATCTTCTTTTCTTATACTTGTCATCTCACAGATATCACTATTGAGAGAAAAAGGAAAAAAATGAGAATTGATTGAAATCCTGTGTGATGTATGGTACAGTCAAACCTCAATTATCTCCACTTGTGGGGACTGGACTGAATAGTCCCGATAATTGAGATTATAAATATTAATAAGCCAAAAATATACCTGAATAACTGAAAGAGGATACAAGTCAGTTAATCAATATTAACCTATGTACAAATTAAAGCACTTTCTCAAATCATTGCTCATAAATGTGGACAATTACCAAAAATATTCACAAATAATAAACCAAACAGAAAAGCTTACTAACAACGCTTTACATCTACCAAAAATGCTGACTTAATTCTGTCTGTTGAATGATGTCAACATTGTTTTGTCTTTCCATCTATAATAAACACTTCCTGAAACATTTAACCATTTGGGAGAGCACAAGAAATCAGTTCCAACAGCTGTATCACTAGATTACATCCATGCAACAGGCACTCAGGCTACTATGCATATTTCTGCAGATAATTTCTGATGCCCTGAGCCATTTTTTATGAAGACAGAGAAAAAATTATCCTTTTTACTTTTCACTATTCCACTGCTACCACATAATTCAACAAAAACCCTCTGTTTTGGGAGAGCTTTTTGAAACTGTCAGTAGTAAGAATTACTTTTAATTCAAAAGCATCCATGGCTCTCTTACTTGATTGTAATTGGCGGGTGGAGTACCATCCTCTCCAGCCTTCAGTGAAACAAGAATTTCCAGAATGGTTTGTGACCAGTAACTGCGGTATGAAAGCAGTCCCAAATCTGAAAGAGGTTTCTCTGGAGTCCCTGTTTTCCCCTCAAACTTTGAAAGCTCATAGCCTGCAAAGATAAAAAATGATTAAAAATATCAAGTTTTAGGCAAGTTTGAGCTTTAAAAAAAAATCAAACCCCTACTTTCTTATCTTGCCAGGAACTTTTAAAATGACTTAATCCTTCACACCCTAACATCAGTATGCATATTCTCTGTAATATTCTCTAAACATTTCATCAAGTGATAACAAGGAGAATTTGTTTCACAATCAACTGCTTCTTTAATTGGTGATCATTTCCTTAATTCTCCTAACCTTAATGTGTGACTTGGGAGTGCTACCATAAGGAGACTTTAGATGCTAGTTACCCCTGTACTCTTTGGAGGCAAAGGGTCAACTTACTGAATTCTATGAGAAGCTTGCCATAACCCATTCTTTGATACTGTGGTAGAGTTAAAATGCAGGCCACATTATAATCCTCTGATGACTCTTTCTCCTGTAAAAATCACACAACAGTTACAAGGTCTGCACAATAAAAAGTGTTGAATCTTTGATTGTGTACTATATGATTTCTTATGACATTCTCTCCTGCGCTTTCAACCTGACAACAGTTTACAACATTTAACAGTTCAATCTGCCTGCCTTCAAAACTCTTTTCTTGCAACATGATACCCTAGAATCAAGCTTAAACTGTTTCAGTAGAGCCTGAATTGTGATAAAAATTTTAACCTCCACAAATTTACAACAGAGTTTAATGTCTTTGGATTTCATGTCAAATTCTCTCCCTTTCAACTTTGCAAGCAAACTAATGCCAATTTTTGAATGGAAAAATCTCTATCTGGTGGAAAGCACAATACGTTTTGTTAATGCGTATGATTCTACTGGAGAGAAATTTATACATTGAACAGAGCTGTCTGCCCTTCAAACAACTTAGCCCAGACATTTGTAATGCACTAAGAAGGGCTTTTTTCATTTTTTTAAGCACACCTTCAATTTAACCAAGCACAAACAAGTGTCTGAAAAGGATATCTTTAATTTTTGCCCAAAAAAATACACCACAAATCCTTACCTTAGAAAAATATCCCACTATGTGAAAACCAATTGAGTCATATTCAGTCATTACATAGAACAGGAAAGGATCAGTGTCATAGTACAATGTTTTGTGATCCAGGAACATCTTAGCCAGGAGACACAAATTTTGGGCATACATCTACAACAAAAACAAACAAAAATCACAACTTATACAGTCATCTATAGCTGGAAATTTCCCATGAAAACCCCTTGGTGTTAAACTAATTCACCTGTCCAGCATAATAGCTGATTATTTGGAATGCTTCTAACCTTCAATTGACCTTAAGTCAAACACCGATCAGTAGTGACCCCACCTACTTTGTTGGCATCCCCTTCCTACCCCCTTTTGCCACAGTCACAAAGGCACAGCATGGTATTGAGAGGTAGGATGTAACTGTGGACTCCATGTCAAGAGGTCCAGGTTTGAAACCTCCCTGGGTCAATATGCAAAGTATTCTTGGGAAAAACACTTTACTTGAAGAGTGCCTCTCCAACTAAGTTGCATGAATGAGCAGGGGCAAATTGTCAGAGAAGCCCAATTAAATGTTACAGGGTAACCTTGCAATGGCCAAGCATTCCATTTCTGGAAGGGGGGTGGGGGAGTAGTGACACCTCTAGTGGCTTCATGCTAAGGATACCAGAATACACTCTGGCTGAGTGGGCTACTTAGCTCAAGCACAGACTTAACGCACTTTAAATTGCAGAGGTTTACAGTTGATTTATATTTTCTACATGCCCACATCTTAGGTGGTTGAAGAAGCTGATGATACCCTTTAGCCTTATTCATTACACTTAGTGCATTCCAGCCATAGAATACTGCTGCCCCCAAACATGAGAAAATGTGAGTTAGAAAAGGAGATTTCCCTTTTCACTGTTCAATGCCAAAGTTATGTGCCCAGAGAGAGGGAGAGAAACATGACACATACCTTGTTCTTTCTTCCATCAATCTCAAAGAAGGATACTGATCCTTTTCTATAAATTTCATTTCCTGGAGGGTGACGCAGCTTACACTTTTCCTGCAAGTTAAGGGCAAGTGACCATCAAAATAAAGTTGCAATGCACTTTTGCGCATATCATATGATCCTAGTAAACCTCGCACCCACTCCACATCACTGGAACAGTAATGAAAAGGGAAGGAATGATGAAGTCAGAATTGTTATAATTGTTATCACTTTTATCATTTGATCATTATCAATGCTATAATTATCATTATCGTCAGGGTAACCCCAATCAATAAATTTGAATTCTCAAATGTACTCTGAAGATTTTTATTACAAATTGTTTAGCAAAGCCTTTAGAAAGAAAAGGCTAACAATGTGATTAATAATAAATGCACTTAATAGAAACTCTTCACTGCAAACATAATCTTCACCCTTTCATACCTTGTGTCTTTTTAGACAATGGAAGCTCTTGATGTACTTCAGGCAAAATTCGCAAAGGTAAACTACAGGTTCCAAGGTAAGTTCTTGTGGGTAAGGTGAGAAATACCAAGGCTTAATTCGAAATTTACCCAGTTGAACCATTTTGATATTCTTCATCCTTGTTACAATATCATCATGGCTACGATCTTGAACCATACTTCCTGTCTGCCGCATACTTCCTGTCTTAGGTGGGGTGCTTGGCAAGTCCTTTGGACTATCCTGTGAATCAATCTTTGGGGGAAAAAGAGAGAGTTTCATAATGTAGCAATTAAGAAACAGGGAAAAAGTTCACCAGGATTGAATTGGTTTGGAATATATTGACTGTGCTCTGAGATTGTTCTTGAAAACTCCTGCAAGGTGACTTAAAAATCAATCACCGCTTGGTCACCTTGTTCTTTCCCATTCCTGAAATCTACTTATCATAAATGCTTTTTTTCCTTCCCCTTTTTTCTTTTTATAACTAATTTACAAGGAAATGTGAAGCAGCTAGAGGGGAGAATTAACAACCAGATCTTGGGGGTTTAAGGTTTAATTTTTCATGGGCTGCTTCTAAAGTTCACTTTCAAGGTTTGATCTGATTTAATCAAAATGATGGATTTGGTTCAGCTTTCACATCAGTAAATTAAGGATGAGTTTGCTCAGTAAAATGGGAGTGTCCATGTGTCACCAAAACCAGGGTTGACTAACTCCTGCACCCTGATTTAGGTTATAACATCAACTATTAACATTTCCATCATCTATATATAATCTAGCAATTTCTGCCGCAGTTAAAAGCAAGATTTACATATCTACATAGCTCCCTAATATTCAGCAGGAGTTAACCCTTCCACTCTCAATATCTCATAAGTAATTCTCCTTAATGTCTGCCATACAATTCTTAAGATGTAAGTTCATAGATTTTGGTATTGGATCAACTAAGAATCCCCTAACTAATATTTGTCTTTATTCTCATCACTTGTCTGCTCGATATAGGAGTTAAGTGTTTTATGAGGAGAATAGAAGGTAAGCTTTATTTTCCATATTCTGTAGCGTTTTACCTCATCACTCGACTTGTCCATGGCATTAGCTTTCCTTTTACGTCCCACAGGTGCTTTAGGTCGTCCAGACCCCACACCATTCACCAGTTCCCTGTCAGGTGAACAAGGCCTAGAACCAGCTCCTTTATTAATCTTCTTGGTGTCCTCTTTCTTTGGCATTTGAAGCCTGTTCAGATCCAGTCTCTCTTCTTCAACCCATTCATCAAGCCTTTTATTGACTAAAACACACACAAAAGAATTAGTAAAACAAGAGACTCTTGTCTACTGAAAGCTTAAGCTCTCTTGAGCAGGACTTAATTTTGCAGTTGAAGTGTCGATGTCATAGTAGTCCTCATCCTCATTAATGTAAATTCATACTTCAGTGAAAACAAAAAATGTGATCCTTGAACTAAATTATCAAAGAAAATCCCTTTATAACTTTGATTAACTTTCTACTTCAAGTTTGAATAAGAAAAATTTAATTTCAAGGACCTTGTCCAAGCTCTCTCAACTACCTCAAGTAATGTGGTCTCTCTTAATACACCAAGCGGACCTATCTTTAGGGAAGCAAGAGTTCATGGGATTGAAAATCCTCTACCGCCATCTTGAATTTTCGAAGATAAGAAATTTCAAACTTATTTAGATTTACACTGCCAGTTCTTTACAAAAATAAACAAAAAACAAGTTCGATGATACAATTTAATGAGAAACAACGAGTTTAAGTCCTTCCTGGGTCGAACAAAAAAATTCAGAAGTCCTTCTCACTGTAGAAGCAAAGAGCCCGCGAAATAATACTTCACCTTTTTTTAACAATACACAAATTATTTCGTACTCACAGTCGATATAATGCACATAATAGTGAGTGGAACCATTTGGCATTTCTCTCTTGCTTAGTATTTCAGCCAAAGCTATGGAAAAAAAGATAGTTTGTGGGCATAAGAACAATAACTTACGGCCCTACTTACACATGCGTTCCACGTCTAAAAGAAAATTACTTACGCCATTCGTCAGAACCACTCATTTTTACCGGCATTCTACAGCCTTCTAGCACCTCCATCTACAAGAAATAACAATTTTTAAGATCACGTGAATATCTTTGAGAGATTGATCACTATATACAAGTAAAATTATTAATCTTTCTGTACCGAACTTTCACCGTTTGCCTCCGCCATCTTTGATTCCTATCTTGTCGCCATTACAGTACGACGATGTCTTAAAACGAACTTTTCCGTTGAATCATCGAAAGAACGGATAAGGCCGATCTTATATCGACTGATCTCTCAACCGCTAAGCTAGGCTCAGGCTTCCACGGTCACTGTTATGTCACCAAATCTTGTTGTTGCGATCCTGTTTCAAGTTATGATGAAATAGGCATTCGTTTTTAGAAATAAATTTAGAATAGCTCTTCAAAATTTTATAGATGAGGGGTGCGGTTTCTAGAACACCGAAAAACTCTTACAGCGGGTCGTGTACGTGACAATATCGTTTAATTTACTAATTACATAGTGAATAGCTTCCAATTCACTAACAAACTTTTCTTTTTTAAATATCGATGATATCTGCTCTGGGAATCCAGAACAATCTTAAGATGCGCCTCAACACGTCTTCAGCCTGTCTTTGAGTAGCGTGACACAAGTCACGCTTTAAGTTACTCGGGGCAAAAGTTGAAAAGATGATTTGGTTTAAATTTGAAACTACTTCCTTCAAGAAATAATTTAGTTTAACTAAAAATAAAATTTCCTGCTGTCTACCCAACTGGAAAAAGGACATAATTGAAAAGATTTTTGTTAATTAAAATGTACATAAATTTATTTCGGAAAGTGCAAGTTCGAACTTGTGACCTTGTGCTAAACGGAAGTGACATCATACGCTAATTTTGTTGACTTACTACGCGCTACAATTAACACAGCGAGAGCTATTTAAGACATAAAACTGCTCTGTCATACAGAATCAATTGCACATGACTTTCAATCATGTGCAAAACGGGGCCTTTTATCATCCCCAACTGGTACTAAAATATCCCACGCCTGTAAAGCAGTGAATTAAGTAAAATACACGGAAAAAAAAAACTATCATCGATGATGTCTTTTGGCGCCGAAGCTGACTTACACAGGAAGAGACGGAGAATATGCGAGGTCAAAGTGATTAGTCTCAGAGAACTTTGCAGGGCTGTGATCATAAAAAACACAGGATTGCGACGACTTCGAAAAGCGCGTAAAAAACTGCCTCTGCCGCAACATTTAATTGACTTTTTGACATCGGATTTCAGCTTCCGAGAGTTCGAGGCACAAAGCTTAAATCTCTCCAGAGATATGCGGGTCCATTGTATCTATCCAACTAGGAGTTTGTTGGATAATTCCAAGGTTCTGCTAAAGTGCATCAACGCCAAGACTTTCAATTCTTCAAGTTCTTCTCGTCTCCTTAAAAGATGGGCCGAAATTCGCCACAAGAACATCATGCGAGTGTTGGTTTTGTTCAGGGAACGAGAAACTATAGGGGTCGTCCTAGAGCCATTTTCACCGAGTCTCTACGATCTGGTCCACAAATATCGCAGCGCTGGGGTAAAATTTTCCGAGGAACTTTTGTGGAAGATGCTGCATCAAATCTGCGATGCCTTGTGGTATTTACAAAGATGTCAGATTGTGCACACGGAGATTCAAAGCAAGACGTTGTCTCTTTCGAAATCAGGAGATATTTTGCTTCACAATCTCCTTATTTACACTCCTAGTGAGACAGAGCTTAATGTATGCGTTGATGGTAAATATTCTTTTCACGGGATCTATGTTGCTCCGGAGAAAATTCGAGGAGAGAGATATTCGAGCAAACAAGACGCTTGGGCGCTGGGATGCGTTGCTTTCGAAATGGTTTTCTTGGAACCAGCGTTTCCGCTGCGACCGGGTGGAAATATTTTTGAAACTTTGAATAACATCGTTCATGGGGTTTCACCTACAACACTCGATGAAGCAGATAAAAACTCAAACAGATCCGACACAGGGGATTTAATTCGTTCTTGTTTGATGCCCGATCCATGGTTGAGGCCATCGATCGAAGATCTATTTCATTTTACAAGAGAGCGAATGCGACAAACACGACCAAATTAGACCAATATTTTACACACAAAAAAAATCCTTCGCGCTTGACTAGCTACGCAGTTTTACATGCAAATGAAGCTGTTTTAGCTCTGTATCAGCAGTTATGCTGATATCTCTTTTTTCTAAATGACAGAAGAACGCATAATTTTTTTTAACCACAAATGCGGGCAGTGGTTGAGAAACCACAGGTGCGGTTTACAGGTGACACAACAAACGTCACGTCCCACAACATCCTTAGTCCACCGTCGTGACCTTCAGAGTCACGGTTGAACTAAGTTTAGAATTTACTTAGTTAAGGCGGAGGAGGCACAGTGCTTGCCCAAAGAAGATTAACCATACCAGCTTAGGCTCACATGTGACGCTTCTTGGCCACAGAGGTTCCTAAATTTGAAAGAAAATTTTTTGCGACGTGTTTCAACACTGCTAGCAGTTGAAGAAAATTGAAAGGGTTTTCTGAAACATTCTCCTAAATCAAAATTTTCCAGAGAATCTATGAAATTGAGATTTTTAAATTTTAAATATTAAGGAAATTAACTAGTTTTGTAAATCAGTAGATTAATAGTGGATGAAAAGACTACTGTTTTTATTTAGTACCTATGGTTTGAGTTGTATACAAAAAAGGTGTTAATCTTCACGCTGGCGTGATTCATTGCAGAAGGAGCAAAAAACAAATTTTGTATTTTTTCGCTTAGTCCCCTCAGATTTCTAAAATTTGTACCCAGAAATAGTAGGAAGTTGTAAAAATTTGCAAATAATGTTGTATAAATATTTTGTGAATAGTCGTTAATATAATATACGAATTTCTTGCACGCAACGTTTAATGAACATTTGCGCTCAGCTTTAAATTTCCCTTTTAATTAACCTTGTGAAGAGGATAAAAGAATCTTAAAGCTCAGAAGTAAATAGTTTGCCACATCCTTACAACTTTTGCGAGTCTAAGGTCTGTAAGGGCCAGTTCTTTCAATACAGTTAAAGCGTTGTTTAGCTACATTGAGTTCTAAACCATTATTTATAATGCAAAAAGTTTTACCTTGAAATAAAGAGATATATTTTTTCGATAAACGGCGTCTAGTAAGCTTAAAGTTAGCACTGGAAACATTTTTCTATTTCAAATACCCCTTTATTATTATTAAATCTCGAGGTCTACTGATGTACAAAAGCACGGCCTACTTAACACCTCGTTTGAATAATCAGCCTCAAAGTTAATATATGTTTTTTGGGGTTTACATGCTCTTTAATTCAAATTCTTTTAAAAAATCATATTAGTACGATTCAATTCAGTATTGTACATTATCTCTTGCTAGTCTTGCTACGCGTAGCATTTATGAATTTCCAGTAGTTTTTATAACGCTAGATGCAGTCATGAAAAATTTTATACAACGCCATTTTGTCAATAAAATGTCACCTTTCCAGCTATTTGTTGCGGTAAGCTTGTCTTCGTCCAGAATAATGATTCCATTCTGAGTCTGGCAAATTTCAATCTGTCTCCATGGTATAAGAACGATTCATTTATGCAACATTTCCACCTTGATCAGTAAGACAGACCTTTCATACGTCTCCGGGCAAAAGTTGTTGTGCGTATTTTGTCATGAAGGCAGTACCATAGCAGGCCTGCCTAAGGCTATGCACCCCTGTTCTCCTATAATTCTTTATTCAGAATCTCTCCACTGCTCTACTTGCTACCGATCTCATGTTTCCGTAGACTTTTGAAGGTGGACTCCCTGAAGAAGATACAACAGAGAAATTTAACCCTTTAACTCCAAGAAGTCATAAAAATGTAACTTTTCCCTAGAATATCCTTACATCCAGCAGACAGGTAATAAGAATCCTCAAACTTATCAGGTAGAAGTTGTTTCCTTGATCTAACACCAAATCCTCGTAACTTTTTTAACCAGGAAATGTGTGACGGCTAAAGAGCGAATTAGGGCCTGTTTACATGGAGGTGGGGGACCCCAGGTAAGTGGGGTAACCCGCCTGTCCATATAATTTTTTATTTTATTTTGATCACGTTTACAAGATAGGTAAGGTGACCCGCCTAGGCCTAACCCTGTCAGCCGGGGTGACAATTTGCCATGTAAACGTGTCAAGGTGGGGAAACCCGCCTAGCCGGGGTCGTGTTCATGGCAAAAAGCTCAAAAGCGAAACATGTATGTTTTAAAACTTTGTACATTTCCTAGCCGTCTCATGGCAGAAATCAGCAGAGACCGCAATGGACACACAAGGAGTGTAAAATGTTCACATTTCGGAATATTTAGCGTTGTAAATCGACCATATTTGGTTTCCCAAACTATTCCGTATAACGTATTAAGTCAACGGTTCCTCGCGAAACCAAACACCGCGTAACACAACGCGTGACGCTTTCATGATTAAATACATATGTGTCCGAGAGTTAATCTTTCGTCTTTTTCGAGATGTGGGATGGGATGCTTCTGCTCAAACTCCTTAATTGCAAGCGCAACAACAACCTCAAGTAACCTAACCCCAGCACCCCGAAGCTGTAAGATTGCATGTAAACGCGGTTTATTTTTCGACCACGGCTAGGCGGGTTACCTCACCTACCTGGGGTCCCCCACCTCCATGTAAACAGGCCCTTAGCAATCAGATCTTGGAAATTAAGAGGTTTAATGTAAAAAATAAAAGGTCAGTTACAATGATTTTGCTTTGATTTTTCACTCCAGTTTAGAGACTGCTGGAGCAGTCGTGGCTTGTTTTCTTGCGTTCTCCCGCGCTTCCAGTAGTTTGCTAACTTTTGTGTAGAGTTTTCATTGTCTCCCTGTCATATTCTTCCTTCTTTTTGATTGGCCATCGTAATTACAGTAGTTTTGGTTATAAGAGTCAATCGAAAACGCGTATAAATATTCAGGGTCTAATTGTTGCGTAAATATGGAAATAGAAAAGAAACTGTGATCAACAGGGGTGATCAAAACTTACCTAAAATCAAACTGCATATAGCTGTTCGGGCAATTTTGATGTTCTGAAACGATCCTAATATGTGGATTTTTCTGAAAAATGAAAAACATTAATTTATTAATCTGCTTCGTTATTTCTCGTTTTTATGAACACAATTTAAGTCATTACCTGAAACCAAACACGGGTTGCCAAAAAAATTGGTAACTTTGGCAGCAAGTTAAGTTGCAAAAATATTTTCCAGTCATCATGGTAACAAAAACAGTTACAATTTGAAGCACAGGATGGACTCCTGTATTTATGGACCACAAGACTTGTAATGTTGTAACACTCGACCCTGATGAGACTAAGTCTAATGAGGCCTAATTCATGACAAAAAGACTTACGAGTCAGCCAGGATGATTCTGGTCTTAGATACATTTTCTATGGTGAACTTTGTCCTGCCTCCTTTTCCTGCAATGCGCCCAATGGCTCTCGAAAGATGATCTCCCTTCAGTGGCTTCACTATGAACAGTTAAAAGACACAGGTTAAAATAACATGAGGTTCATGAAGTTAACATATATAAATTGCAATTTCCCTCTTAACCCTTTACCTCCCATGAGTGACCCAGACAGAATTTCTCCTTACAATATCAATACAATATCAAGCAGACAAGTGATGAGAATAAAGAAAATATCAATTAGGTTATAAGTTGATCCAGTCCCAAATTCTCCAAACTAACATCACAAGAACTGTATGGCAGACAGTAAGGAGAATTACTGATAAGATCATGGGAGTTAAAGAGTTAAATGTAGGAGTAACCCACTTGACCAGCTTCCCTGCACTAAATCCTTGTTCATTCTTCAGCAAAGGATTCCATCAAAAGACCCAAGAAAACTCAATCAAATCTGGTCTGTTTCCCATCCGTTCTCTGCTTCCTTCATAATCATAATTACCACAGACCAATAAAAACAATCCTAAGTGAACCTACATACCATCAGCTATCTCAAATGTCTCCAGAAACAGGTCATCTAACCTGACCAATGCCAAGGCATCCTGCAAGTAGTATTCAGATGAAGATTTCAGTTGGGGAAAGACTAGCTAATGGTAAGAGGGATAGATGTACCAAGCCTTGAGCAGTGGGGGGAAATACCCTTTGCCAGCAACCAACGCTGAGGTGAAATGTTCTTCTAGTATATACTACAACAATTTAAGAATTTGTTCGTGCTTAGCATGCATATATCGAGTTATGGATGCTCGGGGGAAGTTTGGAGAGCACGAAAAATACATAAGAGTAGCTCAAGGCCCAACCGAGAGCAACTCTAACTTTTTGAGTGCTCTCCAAACTTCCCAAGTGCATTCATAACTCGATATACACACAGCTAAAAGCATGAACAAATTCTTTTATAACAGAGCAACAATGAACAAAAAATGCTCATGTCATCTTATTTACTCAAGCCAGTAAATAAAGATTTTGTTCATAGTGGCTCAATAGGACTTACATAGGGCAAGCGTGCACGCTATGTTATAAAAGATAATATGGCACAAAAAGATGATTTTCAATCATTTATCCCTATAACGATTACCATATAACTGACACTGAGGTGAAAAGTTCTTTTAGTATCTACTAAAACAATGAGATAATACGGCACAAGATATTATTTTGAATCATTTATCCTTGTAACACTTTCCACATTTTCAGAAACGAAACTCACAAGTTACTCCAAGGTGAATAGCACAGTACATTCAGAGTTTGGGTAGCTAAACAGAAAGCACCCACAACACTATCCACTGTTGTAGTATATACTTTTTGCAAATATTGTTTGTTAACCCTTTAACTCCCATGAGTGACCAAGACAGAATTCCTCCTTACAATATCAATACAATATCAACCAGACAAGAGAAATGAATAAAGAAAAATATCAATTTGAGAATAATAAGTTGATCCAATATTAAGTTCTCTAAACTAATATTAAAAGAATTGTATGATTGACAGTAAGGAGAATTACAAATTTGATCTGGGAGTTAAGAAGTTGATATGGCGTAGCTTTCAGGAAGAACCCCCAAAATGTATGGACTTGAGTTGGTAGATCTATTACCTGTATTCAGATCTTGGGAATCTCGAGGGAGTGAGGATATTGCAGTGAGTGCAGACATCTCTACTTTCACCCTACTTATTACTGCGTTAGAGATGGAGTTTAATTCCTTTCCCAAGTGGTTCTCAGGATGCGTTATTGCTGTCACAGAGTCTCCAGAAAATCTGAGCCCACTGTCAAGAAGACCAGCTGGGCATCAGAAATGATGACAGACTCTCACAATTAGCATGGCAGAAGTCATCATCAAACCACCTGTAATCAATAGCCATATTCTCCATAAAACAGTGCTAACATTTTGTCCCAGTGGTCACGAAAATAATGACGTTCCGGACAAACGATGAGAAAATGAACTCACCTCAACTTCAAATCCAAGTAGAAAAGCTTGAACGAAATCTGCTGCTTTCTGAATGGCACCGATATCCTGAGTGTCTTTTGAAGTCTACAACATGAGATACCACATTTAGATCACTCTTCATTCGACCTGGACGATTCAGGACGGTATAGTAATTCATTGAGTAGAATACCGTTCTCACAAAGCAAAGAGGTACTCATCAGAAATCAGCGACAAAACTTCTAATAAAAGTACGTTTGTAAGATATGTCATAAAAAGTAATAACCTTACCCTCATTTCTACTTTTCTTGCACTCAAATTAAAGCGAATCTGGAGCTTCAACTGCTCGACAATCGGAGTGAAAATTTTCATCCAGCTTTCTTTCAAAGGTGTATATCTGTGTGGGGGAACAGGTATTTTTCTAGTCTCTGTCTTTCCACCCTACGAGGGAAAATCCGATGATTTGTATTAAAACTCGAGACTCCATTCAAAAGAAGACGAACGCCATCAAAGTTTACCATTAATTTTTCAGCCTTCGCTGGCGGGAAGCTGGGTCTTTTCGATTCATCGCTAGTATCCATGTCTTCTTCTTGTTGTCTCTTCCGCTTTCTTTTCACTGGAACAGCCTTAAAGGGCTCATCTTCAGTGGCTTCGCCGGTCATCTTTTCACTCGATTCTTGCGCCATTTTGTTTCCCCACGTGTGTGTCGCAATCGTATGCAATGGACTATTTCGTTCCCAGGTCTATTGACCGAGACCCATTCTTTTCCTCAGCTGACTAAACGCTAATAGTTAGAAACTCTAGACGAGGAACAATTCACCCTATCAACTCAGTTAATAGAACCAAATTATCTTATTCAACTTAATTAGGTTTCCTCCTTTCGCAACATTAAAAATAAGAGCTGTTTTTTGTTTTTCCTTATGAGAGAGTGGCGTGTCAATTCTGCTGATGTAGACAATTTACGCTTTAATTCGAGATGAAAAAACACCCCTTTATAGAACTTGTTATACATTGCTGACTGATGGAGATTTTGGGCCCTGTATGACCCTGTGCGATATAAGTTCTGTTAAAGTTAAAGAAAATGCACACCAAATATCAATGATAGTCCTTGTACTGGAAGGTCCTCAGATTTCGTGACATGGTTAATAACAAGAGCTTACTGTAACCAAGCGTGTGGTTAAAAAAAGAATGTTGTGCTTTCTTGCTTATTAACGTTCTGTTGCCTGAAAAAGTTGCAAAATTGATTTCCAGCAAAATTTTCCGCTATCTTTAAGCACAAGATAATCGTTCCCACAAAACAAAAGTTTGCCAATCTACAAAAATCTCATATTCCTGCAAAATTTTCATGTTTCTCAGTATCATTTATAAACTCCTCTTTATGTATTACTTTTGCATTGTGGGGGGTCCGTCTATGACACAAGGTAACACACCTTCATTACAAAGAGAAAATCACACACACACACACACTACAACTACATTGTTTATGACAATACCAATTAAATCACACATTTCCAAAACAATTGTTTCAAAAAATTTATTGAGAGCTTCACAAAATACAAAGTCAAATCAAGAATAGAAAAGAAGTTCATTATTAGGTGTAAGCTGCTCAACCATTATGTGACTTTCTCATTATCGTCAAACAAGAAATAAGTTAAGATTTCAGGCTAGCTAGTAATAATAACTATTGTAGAATATATTACTTTTTCCAGAAATACATCATTTTGATCAGTCTTATTTGCTAAAATTACTTAATTTCCCCTATACACTATATCTATACTCACAAAATATCTCCCAATCAATTTGTATAAAGATAATTTCACAAATTTTGATTGAATTTGAAGCTAAAGGATTCAATGAATTAAGGTTACTTACTACCGTACTTAAATTTCCAATGACTAAATGTTGTTCACACTAGCAAGAAATTAATTTCAATTTTTACTTTATATTTCAATAATCCTCTTTAATTCGAGTGTTAGTGTACATATGTTCATTCCTTGCACAGCTGATAGTGTTACATCAAAAAAAAAAAAAAACTAATGTGCCTTTTCAATCTAATGAGAAATTTCAGTCCTAACCATATCAATACATTTTAAAGCAAATAATTAGATAGGAGAAAGAAAGTAATAAAGCATCAACTGAGAGACATTGTTTATTTTGACACAAACTATTAGAGCTAAAACTGTACCACATTTTTTTCGCAGACAGAACAAAGAATTGATATTTGAACTTTGGCAACTTGCAAAGATAAGGCCCAACATGTCACATTCTTGTTAATATTTGCAATTAAAGGGATATATAAGCAGGAAGTATTGTGTAAATTACATTTACAAAATTCACCAATTTACTTAAATATAATTATAAATTTGACTCTCTGAGCTTCTAGGAAAAAAAAAAAAGTAATTCTACAAATACTAAACAATCAATAAATTAAATTCTGAAAATAAAATAATTTGTTTTAAGGTGATGATAATGCCACATTCTTTAAAATTTTGCCCTATTACCAGCACTTTCCTTTGTGGACCAGCCACATTTGAAAAAGCCTATGAAAAGAGTATTACTTGGGTTCCCGTGCAAGGGGTAAGGCCGCAAGAATAAGCCTGCTCAATCTCATGGTCTCACCCTTCATATGGGCCACCCAAAAAATAAACCCACTCAGAAGCTTAAAAGTGAAAAGGGGAAAAAAAGTTTTAGTGTGTGGATAACCATTTAAAAAAATATGCAGCACTAGCAGCAGTAGTGATATCAATTTTCTTCAGTCCATAATAGCTTATATATGATTAAGTGCTAGTTGTAAATTTATTCCAATCCCGAAAGGAAATTTAGAGTGAAATCTTAGGACTCACAATAAGATGCTATGACCAATATTTGAAGCCCACTCAAGCCATTTGCTATGAACAATGCACAACTCCAAAACCAATTTGTATTTGTGTAATTTGCAGTTGTGTCACTGGGATCAAGACTTCAACTGAAATTCAACGTATCAACTGAAGCCAATTGCTGCTGCAATGTTTGCCTATAACATGTTACCACAACCTACATCCTAAGGCATGCCTTGGGGGTCTGGAAAAAATTTAAAACTCTCTTAAGACAAGATTTCTTGCATTCTGGGACATATTTGAGTAACTTTTTATCACCAGACATCAATGTTAGGATGTTAGAATCCATTCAAAAATAATTGTTTTTGGTTTTTGATCACAATTTGACAGCACTGTGCAAGATGATCTGACAACCAGCGGGTTTCCACAGCCAACTGGCTTCAAACAACAACCTATCACACAATTTGATGTACCTTAAGCCATCTAAATATACAATAACATACACAAAAAAAGCAAAAAAATTATTTCAAATTAATTAGAACCTGTCTTCTCCTTTTTTGAATTCCTTAATTTCTTCGAAAAGATAATCACCTTTGGATTCTGTGGATCAGCTTTAGACACATGCAAGTCAACTTTGTCTCCCTGTGCAACGATGTATTCCATCAAGGCGTGACTACGTGCTGATGTAAAAGAGATAATGTCCTTGACAATAAGGAGAGCCTGCTCCACTTGTTGTACATTTAGCAGTTCCACACTGCGCCTCACTCCCAATATGTTTACACAGGTTTCTTTTTCATCCTTAAATTTAGCAATCAGCTTTTCAAGATCTCGCTGTATTGATGCTCCTTCAGACTTTACAAAGTTCATTGTGCTAGAAATCACACTGAAGAGCTGCATGGCTGTTTTCAGTTGTTCAGCCACTGGTGGTTTGAGTTTATCGACTGAGACCAAAGGGTGAACATCCAAGTGGAATTCATATTCACTGTCATCTGTACCATGACTGAACCCAATCCTCATGTCTGCAAATATTTGGTCAAAAAGGACAAATCATAAGAATGCTTGCACTTGTGATATCAACATCAATTCTCCCTACATGTGCTATGTGACTCATACAATTTAAGCTCTGAGAATTTGGTGTCACATCAGAGTGATACTAGGTGATCACTCCTGACAGTGGAAGAGTCACACAGCAAATGCTTGCTGTGTTTGGTTGAGAGCTCAGAAACCAAACAAATAATTGACAATTTGGTTTTATCAAAAGAGTTGATAACATAAAGTGGCCACTGTAAAGAGTTTCTAAAGCTAACATTTGGAACGTCAGCCTTTAGTCAGAAGGAATATAATATTCACAATGTCAGTTTTACTGGTAACCCTCTTCTCAAATGTAAAGTGAAAAGACCAATTTTGCCCTTTTGATTCATTGTTTGAAGTTTCAAAGTCCTACTTAAAAATTAAAGGGACATTTCTACCAGGAACTTACAAAACAGCATAGCCATTTAATTAAGTAAAATTGCCTTTTTATTTAATGGAATATTTGAAAGGAAACATGAGTCATGAAACTCAAAGTTTTGAAAAAACATATGTCCAAAAAACTTATTAGATGAAAACAATCTGCAGTGGGAATACCTTCCATTCTTACCCCTAAGAGTGATATAAAAACCTAATTTCTCCTTGGAATATCACCAATAAATCACACATGAAGGTCACAAGAACAAAGAAAATGATCACTAAATAAAAGAACTCTTGATTTTTAACCAAATTCTCTTTTTCAGCACCATTGGAAATGTATAGAAAACAGTATGGAGAACTTGCATACTGGTTTCAGGGTGTAAAGGGTTAGCACTGTACATACCTGGAGGAATACTGTCCAAGCAGTGTGTGAGAGGTCGATCAAGATCCAAACCCATAATCCTCTTAAAGTTTTGTTCTGCATCTTTCATCAACTTCCATTCATGTAAAAGCTTATCATAGCGAGTGACAATATCCTCTGCTCCAAGTTTACTGAACACTGCATTTGTTTCTAAATTGGTACAAAGAAAAAAAAAGAGAAGAATTGAGAAAAACAAACACTTGCAAATAAAATTATTCATTATGAGGAAGTGACCAAGTCAGAATTTCTCCTTAGAATATCAATATAATATCAAGCAGATGAGTGATGAGAATGAAGAAAAATATCAATCAACCCTTTAACTCCCAGATCAAATTTGTAATTCTCCTTACTGTCAATCATACAATTCTTATAATGATAATTCAGAGAATTAAGTAATGGATCAATCAATTATTCCCAAATTGATATTTTTCTTTATTCTCGTCACTTATCTGGTAGATATTGTATTGATATTGTAAGGAGAAATTCTGTCTTGGTCACTTATGGGAGTGAAAGGGTTAAGGGATTAGTTGATCCAATGCAAAATGTTCCAAACTAACATCATGAGTTAGGATAATCAATAATGAGATCTTTGGAGTTAAAAGGTTAAAAACTCTTCAAAATACATTTTTTTGACTTATAAATAACCTACAGTTAGTTATATTTTCACTAATTGAGTGAAACCAAATGACACAAGTATAAAAAGCTTTTTTTTACTCCAGACACTAGCAACAGAAAATAGAAAATGATTGTTTGACTTTTGACAGAAAGTTATTAAAGCCTCCATCCACAAAAATTGATATTTTCCCACACACCTACTGGAAAGATGATAAGTTAATTGTAAGGTTGTTAGTCCCATCTAAAATCCTTCTTGACTATGCAACTATCATTATTTTTTTCATGATGCATGTATGGTTTTGTTCAGTTTGCAATTTGGGTCAGATTTTGGTGCTCAGCCTAGAAGTGTTTGAGAAAAAAACTTCAGTGGGGCCATACAAGCTTCAAAGACTGTATTTCATGTTTGTTAAAAACTTACGTCGATTATTTGCCCATATCAGTTTGATCTCTTTGGATGCTATAATTTTCTTGTTTCTTTTCTTTAATTCTCTTCCATCACCTTCACATGATTCTATCATTTGTCTGGCAAATGTTCCTGTGGTACCAAGCAGTCGCTTCCCATCCTGAATATAAAGCAATCTTGTTAGGAAATATCAACAGTTATGTGCAGGTTTGAGCCCTGACAAGGTTAAAATGCTGTGTTCTTAAACTGGACACTGGATTCTTGATTCTCACAATCAACCCACACTACTCAAGGGAATGAATGGATGAGGGCAAAATTTCAGGAAAACGTAACCATTACCTGAAAACTAGAACTAACATCTCATCCAAGGAGAGCAACAATTATCATCCTAGTTGCAGCATGTTTGGGAATTGGGCATCAATAAGCCTCAAGAGAGACAGGTTCAAGATCTGGCAAGTTCACTGCATTGTGTCCTTAGACGAGACACTTTACCTCCTCGCTCGCTCCTCCCAGGAGTATGAATGTATACCAGCACACTGACAAAGCCTGGGAACCTGACAAAATGCTTGGGGGGGAGGGATAGTATTTATCTGATGATGGACAAGTATTCCATCTAAGGGAAATAGCAAAACTCCTTGTTGTTTCATGGGAAGTAAAATAGAAAGAAAAAAGGAAATAGGTGGCAGCTTGATTAGCTACTTGGCAAAAGTGCAAATTGCATTTTTCACCTAAATTTCCAACATTGCATTCTATGCTTTGATAAAAACAAAAGTAGCAGTTGTCTTTCCCTGTTCGCAGAATCTATCCATTTTTCAGTTTTAATGTCTTTTCTGTTCAAACAATTTTAGGGAATTAAAACAAGTAATCCTAAGTCGAATTACACCTAATTAACTAAGTTAATTAGCGCCATACGCAGACATTGCAACAAAAGAAGAGCGATGCGTCCATTGAAAGATATTTCAAAATTCATCCTTCTGGGAAGTACTACATCCCATACCACAAATATTTCAGATATAACGAAGCAAATATCTGTGTATAGATATTTGTTTGTTCCGTTTCGTGATTGTTCATCTGTCAGATCAAGTTTAATTAGTAACATCCCTGCAAAGCAAACAAGGTAAAATAAACTGCTAACACAAATAATTGCGCACGTTGACATTCGTTCAACGAGATGATACAGAATTATGAGAATGGTTAACACTGAAACCATCGAGCTTATTACAAATCCGACTGCAAATGGCCATGATAAAGAATTCTCTAGATAACGTAGTCCCCGCAATCACATGAAATATATCGAATTTCTGATCGATTGAGATCGTCAATATTTCGAAATTAGTAACTTTATTTACCTCTTCCACGCCACATATGCTTCCATAACAGCAAATACAGAAGAACTCTTTCATTTTAACTCATTTTGAGTACGAAATATTCCATCGTTCCCGCAGAACAACGACCACAAATTGCTTTCATTGTCTGTTGTGTCTAAACGCCAAAATGCGAGCCAAAGTCAAATGTAGTACCCAGTTTCAAACGGTATAAGGTTGGGCCTGTGAATGTGCATCACGTAAAATAAATAAATTTATCAAAAAAACGAGTTCATGATATTCCAATGGGGCTCGTTTAAGCTTGGGAAAAAACTGGAATTTTTTCTACATGTTTAACATGAATCTGGTTGTACGCACGCTTATTCTATGGAGGTTTATTTGCTAATAAAGATTATTTTGCACACTGATAACTTCGGTTAAGTCAGTCTGTGACTCTACTTAACGATTTCCTGGTTTTATATCCCCATTAAACTCCAAAGAGAAGCATTCATGCCTTAACAGATTAGATTTAACCCCTAATAAAACTAATTCCTTGAAAAATTTTTAAAAAGTATTATTTTTAGGCCCGAACCTCCTGGTGTACATATCTATTCAGAGACGTGCACCAAAAACAAAACGGCCAGATGAGTACTTTAACAATTTGTTTTCGGTAACAATAACATTCAACAACTGAAGTGGTATTCCTATCTACGGTATTAATGATATTATCGTAATTATCATTTTTATTCTTATCAAGCACTCGAAGTCCTCTTCTTACGCATGCAAACAATGCGAGTGAACAAATATTCTCGCATCTAATTAGATGAGAGCGTGGCAAGTGTTTTACAAATTCACAACAAATCCCGTAAAAACTCTCGACTTACAACGGACAGGAAAACTTGAAGAAATTCAGTAACCCACTGAATACTATTTACTTAAAAGTAGCATTATCAGACTCGAAATTCGGGATAATCTCGAATTAAGTCAGAAGACCTGGTTATATTACATTATAAGCTCACATTCTGGCATTCTGGGAGAGACCTCCAAGAGGATAACCTCCGAAGTTTCCTATCAAGTGTTTTTAAACATAGGAAACATCGTAGTTTTATTTGAATAAAGGGGGTAAGTTTCTATAGAAACTGTGGTGCTGCGTCGGTGGGAGAGAATAACAGGGTAATTTAGTATTATCAACCGAGTTGATAACGTAAATATTGGCCACTGTAAAGAGCTGACGTTTTGAGGGTTAGCTCTTCGTCGGAGTGGTACCTCTGAAAGCTTTCGTTATTTGCGTGTAAAACGTATCTTGCTATTTGCTTATTTAACTCATAAGAAATTATATTTTAAGCCCGTTGTCCTTGCCTCAAGTGTTGGAAATAAAAGTGAAAGCTTTGGTGCAATTTTCTGTTTGCACAACTACAAGAGCCTGGCAGCATGCCTAATCTCCGTTACATACAGCGCACGGGTTGCAATTATGGCAGTCGTTGCGTAACAAAACAAATTCACGTGCTTTCCTCACGCGGAAAAGTTTGACAACGGCGCAGCAAGGTCGAGCTCTCAGCATCACATAACGATTGAGTAGCTAAAAATGATCTTAGAAACCACGAGAACAAATTTTCCAAAAACACCTCTTGAAATATGCTTTACCTTGTCAACAAAGAGTTTTGTTGTGTATTTCTATATATTAATGCGATCTTAAAGAATGGATCCTCGATATTCTTAAAAGAGGGCGGAACCATTAATCGCACGATACCCCACGGAGGGACGGTTTCTTACATAAGTATCAGAGGAAAAAGTGGAAAAAGGGTAATTACTCGGTCGAAACATCATCACTTACCCCTTCCCCCCCTCCCCTAAATTTGGTCATGATATTTTCGCGTGGTCGGCACGTGACAAAGGAGGGATTTTGTTAGTTTCCCAGCCACCCGCGTCGAACTCAAAATAAAATTATATTCGCAAGTTGCGTCACTGCAAAACTAGCACGTGCCGACGCACACTTTGTTTTAACTTTTTCAGGTAACTGAGCCAAGAATTTTCTCTCACCAGGATTCGACTCATCCCACTGCATTTAGTAAACCAGATGCTGAATTTCAGGTTCCCGCACCCGATAACCATAGCTTATGGTCAGAGTGGTGAGATATTCAGATAAAAATGCAACAACAACCACAACCACAAAAGTGATTCTATTTATGGTAAATTTGTGACTGCTTAAGTTCTTTCTAGCGTTTTCAGTCTGTTGTGTCTGAATGCCAAAGAATCTGTCAACAAAGTCCTCTAGCAGAGGAAATTGGGTGTCCAGTTTCGACGCGTGATTCTTAAGAGGCTAATTTTTTTCCTCCAAATATTATGAATTCTTTTGCGGTAGACGTTACTCAAATGGGGAAAGATATGATTAAAGTACAACTAAAATGCATCAGAAGCTTAAGTGATACACTAAAGCGCAAGAACACAATGATAAATACATGTTGCAAGTGTGTAGAGTTTGTTCCTTAAAATCAGGGGGTGTGATGGGGTGAATATGGCAACCATGACATTCTAAGCTGGGAAGTAGAGCTTAATTTTGGCTTTTGAGAAAATTGTAATGCTTCTGAAAGGATATACGTGGCTGGTATTTTTTTTCCAAAAGGAAATTTCAAACAAAAAGAATAAAAAGGCATGTTAATGGACTTGGAAAGCAAGTGAAAACACATTTCTCGCAATTAGTGTATGAAGATGAGGGTATCTGATAGACAGAAAACCTGAAACAGCTGTCATTTAGTTTGATTTGAAGTTTATTGAGACAGGGGTCTTATCGAGTAAAGAGGCGAAAATTAGGAAAAGGAGAAAAGGAAAAAAAAACATTGCAAAAGAGATCAAGAACACCTTATGGTAGATTAGTCTGGAGATGGATATTGTTTTCAATTCAAAAATTGCTCCAGTACTCAAAATCATCTCAGAGTGTCAAAATCCCCCGGGATGGCGAAGCCAATAGCTTAGTCGAGAGAATCTTATGCTCACGCAAACCTGAAAATCCGTATTTACTCTAATCTACCCACTTTTAATAACACCAGTCTTTGTTTTTAAAAGAAATGTTCCTTTTGCGCGCTTTAACATTCGACAGGTACAGTTTCCGGAAATCTATGAAAACAGGTTAAAAAAAGGGCGAAATAAAACAGATCTTTATCACATCCTTTTGTATGTTAATTAATATATGGCAATTTGAAAAATTTTTTTAATTGAAAGAGCTTTGCAAATTTTTTTTATTGGGAGAGCTTTTCTCTAATGGGATAGAAACGTGCGTTGAGGGTGCAAAGTTCACGATCGAGAAAAGAGATGGCAAAATGATCTCCCATTTGATTATGCACTCCAATTTTTAAATTATAAACTACTGTGCAAACACAAATAAAATAAGCTTGTTCAAATCCCCCTCCCCTGATGGAAAATGTTAGTTTCCTGCGAGCGACGCAACATCGATTTTTACCGAACAAGCTTGAAAAATCTTGTACGCTTAAACTCTATAATTAAGTGAAAAACTCCACATTATGATATATAAGTAGTAGTGTTGGCGTGATTTGAAATATTGTGTCTGTGCACAAACTATTGGACAAAAGGAACCAGTTAAGAGAAATACAATGATAACTTACATGAATATTGAAGAAGTTACATGGGTGATTTCTTCTCAGCCAATGCTTCATGGTCGCCGGAAAACTCAGAAGAGATGAAACGCTTTCAGTCCGCTACTTTCTCGGATGTTGGCTCTACACAGCTCTTGTAAAGTGTCGGCGCAGATTAACTGAAAATGCCTTTCAAAAGTGATATTGGAAATACGAACCTTCGATCAAAAGGACAGGTGCTTTCAATGAAAAATGGATCAATTTGCAGAATGTTTGCGGTATGCTGTCACAAAATGTTGTAGAGGCAGGCATGAGACACGAGCATACCGTTGCAAACACCTATGGTCCTCAAGATCTGGTGACTTTTATACTCAGAGCGTATTACATAATTTGACTGGTTTCAGCAGGTTTAGCTCACCCCGTGATTTTCAAGGTCAGGATCATATTCGACTCCCGCAGGCAGCCGGTTGTCGAGACATCAAATGTTGGTACAAGAACCCACTTTTAGGGACCCCTGAGCGAATTCTTAACATTTCCGGACATACAGAAGAGATGTTAACACCTTATATTTTTTTGCTTCAAACGAGAAATTCCACGAATTCACGAGAGTGTGTTGTACTCTTCTTACCTTCAGAGAAATCGGACAAATCGGTATCAGGAATGGATTGGAGTGCTGTTTGCTCCGTACATTCAAGTACTTTGTACTAATGGTCGCTGAAAAAAAAATCTGGGACTTAAGATTTTGATCCTTTAAGATCCATACACATTTTCTTAGTCTTCATTCCAGCAGTAAACGCATTAATATGGGTAAACAAATCCCTCTAGTGACAGATCAGTACTGCAGATCATGTTGCTAAACGATTCAGTCGCAGACAAATTATGGACTTAATAAAATTATATACTTAAATTGAAATATTGTTTCCACCACAGACAGTTAAATCGTTTCCCTATCATATCGATAACTCCCTTTATAAACTTTCAGACCATCCGTGAAATACTCAGTTTGCGACGAGAATCACAATGAAATGAATCCAAAACTTTTTGAAGGAGAAACAAAAAAGAACAAAAAAAAACCTTTCGAAAACGCAGACATTTTTCAACAATAAAGATGTTGAATGATTGGCTTTACCGACCTCACTACTTGCCCCAACCCTCCCCCCTCCCCTAATTAGTTGGCTCCGAAAACAACCGTTTTGAAGGCAATTGGCAATTGTTTACACTAGCTGCCCAGTGTTTACATTATGAATTAAATGGATCCTCTTGACCAGAGAAGATTTTCCTCTGGCTAACCGTACTATGGCCATGCATTTCCGTGCACGCACGAGTCCATTTTGCAGTAGAATGATTATGATTTATGGCCGGGCAATTTATTTTCCACATTTGACAAGAAACCTTAAATCAAACCGTTGCAAAGAGAGACCTTTGCCTCCACGTAACTATCATTAAATTTTATTGCATAGTTTTTAGGCAGGAAATACTTCCAACACATCGGTCGCGGAAGTTTTATACAAAGCTTTTTAGCTGTTAAAACTGCTGCACACTGACGGCTGAGAAGGATGCTCTCAGTAAACTCTCTTTTTCAATTAAGGTATTAATCTGTTTTTTCAACCCGATGGAGCTCTGAAATGACATATTGATGTAGAAAACGTCTCTTTTTTGGATGAATTGACGTACAAAACACAGTTTTTAAGATCTGGAAGTTTTAAAGCCGGCTACATACAACTGTAAAAGTGTTTGAGAGATGAGCACTTCTAAGCGAGTGACTACGCAATATTTTTATCTGGTCAAAGTCCAGTTTCGTTGTTTACAGTGTTTTATGGCAAGAGCTCTTCTTCTTTTGGTTGATTCAAGACGTAGAGTATTTACCACTTAACGTAAAGTTGGAACTCAAAGTGAATCGGTCGCACACACAACGAAAAAGGGAGAAAAAAAATGATGAAAAGACCTGTGACCCGTAGATTACGCATCGCTCTAGTTCGCCTTTTATATCTCTGGTTCACTTCTGCACGACCTGTGTACTTCCCTGGTCCTAAAATGTAAACGGTTTGTGCATGAATACTGGAAGAGACCAGTAATGCCAGTCCCATGTATTATCCATGGCTGTTCTGCTCTTTTCCAACAAAGTAAAGAAAGTTGGCGGCCTTTTTTGACGAGTTTATTCTCATTGATTATTAGAAGAGGCTGAAGGAAAGCGGTTCAAAATTAAGTTTCTAAGCCTTTCCCGCTACTTTGATTTGTTACAATCGCCTAAAATAAGCCAGAGATCGATAGTAAGGTGTCTGAAATCGAACGCACTCGCTCGCCGCACGCCTCGCCACCAACTATCAGTCTTTCAAATTAAATGCCGCCCTCGTTGATGTTGTTGTTATGATTTGTTCTCACTTGCTAATGGGATCAGAACAATTTTGCATTGGAATCTTTCCTGATGTCTGGTAGCGGCTTTTAGCCTGTCCTATATTTCATTAATCCAATTTCACTTTCTCCTGGTGAGAGACGAGAAAATTTCCCATTCTTAGCTCTTACATATTTGCTGCTGGGTTTGACCATTCCTCTGCCCCCCTCTACTCAATCTTCAAAGGCTTCTGTGAAATTTGTATACGAGAAGCTTGAAGGGAGAGTTAACGAGTGCGGGAGCCCCCACCAAGAGAAAAGATGTTATCTTCATCATTTGTAATGCGCATCGGAACGTATTTGAATGACATATGCAAAATTTATAAAGGAACTGAAGGGTTACGAGCGCCCTTCAAAAGTTTTTAAATGACTCGCCTCCGGCTCGTGATATGCACATTTTTCGAGTGTTCACGCCTGGGTCATTACCCCTGTAAACCGATAGAAAGTGCGGTCTATTGCTTAGATTAGTTCTCCATTCATTATTTCTGTAAAGAGGAAAAATATAGATTAGAGCAATGTTAAAAGCCGCTCAAAACGCCAGAGTTTAAAAATTCGTTACGGCGTCTACATACTATTGTACTTGATCGTCAGCCTTGCAACTGCGGCGTTAAAGAATTAATAGGTCCTCAGTCGTTGACGTCAGTCCTTTTCTTAGAATTTCACAGGCACTTGGAATGAATTCGCCGAAATGGGTCTAACACAGAGAACCCCAGCATAAATATGCAGTGTTTTTATGGTAGGGCCATTTCATAATACTTTGAGTATCTTCTTGTACAGTGTGGAAATACCTTCGGCTTGAAAGAGACGACAAAAAATCAGTTAGTAACAATAAAAAAATAAGAAAAAAGATATTAATGTGCAAGGGAAACTACATAGATCGCGTAGGAGAGGGAAGATTAAACAGATTCCATTGAAATGACAAACTTTTGGCTTAACCCATCAGATTACGGTCATCCGTTTGGACTTACGGCTGGGTAGAGTGAAAATAATTATTCAAGTTTGCCCAAAATAAACATCGATCTTGTTTTCCGTGAGAAATTACTTTCAAAAGTTTCCCTTCTTGCTTAAAAAATTTCACGAATCCGAAAATTTTCCTGGAAACATTCTGTCTTCCTCTTCCTCTTCCTGTAGGGAATAGTTAACTGAGTAAGTGACATCATCAAGCACTGAAAAAAAACAGAGATGGGACACTTTCTTTTAAAAATGCAAGATATTTTTAAAGCAATTCATGCATAGTTGTAGTTGAGTACCATAATCAAATCTGTCACAATTTTCTTTTGGCGCGCGTGACATTATTTTGATCGATATGTTACGAATCAAAGCCAGCCACGTGGATTATTTACATACCTTTTTTTTCTGTTTTTTTTCAACGATCTTTTGTTTTGACGTATTCATTGTTTTCCCGGAAATCGATGCAAGGAACTTTCTCGGAAAACATAATGATGTCATGGCATTAATTTTGCTATGCGAAGCACTTTAATTAATTGTCTTCAGCTATATAAGAATATTGTAACGTTGAAGAAAATTTTGAGCTTTTGGTGAGGGAATTTTCAGGTTAGCGAATGCAATTTCTTGATCACAAGCGATCGATTGTTTGTCCCTGTTTCGATCACTTTAAAAGTTGTTATAATTTTCCTTGATGAGCTACCGTGTTTGAAGTAATTTCCCGGTTGAATCGCCCTTCATTGTGAAAGGAATTTCAATTTAGGGCTTTGCATTAACACTCAAGCTTTTTGTCATCATTTGAAATTTTAATAAGTGACACCATGGAGAAGGCTTCCGAAAGCAAAACAGATGGAGAAACCGAAGGAAAATTTTCAGCTCGGCCGTACCAAGTGGAGCTTCTAGAGCGGGCGAAGGAAAGGAACACCATCGTATGTCTGGGCACGGGAACTGGCAAAACGTTTATAAGTGTCATGCTCATAAAAGAACTCGCTCATGAAGTAAGAGGAAACTATAAAGACGGCGGGCGAAGAACTTTCTTCCTTGTAAATACAGGTACCTTCATATGTTTTGTCTTTATGAGATCAGCTTTACCTCGGGGGAGTGGGTACGATATCTCAGCGCGGGTCGGGCCGGGGTTGCGAAGATGGGTAATAGCGGTCCTCGCATACGTACAAATACAATTCAATGGAAATAGAAGAAATGATCGTAGATCTTTCCTTATTTTTGCCTGATTATGACTTATTGGAACTTTTGATGCCAGAAACTAAAATATAAGATCAAGAATGTGGTTTAAATTTTGATTTTCCTTAAGTCGAAAGGAGCTTGAGGATTGTAGACGAAATCAACTCCCTTTGTAAATAACATGTCCTTCCTTTTTTCACAGTTCCACTGGCTAGCCAACAAGCAAAAGCTATCGCTAAACATACAGACTTAGAAGTCAGGCATTACGTTGGAGAGATGGGTGTAGATTTCTGGGACAAGCCCACTTGGGAAAACGAGTTCAATACAAGCAACGTTCTGGTCATGACAGCTCAAATATTCCTCGACCTTCTGTTGCATAGCTACATACTTCTCTCGCAAGTGAATCTCTTGATCTTTGATGAATGCCACCATGCCAAGAAGAATGATCCTTACAGACAGATAATGCAGTGCTTCAGCGATTGCCCTCAGCGCCCATTACCCAAAGTTATGGGTTTAACTGCCTCTATAGTAAATGGAAAAGTAAAACCTTATAAAATCGAATCGGAGATCCAAGAGCTGGAACGCACATTAAGATCTACATGCGAAACAAGTCAAGATGAAGATGTTGAAAAATATGCTACTAAACCCAAAGAACTTGTCCTTGTTTACCCGAGCCAGAGCACTGATAAAAACTCGAATACTTTGATCAGAGAACTGTCTGATGTCTTAAAACAAGGAATTCGTTTTCTCTGCGACTGTCGGGTGTCCAGAATTGACGAGAATGCACACTGGTACGCGAAGTTCGCCCTGAGGGAGTGTAAGGAGACATTGGATGAATTGGGCCCTTGGGCTGCTTTTAAAGTAGCAGAATACCTAATAGAGGATCTAGGTATGGTACAGTTTCAGTTTTAAGGAGAACTGTAACCGTACCCCAAGTTCAAGTCAAGTTTTTGAAAAATCATAATACGGTCAACACGAACCAAACATTATAAATATTATCCAAAACGAAAGGAAAAAAAATCTCATGTCTCCATTTCCAAAATTTTTGGCCTTTTAAGATCTTTTTCAAAATTTTGCGTAAAATCTTTATAATTACACCTTGACATCACTATGCATATTCTCCATACTGTTCTCTATATATCTCCTAAGGTGCAGACAAGGAGAATTTGTTTAACAATCAACAGCTTCTTTAGTTAGTGATTATTTTCTATATTCTTGTTACCTTAATGGTTGATTCAGGCTGGTGTGATATTGTAAGAATTGGATGCTAGTCACTCTGAGAGTCAAAGAGATCAGCCTACAGAACAGAGATTGACTTAATTTTTGTTGGAAAAGAGTCAGAGTGTGCCAAATTCTCTGCTCATAAGACTGAATTATTCCAATTCAAGCAAAATTAACCTGGGTTGGATAAAAATGCCTTTGTTGGCATCTTTTGATCAACTGGAATGCAATATACCTATAAACCATGATATTTTCTTCTAGACAGAGCATGCAAGGTTCAAAGCAGCAAAGAAGGACGATTGTTTTGTGAGTTTAGTGCCACCCAGCTGCGTCAACTGAGAGGCAAATACTGTGATTTTACTAAAAGTGATGGGTCTGAGGACAGTGGACATTGTTACTTCATGCCTAAACTTCAAAAACTTTTGAGTGTTTTCAGGGAGTTTGCTAACTCACAGTATGAAGGTAAGGAACACTCTGCTGACTGCTTTATTTATGAAACTTATTTTTTTATATCCTTAGTGGAAACTAAAACAGAAGATTAGCAAAGTGGATATTTTTGCATTTCTTATCTCAGTTTGACCCTTTCACTCCTAAGATCTCTCCTGATTGTGTGCCAAACCTTCCTAAAAATTTTCAACCCTGAGAATCTGTGTTAAATTTCAATACATTGCCTGCCTCATTATTTTTCTCTTTAATCAGCTCCTTTACATTTTAAATAGTAATGTTATTGTGAAGAGATTTTTGTTTTGGTTTGCTCTTAACACTAAAAGGTGAAATGGAATCCTCTATCATAGTAACAGTAATAACATCAATAATATTTGATGGCACTAATATTAATGATAGTGGTGCTAACAATAAAAATATTGATGATAATAATAATACCATAATGATTAAAATCATTATAGTAGGAAATTTAACAACAATAAAAATGATAACGATGATAACAACACCTATAATAATGTCTCAGGAGGAGATCAATATTTAGAGGACATCTTAAACTTCTATAGCTATCTCCTCATTCAATCAAGAAATGGCCTTTGGTTGAAGAACAAATCTTAAGAGTGAAAAGATCAAACATGGTTACACCTGCTACCCAGCTTGACCCTGAGGAAGATTTAGCCAATTGTTAAAAATAATATTAATGATAATGACCATGTAGGTTTATTTTTGTTTTTCTGTTAATCCCTACACTCTCAAAAGCCTAAGCTCTTGAATTGGAACTTCCTTGAAATTTGTTTTCTGAATTCAATGTGTAAGAGTGATTTTTGGATGCCACTCTGCAAAACAGCTTGGTGATCCTCAGTTTGCTTATTTTGCAGCATCTGAAGAGGAGAAGACCCTCTGTGCCATTGTGTTTGTTGAGAGACGATACACAGCACTGATCCTCAGCAAACAGCTTAACATGGCTGCCAAACTAGATCAGGAGCTCTCATTCATCAAAAGTGACTTTGTGATTGGTCATGGCACAGGTGCAAGGGTTAGCTACTCCAGTAACACAGAGATGAATTTTAAGAAACAGGAGGAAGTACTGCGCAAGTTCAGAAATGACAAGAAAAGACATGAATTCAATGTGCTGATAGCCACCTCTGTTGTTGAGGAGGGATTAGATATTCCCAAGTGTAATGTTGTCTGCAGGTTTGATTTCCCAAAAAATTATCGCTCCTATGTACAGTCAAAGGGCAGAGCTCGTGCCAAAGGTTCCAAGTACTACATGCTGGTGGATGAAAAAGAGGAAGTGGAAAAAGTGAATGAATTGGAGGTACATTTTTTACATATTTAAATCAGTTACAATCCATACCTACTCTGGTGATTGTCATTGATAATGTTTAGCTGAGGATGCAGAGCACCAGACTGCTGTGTGGGAGATAGAAGGTTCAAGCTCCAGACTGCTAAACAACACTCAGGGTCTTAGAATAACCAAGGACCATGCTGCCTTTGCTATGATGTCTGCAAATGGTTAGACATTCTAGTCTACTCATATAAGGATAATAAGCCACGAGCCCTTCTGCATCTCCTCTCTACTGGTTAGCAGGGGACGTTAAAGAACCCATGCATTTCTCGCAAAGAATAGGGAACACATATGTCATTGTTATAGTCTGGCCTTTAGATTTTTTACACAGGCTGCCTTTTAAAGCCACTTTAAGCTGAACTGGGAAAGCTGGTTTAAATATCATAAATAAATTCATAACCTGGTTGAATTACTGTAAGGAATGTTAATTATTCTTCTTCTTAATATTCATGGCTTATTCCCTAGATGTTGCGTGCTATTGAGGAAATCTTGTTGGAAAGATGCCATGATCGGCAGAAGCCAACAGTGGAGGAGTGTAATGAGTCAGTAGACACAGATTTACTTCCGCCGTACATACCAGTAAATGGAAAGGGGGCTAGAGTAACTATGAGCAGTAGTGTTGCTCTACTTTCAAAGTAAGTGCAAAGAATTTATTAACTTTGAATTGTGTTGTAGTTCTAAATTTGAGATAATTGGTTGACTTGTGTATTGTTAAGTAATGTGGTTGTAAAAAGGGAAGATGTGCTATATATGGGGTAACAAACTTGGGCACTGATTGTGAAAAGGGGTGATTTCTATTTACTATGAGTATTGCTGTAAAGCTGGCTGTTTGCTTCCCTAAAAACCTCAAAATTGCTCGTATTACCTCTTATTTTTCACTGAAATCACTTGGAATTCATGAAAATTCAGCAGGTAAAAGGACAAGTCTACCAGTTTGATAATTATTTTTACCTGTCACGTTGAAAATAAGGGAGTACACTGCCTCTTTAAAAGCTCTTACACCACATCTACATAAAGTTATGCTCTTTTAAATTTTAACTCAGGGGTGTAGAATATTCTTATACTTAATATGGAGATGACCAATTACTTAAAATTACAAACTTTATAAACCTAGAATTATATCAATATTTCTACTTTTGTCATTTCAGGTACTGTTCAAAGCTTCCAGGAGACCGGTTTACTCAGCCCAAGCCAGTTTACAAGGTTGAGGAAATTGGGAAATATCTTTACAGGTGTAAACTAACACTCCCAATAAACTGTCAACTACGTGATGATATAATAGTGAGTTTAGAGGACTTTTATTTTTTTTAAACTAAGACATAAAATTGTCATTATGGAAATTTGCCTATTTGCTCTGTCATTATCATTGGCTATTGATAAAGTTTATCTGCCTTCTGATTGGTTACGTAACCGCCTCCCGGTTAGCTCAATTGGTTAGAGCTCTGGACTGTTGTGTGGGAGGTCGAAGGTTCGAGCCCCAACCAGACCAACACTCACAAGGTCTTGAAATAAATGAGGAGAATGTGCTACCTTTCTATAATGTCAAGAAATGGATAGACATTCTAGTCTTCTCAGATAAGGACGAATAAACTGTAGGTCCCGTCTCCTACCTCTATTAATTAGTCAATTTGGTCAGGCAGGGGACGTTAAAGAACCCACTCACGAGATTACTGTGATGTGGTCTGGCCAGTTTACTGGGAATTGGGGGAGGGGGTCTGCCCTTGTCATTGTTAACGCGGGATCCACTGTAATTGGCTAAAGCTGTAGTGGTCTCCCTGCCTTAGATCATTGGGCGAAGCTAAATAAATTAAATTACAAAATTACGTTATTGGTACTTTGGTTGTGATTTTGTGTCTCTCAATTCAACATTGCTCTAATTCTCTGTGCTAAGTTTCAAGCAGTTTGTTAGCTCTTGGAAATTAACCCTGTAACTCGCAAGATTCTAAAAGTAACTCTTCCTACTAACTGCTATACATTTCCTTGTAAATTGGAGAGGACAACATGATGTTACATTAAGACAACACCTTAACGCTGATGAACTTATATATTCTCATCACCTGTTCGCCATGTAACATATTGGAATTGCAAGGAGAAATTACATGTTAATCGCTTACTTGAGAACCATCTATGTCTGCGTTTCATCAGGGTGAACCAATGCTGAGTAAGAACCAAGCCAAGATGGCAGCCGCGCTCGAAGCCTGTAAACTGCTTCACAAGATTGGTGAGCTTGATGATGACCTGTTACCAAAGCGGACTTTATCTGACGAGGAAAGTGATTTGGAAGAAGAAGCAGCAGCTGAGTCTGGCGGAAAAAAACCAAAAGCTGGAACAAAGAAGAGAAGACGACGGTACAGGAGAAAGGTAAGCAGTTGAATTTCACAATTTTGGCCTGTGACTTACTCATTAAACTGTTTACTTATATATCTCAATGCAATGTCGTAGACAATGTCTAAGCATGAATTTGGCTGGTCAGTTAGAGGGTCTACCATTCCCTATGCTTATTCAAGTTTGGGTATGCTGTTGATTTACCAATTTCTTTTGAGCTTTAACAAACACGTTATTCGCTTCTAAAACGCCGTGACTTAGTGATCATGAAACCATGAAACCAGTGTTCGAATCCTCTCGTGGAACTCAATTTTCACCTTCGCTTCACGCTCTTGACAAATATTTACACTTTCTTTACCTAATGTTTTGTTGTTGCCCAGGTTCCTGAAGCATTTGTCGGCAGCTTGGTACAGGAAGGTCAGCCACAGTTCCTCACGACCATCACCATACAAGTCACTAAACTTACTCAGCCACAAGAGTTTGTCGTTAGTGAGCGACTGTTCCTCAATGAAACTTGCACGTTTGGAATGCTGACAACGAAAAGAGTTCCTTGGGTTGGTACTTGATTATTAATATTTCATTATTTATCAGGCAACGTAATTCTGTAGGCCAATTTTCAATCCAGTGTCGCTCTGTGATTGGTCCAAAAAGCTTGCACCTTTCTTTCAGCCAATCAGCTGCAAAACTAAAACCAATCACGACTTGGTCGCCTGCGTTTTCCCGCGCTTTAGCCAGGTTGGTTGTTTTCATTTAACTCATTGGCTTCTAAAGGTCCACGATTGCAGCGTGTACCACTTCAACCGGTCTCACACACCACAAATGTTGACCTTCATCTTACAATGCAATTTTTTCACTCTTCAGATACGATCGTTCAAACTGTATCCTAACTATGGCGAAGTCACGGTATCCTTGCAGTGTCACAGCTCTCCTTTGCGTGTAAACATCACTAAACAAGAGTTGGACATTCTTCGCCAGTTTCATCTCTTTCTCTTCAGTCACGTTCTACGCTCTCCCGTGGAATTCACACCAGGAAGTGTGGATGGTTACTTCGTTGTTATGTTGAAGGCTTCAGGAAGGAGTATTGACTTTGATTGTATGAGAGAGGAGCTTTCTTTCAAACAAAGCCGTGGAAGTCAGCCCATTGTCGTAGACGCATTAGTAACAAAGAACTACGTTGAATCTCCACAAAAGTACGCTGTTTTGAATGTTCGTGGCGATCTGACTCCGATGTCTCCGTTCCCGGAAAAGTCGCAGGGTAACACTTATGAAGAATATTTTCGCCTGAAATACAGAGAAAGGGGATGCATTGCGAACAAGCATCAACCACTTGTTGAAGTGAAAGAGCTCTCCGCTAGAGTGAATTTTCTAGTAGACCGAAAACAAGGAACAAAAAACAAGCGCGATGTGATTTGTCTTGTTCCAGAGTTGTGTGACCAGACTCCCATTCGCGCTTCTCTTCTAAGCGTGTCTCAGATTCTACCTTCTGTTCTTCAGCGTATCACCTCCCTCCTTCTCGTTGGTGATCTCAAGGCCATGGTTGCTGGTGTACGCGACACAACAGATGAATCAATTTTCCCTCCCATTGGAGCTGAAGAGGGCTTAAGAGAGGCGCCCATGGAGGTTGAAGGCGATGCTTTGGACCTGGAAGACCAGGTTGCACTTTTCTCCGACATCAGGTCGATGTTCCGTGACAGTCCACCATCTGCTGACCACCCCGACTCCTTTCTCGTTCTTCAAGCTATTACCACCACCCACAGCGTAGATGCATTTAATCTAGAGAGGCTGGAGATGCTTGGGGACTCATTTCTAAAGCTGGCCGTGTCCATTCATCTCTTCTGCACATACAGCGATAAAGACGAAGGCAAGCTGACCCGGCGTAAGAAAAACCAGATTAGTAATTTAGCTTTGTACCGAGCAGCGGCCAAGAAATCTCTGGGCGAGTATCTGCAAAGCACGCAGTTGGCTCGCAACGTTTGGTGTCCTACGGGATGTCAGTTTGGCGACGTACCACCGAATCGCACCACAGGTAGCCCAGCCATGGAAGTTGACAGCGGGGACACAGTCGAGGCAATGGAAGTTGACGAGACCTTAGAGAGGGGAAAGGAGACAAAACTTACTTCTACAGAGCATGCGCGCCAGAAATGCAACACTCAAAAGATTGCGGACAAGTCCATAGCTGACAGCATCGAAGGACTGATCGGAGCGTATCTGATATCCTGTGGTTACCTTGGTGCGTTGCGATTTATGAAGTTTCTGGGGCTAAAAGTTTTACCTGAAATTGGGACCAACGACGGCAATGATTTGCAGGCGGAGAATAGCAAATCGGGTTGCTATGCTAGATTTTGGCCAGATCAGACAAAAATAACAGTTGCGCAAGGTAAAGGAGATATGGTTTTCCGCCTCACTTCTGGCCTGGAAAACTTTGAAAACGAATCAATCTCGTACACTTTCCAACAAAAGTTGTATTTGGTAGAGGCACTAAGTCATGCGTCTTACCACGAAAACCGTGTCACGCCAAGTTATGAAAGACTCGAGTTCCTCGGCGATGCCCTGCTGGACTTTTGGTCACGCAACATTTGTACTTCCGTCACGTCAACTTGTCACCAGGTGAACTGACCGATATACGACAGGCCTTGGTGAATAATAACATCTTTGCCACCCTTGCCGTAGAACACAGATACCACAAGTATCTGAAGCATATGTCTCCAAAGTGGTTCCAAACAGTGAAGAACTTTATTGATAGAGTGGAAGATGAGGCAGAAGAGAGGAAAGATGACCAGCTTCAAACGGTAGGGTGAACTTTATTCTTTAATCCTTTACATCAGTTTTCTTATTCTCCATTCTGTCCTCCATACATTTCCTAAGGTGCTGACAAGGAGAATTTGTTGAACAATCAAGAGCTTCTTTAGTTGGTGATGGAGACGTTTCCTTTATTCTCGTGACCTTAAAATGTGATTCAGGGCTGATATCGTAAGGAGAAATTAGGTGCTAATTACTCTCATGGGCCAAAGGGTTAACGAATATTTTCTCCAGTTGATTTATTATGTTTCTTTGTTAACAATTATTTGGTAGGTCACCGCTGACCCATTTATTATCGTGTCTGAAGAAGAAGAAGGAATCGAGGCGCCTAAAGTTCTAGGTGACATCTTTGAATCAGTAGCAGGCGCGATATTTTTGGACAGTGGTATGGATTTGACTAAAACCTGGGGTGTGTACTACCGCATGATGAAACCCTACATCGGTAAGTTGGCCATCGCCACCCGCGAAGACCCCCCTCCCCACCTCTTGGGAAAAGTCTTATCAGTAGAAAGCTCCGAGGTTGTTTTTCTCGCAATAAGCTGGAAAAGGAGTGAGAATGAGTCAGAGAAAGTATACTCAGCATGGGGCATTCAACCCTCAAATCCAGAGTGAGAAGGAACGCCGTTGAATAACGAACCTAGAAAAAAATACTACAAATATTGATTGATATTAAGTTTTCAATTCAGATCATTACTCAGTGAACATACTGCGAAATCCCATCAGACATGTTTACAAGGAACCTGAACCTGGTGAAAAACACCGGAAAGATTGATTGATTTATGTTTTTTATTCAGATCATTACTCGGTGAACATACCGCGAAATCCCGTCAGACATGTCTACGAGAAAGACGAGAAGGCTGACTTTGGGTGAGTGTACAGTTCAAGGTTAAGATTTTTGATGGTTGGTTGACTCTCCCCGCATACGTCTCTGACTAACAGCACCAAAGGTGTTAATAATTTTAGAGCGTAATAGAGTGCATTTTTGCCAAGAACAACATCCATGGATTGCAGGAGCAGTCTTTAGAGAAATTGTGGCCGAGTACGGCGGATCTTTCCAAAAACATGGGCATGCGCACGTGTAGAGTGCCAAAATAGTGTGGCATAACATGAAATCGTCAACATTATCCTTTGAAATAGGGAGATATTGAGAAAGATTACAAGAACTGCAGTTGTGGCGCGATTTAATCTAGCAGATTTTCATTTTTTTTTTTTCGTTTTCTACAGGAAAGCGAAGACCCTTGAAGATGGTAAGATCCAGTGCACTCTGAGAGTGTACTGGGGAAAGTACAATGGAAAGGGATCGAACATGAAGATTGCTAAAGCTGCAGCAGCCAAGTTCGCTATTGAAGGGCTGAAAAAGAAATACGCTGCGGTATACGAGGAAGATTAAGACTCAGTGAAGGCTTGGAGGACATCAGTCATGTTGCGGCAAAGGTGCTCCCTTAGATTTGTGTTGAGATAATGCTGTGGAACACTGTTGCAGTAATAGGAAGTAAATTTCTTTTGTGCCTATGATAATATTTGTACATTATCTTCCACGATGAACATCCCTTTCTAGGAGCCACGTTTATCTAGGTGACGTACCTTGAATGAATGGGAGTCGTTCAAGATTACTTTGTGTTACAAATGTCCCTTAAGTGTTGTGATTGACTTTCTCAGACACCGAGGACAGTGTAGACATTTGTCTAGAGACGTTTGCACTATTAATGCGGCTTTGAAATATTTTTTATCTACAATTTGTCTTTTTGACAACTCCTGTTTTTAACTTGTGGGCGTCCCTAACAATTAAAAATTTTTTTGTTTATTTTTATCTATTGAATGACTCAATTTTTCTATTTTGTGGGCGTCAGGGCGTCGTTGCTAACAATTTGTGGAAAATAGAGAAAAATCGAAACAAACAAAAGAACAGTAAAAATATCGCAAAAAAAAAATAATAGAAAACTCTGACAGCAATAACTATGAAAGTTCACCATAGCAGTGCTTTGGTATATGAGTTTGTAATTGATGAAGATAAAATTTTAGTTTCCTGGGAATCAGGCATTTCCTTTAAAGATTTATGTTTTTTACCAGTTTTAAGTGTGGCAAGAAGAGTACATGTAAGAATGCAAGACCGATTTTGGTAATCGTGATATGTGTTGCAGTTGTAAATAGTGTAGCTGAAATGAAATGGAAAGTTCTCTGTAAAATAATTACGCATGAATGAGAGAATAAAGGAAAGCGCTGATGTTACATTCATGTGGGCTGTTTGTTATTACTCTTTAAAAAATGCCGCGTAATTCCATAATAAATAGTAATTTTATTTGGCATGAATTTGCTTGAGTTTGTGTTACAAATGGCTTCGTTACTCGCTCTCCGTGACAGATGGTGAGCTAAGCTGTCATGGGAGGATAAGCGAGCATGTTCGCTTAAATTCTTCAGAGACCGAAATATGCTCTCACAGGAGGAACCCCAGTTTGGTTTCTGTATCTGATTAAAATTAACGCTTCTGCTATTTATCAACCGTGTGACTTTTATTCGTTACTTCCCAAAATATCTGTTGGTTTAAAATAACGATGTCGAACGCCAACGTGGCGGACGTGCATTTCGTCTCAGTCCGTTGATACTTAACAGTGTCATAGCTACTTCGCCTGCGCAAAGCGAGATGAAGTGAAAGCTTATGTAGCTTGAGAGAAATCTCTGTTTAAACTAGATGTGCATTTTTCCGATTGCTCTAAACCGTGAAACGTACCTCTTTGTAGTTTTAAGTCTCTTTGTTTTAGTAGTCTGCACACCGTTCGTCGCACAGTATTGCATGGGTACTGTGAACACAAGGTAATGTGCAGGACACTCTTTGCCAATGCTTGCCAGAAACAACTGTGAAACTAAGACGCCATCTTGCTTTAAATATAAACCATTTTCACCATAAACCATTTTCATCATGCGTTGTCCCGCAAGTTTGAGGTTGTGTTCACTCAGGTACACACCTGAAAACGCAGCGCACATCCGAGTGTAAGACAATGCGTTTGCATGTTACATGTTCACTCGTGCGTTTTCTTAGGCACGTGATTTGCGTTTGAGTCAGTATTGCGTTTGAGTCAGTATTGAACTTTGCTCTCAATTTCCCTTTTTTTTCACCATCGTTTGGTAAAGAAAACGTAGTCACTTTTGTTTGCATTAAAGAGAGAAATGCGGCAAATTTTCTCGACGACCTTGATTTTCCTGCTACATTAAGTAACAAGATTTCCGTACAGCCACATACTTCATTGTGCATACACCTCATGGATAAAGAAATCAATGGCAAAAATGATATATTGCCGCCTTGGGGAGTACGGCTCGTTTTATAACTGGGGGACTCTCGCAAATCACGACGGCAACGAGGACGTGGCAAAAAAAAAAAGAAATCTCATGGGCAGGACAATACTTCAACACGTGCGTTTTTAACCTTGTACATTTCTTAGCCGTCTTCTGCAAAACAACGTGAAATCACCAAAATTTGCGCCGTCTGCGAATGGTGCAGCCCTTAAAAATAAACGCATAGAGGATGAAAAACATCGTGAATAACTGATAAAGGACATAAAACAGTCAGCGAGCAGCGCCGAGGAAGACGTTAATTAAAAAATAAATTTATATTTAATATCATGATCATCAGAATTTCGGGAATGCCCTGTTGTGTTTACCGGCGTCCCTTACGGTGCCACCCTTCAACATTAGCATAACGTATGTGAGCAGTGTTAAGTTCCAAATGGAAACCCAAATACTTTGCCCTTGGTCGGGGTGTCCGTCCTCAGACCGCACAAAAATTTTTATTTTATTTTGGTGATATGGCGTTGCTTTTGCGGGAGACGGCTAAGAAATGTACAAAGTTTTAAAACGCACATACTAAACTATTGTCCTGCCCATTTATTCTTGTTTATTTCGCCATGTCCTCGATGCCGTCGCCGTCTTGGTTTGCTTATTAGGGACCTTAAGCAAACCACGACGGCGACGGCAACGAGGACATGGAAAAACAATAGATTTAATTGGCAGAACAATAGCGCAGCACGTGCGTTTGAAAATTTTATGCATTTCTTAGCCGTCCCATGCAAAAAAACAACGTGAAATCACCACAAATTGCGTCGTCTGCAAACCGAAACCGCGATTGGAACTCTTGGAACTCAACGCTTCTTTAATACGTTATGCTGAAGTTGAGGTGTGGCGCCGTATGAGACGGTAAACACATGCAACCATTTTTGAAATTCTAATTAAAGGCAGAAATTCATTTTTTAATCGAAGTCTTCCCTGGCGTTGCCGTCCTGACTGCTTAAGGTCCCTAATAAGGTTCCTAAACTAATTCTCATTTAGGTTCCACGAAAAAAAATATAAATTATTGACTGCAGGTGGTTAAGTTATGACTACTTTCTGTTCAACTTTCATGCCTAATAGCCTTCCAGAATGATTTACTTTAAGCTATGCTATCTGTTACTTATGTAAATGTATTTTATCATTTAGAGGTAAGTAGCTCATGACACGAAATGAGTATCAACTTCAGGACCGGGGTGTACTTACACCCATTTTCAGCTACTCAAAGGAAAATATTGCAATACTGAAAAGCGTTCAAAGGAAATCTTATAACATTTCGTTAAGGTTTCTTGTTAATCAGAAAATTCTACCACCTCAGTTTTCAATGTATAATCAAATTGTTATAATTTTTAATCCTGATATGTTGATCATGAAAGTAAAACGCTTCGTAATGCTGTCAAATCCTGGTTTCTGACAACGTTGAAAAACATGGAGAATTGATGTCAAAAAGAAAATTCTAATTCACGCCATATTTAATCACCTGTGACTCACAAATAAAAATCTCATTACTTTTAACAGGGATATTGATAATGGCAGATACTAGAGAACATATAAAACGCTTTTCTCCCGATAACACTTCTTCAATTACTGCAACATAATACGACGAGAAGTTTTCATTAACGTTACCGTAGTTTAAAGTGATCATAAATTTCAGTGTCCTTTTAACTGGCATATTCCTTAAAATAAAATTCATATTTTTTTAAGGAGAAAAGATTGAATTATCTAAGAATAATAAAGCGCTTAATCAATGGTCCTTTTAGTTTAACTACAGATAATTATATTCGTCAATCACTCTGACGAAGGGCTAACGCTCGAAACGTCAGCTTTTAACTCTTTACGGTGGCCAATTTACGTTTTCAACTCAGTTGTTAACACTAAATTACCTGCTAAGTTAGCAGTTGATTCTATTAAATGACAAATGCTTCGGAATCAGCACTATTTTAGGGCTTGTGGTTTCCATCTTCAGATGGTAAATGGTCTCTCACGGCTGAGAGTTATTTGTAGCTCAGATCAGTAACTGGACATCACTCAAGTTCGCCTTTCATATCTCTGGCTCACTTCTGCACGTCCTATGTCGGCTTCTTGGTTCTAGAATGTAAATTGTATGTACATGGATACTGGAAGAGACAGGTAGTGCCAGTCCCTTGTATTATCCATGGTTGGTTCTTTTCTGACGAGTTTATTTGCATTGAATATTAGGAGAGGCTGAAGGAAAGCGGTTCAGAATTAAGTTTCTAAGCCTTTCAACTTTGATTAATTACAATCATCTAAAATTAGCTAGAGATCGATAGTAAGGTGTCTGAAATCGAACGCACTCGCTCGTCACCAGCTATCAGTCTTTCAAATTAAATGCTGCCCCCTGATATTCTTGTTATGATTTGTTCTCACTTGCTAATCGGATCAGACGGAATAATTTGCACTGGAATCTTTCCTGATGCCTGGTGATGGCTATTAACCAGTCCTACATTTTATTAATCCAATTTCACTTTCTCCCTGTGAGAGACGAGAAAATCTCCTATTCTTAGCTCCTACATATTTGCTGCAGGGTTCGACCAATCCTCTGCCTCCCTCTATTCAATCTCCATAAGTTTCTGTGAAAGTTGTATGCGAGAAGCTTGAAGAGAAAGTTAACGAGTGCGGAAGCCCCCACCACGGGAAAAGTTATCTTCATCATTTGTAATGCGCATCGGAACATATATGATATATGTACAATTTATAAAGGAACTGAGGGACTACGAGCGCCATTGAAAAGTTGGTTAATCACTCTCCTCCGGCTCGTGGTTTATAAATTTTCCGAGCTTTTCCGCCTGGGTCATTACGCCAGTAAACCGATAGAAAGTGCGATCTGTTGCTTAGATTTCTTTAGATAGAATTCTTTCTTCATTATTTTTATAAAAATAAAAAAGTTAGCGGAGTGTTAAAAGCCGCTCGAAACGTCAGAGTTTAAAATTCGTTATGGCGACTACATACTACTTGATCATCACCTTTGGGGTGATAAATATTAATTGGTCCTCAGTCATTGACGTCAATCCTTTCTTAGAATTTCCGTGGCACTTGGAATGAAATTCGCCGATATGTGTCTAACATGGAAGAGAAAACTCTAGCATAAACATGCAGCGTATTTATGGCAGAGCCATTTCGTAATACTTTGAATATCTTCTTGTACCGAGTGAAAATACCTTTGCCTTAAAAAAGGAGACAAAAAAATTAGTTCGTAACGTTATGAGAAGATTAACAAGATTCCAAAGGGCAAACTTTAGGCGTCACCCTTTAGATTAAAGAGGTGTTCGCTGAAACACCGGTCACGGACTTACAGCTAAGTAGAGTGCCCAAAACTTTGGGAAAAAATATTCAATTATGCCCGAATTAAACATCGATCTTGTTTCCCTTGTAAAAATGCTTTCAAAGGTTTGCCCTCATGCTTCAAAAATTTCACGATTTCGAAAATTTTCCTGGAAACACTCTGCCTTCCTCTTATTATACAGAATACTTAACTGACTAACTGATATCATCAAGCGCCAAAAAATATGGGACGCTTTCTTTTTAAAATGAAAGATATATTTAAAGCAATCCATTAATCAATATGCATGGTTGAGATCCATAGTCAAATGAAACCACAATTTTCTTTTAGCGCGCGTGACATTGTTTGATGAAAGTGTTCCAACTCAAAGCCAGCCACGTGGAATATTTACATATCTTTTTTTTTTTTTTTTAAATCTCTTGTTTGACGTAATCGTTGTTTTCCCGGATATCGATGCTTGGTACTTTCTAGGAAAACACAATAATGCCATGGCCGGTTTCCTGTTGTTCTGTGTTGTAGGGTTAATTAAGCAAATAACCAAATAAGGCAAGGTGTCAAAGAAATGGTGACATATCGTAATATTAATTTTGCTTAGCGAAGCATTTTCACTTTTTATCTTCGGCTTAGAATATTCCACCGTCGAAGAAAGTTTTTATTTTTTGGTGAAGGAATTATCAGGTAAGCGAATGCAATTTCTTGATCGGAGGCGATCAACTGTTTGTCCCTATTTCGACCACTCTAATAATTCCTATAATTTCCTTAATAACCTTCTGTGTCTGAATAAATTTCCCGGTTGAATCGCCCTTCTTTGTGAGAGGATTTCCAACGTAGGGCGTCGTAGTTTGAATTGACACTCAAGCTTTTTTCATCATTTGTAATTTTATTAAGTGAAACCATGGAAAAGGCTTCCGAAAGCAAAACAGGTGGAGAAACCGTTGAGAATTTTTCAGCTCGGCCGTATCAAGTGGAGCTTCTAGAGCGGGCGAAGGAAAGGAACACCATCGTATGTCTGGGCACAGGAACTGGCAAAACGTTTATAAGTGTCATGCTCATAAAAGAACTCGCTCATGAAGTAAGAGGAAACTATAAAGACGGCGGGCGAAGAACTTTCTTCCTTGTAAATACAGGTATCTGTATATGTTTTGTCTTTTTGAGATCGGCTTTACCTTGGGGGAGTGGGTACGATATCTCAGCGAGGGTCGGGCCGGGGTTGTGAAGAGGGGTAGTGGCGGTCCTCGCATACGGTTTAAATACAATTCAATGGAAATAGAGGAAATGATCATAGATCTTTCCTTGTTTTGGTCTGATTATGATATCTATGAACTTTCGATGCCAGAAACTAAAATATAAGATCAAGAATGTGGTTTACATTCTAGTAAAATCTTTATTTATTTAAAGAGGGTAGCACTTAATAGCCAAAAGGCTAATAAACTTGAAGCCCTTATAGAATACATATGATAATACTAATACAAATTTAGATATCCAGAAGTAAAAATAAATACATTATTAAAGAAATAAAAGAACAGTTGAAAAATTAAAAATCCTATGATAAAATCTAACATAAAGTAGATCTCAAGGATTAAATGACAGAGTCATGAAACTGTAAAAAGGAACCTATTAAACTATAAAATGATTCAAATTCTGTTGACTTCTGAGAAAAAATTGCCTTAAGGCATTTTTAACACTTTGTACAGATGTCTTCTGTCATAAGGTGATAAGTAAACTGTTCCATAGTTGACATATGGTAACCTTGAAAGTTTTGCCGCCAACTAATTTACGTTTTAACTTTGGGCATACTAAGTTATAGTTTGCATTCCCAGTGTTACAAGAGTGAAGAACACTATTATATGTTAAAAGGCTACTAATATATGCAAATGATTCTCCTCAAAGTCTCTTAAATGCAATTAGACATTTGGAAATTTTAGCCTCCTCATGAAATTTAAGGTGATAAAAAGAATGAAAAACAATGGGTCCAGAATACTTCCCTAAGGGACACCATGCTTAATCACAGAAGGTTCAGAGTCACTGCCATCAATAGAGACAACTTGTTGCTGTTTATTAAATAGGATCAGAGCTGAGCTGTTTTCTAAATTTAGACTGACCATGGTCAGATAAGGTTGTTCTCAGACAGACTGGCATAGAAACAGTCATGGATATAACATTCAACCACTTTTGAAAGCACTGGAAGGACTGATAGTGGGAAACTGGAACGATCATCTTTTTTGCCACCTTTGAAGAAAGGAGTGACTTATGCTTTCTTCCATCACTTAAGGAACACTCCATTCTTAATGAAAAAATTTATAAGCCGGGCAACAGAAGGCACTATTTCAAGAGCTGCTATCCTCAATAATTGTAATCTGTTACAATTAATACCAACAGCTTGATCAGGACTGATACTCAAAAAAATTGTATTGACAATGGATGGTGTTACTGTAGGAACAGGAAATGGCACATCAGGGTTTTTTCTTGAATTGACAAAGTTGTGTAGGTTGTCAAAATTCCAGTTGACACTTGGCAAAGTAGATCTTAAACTTCCAGTCATGGATGCAAAATGTCTGCTAAATAGATCAGCCATGCCTTTTTTGTCATCAGTAATGCAGTCACCATCTTTGAAGCAACTGAAAGATTTTGCATTCTTTTTGCCACCTGTTAAAGATTTAATTGTCTTACACATTGACTTGGAATTGTTCTTGTTGGCATCAAAAGTATCATTAAAATATTCACATTTAGCATTACAAATGACTCTGACAGCTTTGTTTCTCTCAACTTTATACTTTCTTCAGTCATCAGAAGAACATAAAATCCTTGCAGCTTTGAGATAGGTATCTCTGAGATGCAGTTGATCTAAAGTGGGTTTGGACATTCAAGGAACTTCTTGAAGCTGTTTCACACATTTCTCACACCAAGGACAATGCTATTCAAGCACTGAGTTAAATAAGGATTACCAGGATTCGAGCATATAGTCTATATCATCAAACATAAACACTGTATCCTAAGGGGCTTGCTGGAGAGCTTATTTAAATTCATCTTTTTCAGAGTCTTTCATGTCCTGTTATTCTGACTTCCTTAAGTCGAAAGGAGCTTGAGGGTTCTAGAGGAAATCTACTCCCCTTTTAACTAACTTGTTCTTCCTTTTTTTCCAGTTCCACTAGCCAGCCAACAGGCAAAAGCAATTGCAAAACATACTGACTTGAAAGTCAGGCATTATGTTGGAGAGATGGGAGTAGATTTCTGGAAGAAGCCCACTTGGGAAAATGAGTTCAATAAATTCAACGTTCTGGTCATGACAGCTCAAATATTCCTCAACCTGCTGTCACATAGCTACATACTTCTTTCACAAGTGAATCTCTTGATCTTTGATGAATGCCACCACGCCAAGAAGAATCATCATTACAGACAGATAATGCAGTGCTTCAGCAATTGCCCACAGCACCCATTACCCAAAGTTATGGGTTTAACTGCCTCGATAGTAAATGGAAAAGTAAAACCTTATAAAATTGAATCAGAGATCCAAGCGCTGGAACGCACATTAAGATCTACATGCGAAACAAGTCAAGATGATGATGTTGAAAAATATGCTGCTAAACCCAAAGAACTGGTCCTTGTTTACCCAAGCCAGAGCACTGATGAAAATGTGAACATTTTGATCAAGAAACTGTCAGATGTCTTAACAAAAGGAATTGATCTTCTTTGCAACCCTCGGGTGTCCAGCTGTGATGAACATGCGCACCGGAATGCTAAGTTGGCCTTGATGGAATGTAAGGAGACATTGGATGAATTGGGCCCTTGGGCTGCATTTAAAGTGGCGGAATACTTAATCGAGGATCTAGGTGTGGTACAGTTTCAGTTTTAGAGATAAATGTAACTATGCCCCAAGTTCAAGTCAAGTTTTTAAAATCATAGTACAGTCAACATGAACCAAATATTAGTTTCCAAAAAGAAGGGAAAAAATCTCATGCCTCCATTTCCAAACATTTTGGCCATGTAGGATTGGTTTTAAATTTTGCTTTAAATCATTACATCCTAACATCAGTATACATGTTCTCCAAACTGTTCTCTATATATTTCTTAATGTGCTGACAAGGAGAACTTGTTTAACAATCAACAGCTTCTTTAGGTGGTGATCATTTCCTATATTCTTACCTTATTGGTTGATTCAGGCTGGCGTTATATTGTAAGAAGAAATTGGATGCTAGTCACTCTGAGGGTCAAAAAGTTCAACCTACAGAACAGAGATTGACTTAATGTTTATTGGAAAAGAATCAGAGTGTGCCAAACTCTCTGCTCATAAGACTGAATTATTCCAATTCAAGCAAAATTAACCTGAGATGGATAAAAATGCCTTTGTTGGCATCTTTTGATAAACTGGAATGGAATGCACTTATAAACCTTGATCTTTTCTTGTAGACAGAGCATGTGAGTGTAGTGCCAACCAGCTGCGTCAACTGCGAAGAACTTACTGTAATTTTACTGAAAATGATGGGTCTGAGGACAGTGAACATTGCTACTTCATGCCTAAACTTGAAAAACTTCTGAGTGTTTTCAGGGAGTTTGCTAACTCACAGCATGAAGGTAAGGAATACTCTGCTGACTGCTTTATTTATGAAACTTACTTTTTTATCTCCTTCATGGAGACCAAAACAGAAGATTAGCAAAGTGGATATTTTTGCATTTCTTATCACAAGTTGACCCTTTCATGCCTAAGATCTCTCCAAACCTTCCTAAAAATTTCAACCCTGAGACTCTGTGTTAAATTTCAAGACATCCACTGCCCATTATTTTTCTCTCTTCTCAGCTCCTTCATATTTGAATTGTAATGTTATAATTTATAACAACTTTATTGGGTACGTCTACGAATAGACGGACGCCAATTGGGTTAGTGCAGCGGGACATGGAGTCCCATACGGGGCACTACCCCTCTTAAATCCACCCAACCCAACCCAGGGGAGGACATCCATCACACAGTAATCTCGTGCGTGGGAAATTAACGTCTCCTACCCCAAACCCTGCAGGAGACGGGACCTCCGGCTTAACGTCTTATCCGAGAAGACGAAGCAAGGTGAGTGAAGCGGCTTGCTTAAGGCCACAACATAGTGCCCTGGCCAGGACTCGAACCCGGGCCGTCCGACCCAGAGTCCAGCGCTCAGACCACTGGACCACTCACGCCTCCGTTATTGTGAGGAGAAATTTGTTTTGGTTTGCTCTTAGCAGTAAGAGGTGAAATGGAACCCTCTATCATAGTAACAGCAATAAAATCAATAATAATATTTGATGGCACTAATATTGATAATAGTGGTGCTAATAAAAAAAAGTGTTGATGATAATAATAGCACCATAATGATTACAATTTTTATAGTAGGAAATTTAAAAACAAAAATGATGATAATAGCAACCATAATAATCTCTCAGGGGAGATCAATATTTAGAGGACATTTTGAACTTCTGTAACCATCTCCTCATTCAATCAAGAAAAGGCTTTCAGTTGTAGAACAATCACAAGGGCAGAAGGATCAAACATGGCTACATCTGCTACCCAGCTTCACCTTAAGGAAGATTTAGCTAATTGTTAATAACGATATTAATAATAATGATCTTATAGGTTTATTTTTTGTTTTTTGTTAATCCCTACACAATCAAAAGCCAGCTTTTAAATTGGATCTTTCTTGAAATCTGTTTTCTGAATTCAATGTGCAAGAGTGGTTTTTGAATGCCACTCTGCAAAACAGCTTGGTGATTCCCAGTTTGGTTATTTTGCAGCATCTGAAGAGGAGAAGACCCTCTGTGCCATTGTCTTTGTTGAAAGACGATACACAGCTCTGATCCTCAGTAAACAACTTAACATGGCTGCCAAACTAGATCAGGAGCTCTCATTCATCAAAAGTAACTTTGTGATTGGTCACGGCACAGGTGCAAAGGTTAACTACTCCAGTAATGCAGAGATGAATTTTAAGAAACAGGAGGAAGTGCTGCGCAAGTTCAGAAATGACAAGAAAAGACATGAATTCAATGTGCTGATAGCCACCTCTGTTGTTGAGGAGGGATTAGATATTCCCAAGTGCAATGTTGTCTGCAGGTTTGATTTCCCAAAGAATTATCGTTCCTATGTACAGTCAAAGGGCAGAGCTCGTGCCAAAGGTTCCAGGTACTACATGCTGGTGGATGAAAAAGAGCAAGTGGAAAAAGAGAATGAATTGGAGGTACATTTTTTAATGTAATAAAGTCAGTAAAAATCCATACCTATCCTGTATTTTGGTGATTGTCATTGATAATGTTTCGCGGAGGTTGTAGAGCACCAGACTGTGGTGTGGGAGATTGAAGGTTCAAGCACCAGACTGCCAACCAAAACTCAGGGTCTTAGAATAACTGAGAAGTGTGCTACCTTTGCTAAGACATCTGCAAATAGTTAGACATTCTAGTCAACTCGGAAAAGGATAATAAGCTGTAAGCCTCTGTAATGTAAGCCTAATAAGGATAATAAGCCGTAAGCCTCTCTCCTCTGTAATGATTGGCAGGGGACATTAAGGAACCCATGTATTTCTCACAAAGAATAGGGAATGTAGATGTCACTCATAGTCTGGCCTTTTACATTGTTTATTTAGACCAGCTTTAAGCTGAGCTGAGAAAGTTGGTTTGAATATTGCAAATAAACACATATTAACCTGAGCGAATGACAGTAACAAATGTACACTCTTAGGAAGCTTTTTAAAAATGACTTATACCCTAGATGTTGCGTGCAATTGAGAAAACCTTGTTGGAAAGATGCCATGATCGGTTGCAGCCATCAGTGGAGGAGTGTAATGAATCAGTAGACACAGATTTCTTGCTGCCGTACATACCAGTAAATGGCAAGGGAGCTAGAGTAACTATGAGCAGTAGTGTTTCTCTACTTTCAAAGTAAGTGCAAGGAATTTATTAACTTCCAATTTTGAGGTGGTTTTAGATTTAAGATTACCGGTATTGGTTGAGTTCTTTATTGTTAAGTAATGTAAGTGTAAAAAAGGAAGATGTGCCATCTACGGGTAACAAACTTGGGCTCCTATTGTGAAAGGGGTGATTTGTATTTACCATGAGTATTGCTGTAAAGCCAGCTGCTTGCTTCCCCACAAAACTCAAGATCACCCTGTAGCAACAACAAACTGATTAATAATTGACAGCTCTCCATTGTTCTCCTTTTCTGGAGGCAACTGGTACAATTTACCGCTTGTATTACCTCTTATTTTTCACCAAAAATCAAGTTCAAATTAAGGGAGTACACTGCCTCTTTAAAAGCTCTTACACCACATCAACATAAAAGTTATGCTCTTTTAAATTTTAACTTAAATTTAAATTTTATATTTAATATAAAGAAGATTAATTACTTATTATAAACTTTATAAACCTTGATTTATATCAATATTTCTACTTTTGTTGTTTCAGGTACTGTTCAAAGCTTCCAGGAGACCGGTTTACTCAGCCCAGGCCAGTTTACAAGGTCGAAGAAATTAGGAAAGATGGTTACAAGTGTAAACTAACACTCCCAACAAACTGTCCACTACGTGAAGATATAATAGTGAGTTTGGAGGACTTCTCTTTTTTTAAACAAAGAAATATAAACCTTACCACAGAAATATGCTTAATTTCACTGTCATTCTCATTGGCTATTGATGTTTATCTGTCTTCTGATTGGTTATTAGTACTCTGGTTTTGGTTTTGTGACTCTCAACTCAAAACTGCTCTCATTCTCTGAACCAAGCTTCAAGGAAAAGCATTTGCTTGGGAATTAACCCAGTTACTCCAAGGTTCTGCAAGCAATTTTCCCTACTAACTGCCATACATTTCCTTGTAAATTGGAGAGGAGAATATGATGTTATATCAAGACAACACCTTAAAGCTGATGAATTTATATGTTCTCATAACCTGTTTGCAATGCAAGATATTGGAATTACAAGAAGAAATTACATGTTAATTGCTCACATGAGAATCCTGTCTCTCTGTATTTCATCAGGGTGAACCAATGCCAAGTAAGAACCAAGCCAAGATGGCAGCTGCACTCAAAGCCTGTGAACTGCTTCACAAGATTGGTGAGCTTGATGATGACCTATTACCAAAGCAGACTTTATCTGACGAGGAAAGTGGTTTGGAAGAAGAAGAAGAAGCAGCAGCTGAGCCCGGTGGAAAGAAACCAAAAGCTGGAACAAAGAAGAGAAGACGTCAGTATGTGAGAAAGGTAAGTAGTTGAATTATCGTAAAAAATTGCCCACCCATGCACGGTAGGGTGGGCAGGGCTGGAGAAAGTTCCACGACGGTGCGTACGGCCTCGCGAGGTGCGAGCTGAAAAAAACAAGGAGGAATGAACGAGAGCGGGTATCATATGATGAAATGCTTATTGGTTGATTTAAGCCGGGCCGAAAGGAAAAATATTTCTTTCTTGGTCTTGACATAAGCACGTTGCTGTGCTTGGTTCGTAACCCAGGACCGAGGGCAAAATACTCTCCCATTCGGCCCTCCCGCTCAGCCAATAAGCATACACTATTGCACCCCAGATTATCCCAAAGATTTCGTAGGACTGAGTATATAGCTTATTTTTTGTATCGCCGTTGGCAGAGCGTTCGAACATGAAACTCAAGTTCGAATCCTTACTATGAACTCAAGTTTTTCCTTCGGTTACGCTATTGACAAATATTTGCACTTTCTTTACCTGGCCCCTTTTGGTCGGAGATTGGATAATACTATCCACTGGATAAAACTCTATCCGGTGGAGAACGCAGTATGTTTTGCTATCACTTATCCGCTGGAAAGCAATTTATCCATTTGATAGCGTTATCCGCCCTTTGCACATCTGTGACCTGATGTTTTGTTCTTGCCCAGGTTCCTGAAGTATTTGTCAGCAGCTTGGTACAGGATGGACAGGATGGTCAGCCCCAGTTCCTCACGACCATCACCATACAAGTCACCAAACTTACTCGGCCACAAGAGTTTGTCGTTAGTGAGCGACTGTTCCTCGATGAAACTTGTACGTTTGGAATGCTGACAACGAAAAGAGTTCCTTGCGTTAGTACTTGATTATTAATATTTCATTACTTATCAGGTAACCGAATTCTGCTGACCAATTTTCAATCCAGTGTCGCTCTGTGATTGGTCCATAAAGCTTGCACCTCTCTTTCAGCCAATCAGCTGCAAAAACTGAAACCAATCACGAGTTGGTCGCCCCCGTTTTCCTGCTCTTTAGGCAGTTTGGTTGTTTTTGTTTTACTCATTGGCTCCTAAAGGCCCACGATTGCAGCATATACCACTTTTACCAGTCACACACACCAAAAATGTTGACCTTCATCTTACAATGCAATTTTTTCACTCTTCAGATACGATCATTCAAACTGTATCCTAACTATGGCGAAGTCACGGTATCCTTCCAGTGTCATAGATCTCCTTTACGTGTAAACATCACTAAACAAGACTTGGACATTCTTCGCGAGTTTCATCTCTTTCTCTTCAGTCACGTTCTACGCTCTCCTGTGGAATTCACACCTGGAAGTGTGGATGGTTACTTCATTGTTATGTTGAAGGCTTCAGGAAGGAGTATTGACTTTGATTGCATGAGAGAGGAGCTTTCACGCGCACCCAAACAAAGCCGTGGAAATCTGCCCATCGTCGTAGACGCAGTAGTAACAAAGAACTACGTTGAATCTCCACAAAAGTACGCTGTTTTGAATGTTTGTGACGATCTGACTCCGATATCTCCGTTCCCAGAAATGTTGCATGGCGACACTTATGAAGAATATTTTCGCCGTAAATACGGAGAAAGGGGACGCATTTCGAATAGGAATCAACCTCTGGTGGAAGTGAAAGAGCTCTCCAGTAGAGTGAATTTTCTAGTGGACCGAAAACTAGGAACAAAAAACAAGCGCGATGCGATTTGTCTTGTTCCAGAGTTGTGTGACCATATTCCCATTCGCGCTTCTCTTCTGAGCGTGTCTCAGATTCTACCTTCTGTTCTACAGCGTGTTACCTCCCTCCTCCTCGTTGCCGATCTCAAGGCCATGGTTGCCGGTGTACGCGACACAACAGATGAATCAAGTCTCCCTCCTATTGGAGCAGAAGAGAGCTCGAGAGAGGCGCCCACGGAGGTAGAAGACGATGCGCTTTTCTCCGACATCAGGTCGATGTTCCGTTACACTCCACCATCTGCTAATCATCCTGACTCCTCTCTCGTTCTTCAAGCTATTACCACCACCCACAGCGGAGATGCATTTAATCTGGAGAGGCTGGAGATGCTGGGAGACTCATTTCTGAAGCTGGCCGTGTCTATTCATCTCTTCTGCGCATACAGCGATAAAGACGAAGGCAAGATGACCCGACGTAGGACAAACCAGATTAGTAATTTAGCGTTGTACCGAGCAGCGGCCAAGAAATCTCTGGGCGAGTATCTCCAGAACACGCAGTTGGCTCGCGACGTGTGGTGTCCTACGGGATGTCAGTTTGGCGACGTACCACCGAATCGCACCACAGGTAGTCCACCCATGGAAGTTGACAGCTGGGACACGGTCGAGGCGATGGAAGTTGACGAGACCTCAGAAATGCGCCAGAAATGCAACACTCAAAAGATTGCGGACAAGTCCATAGCTGACAGCATCGAAGGACTTATCGGAGCGTATCTAATATCCTGTGGTTATCTTGGCGCGTTGCGATTTATGAAGTTTCTGGGGCTAAAAGTTTTACCTGAAGTTGACGTCAAAGTCGACATTGATCCGCGGGCGGAGAATAGTAAATCGGGTTGCTATGCTAGATTTTGGCCGGATCAGACAAAAATAACAGCAGCGCAAGATAAAGGAGATATGGTTTTCCGCCTCACTTCTGGCCTGGAAAACTTTGAAAACGAATCAATCTCGTACAATTTCCAGCACAAGTTGTATTTGGTAGAAGCGCTAACCCATGCGTCCTACCACGAAAACCATGTCACGCCAAGTTACGAAAGACTCGAGTTCCTCGGCGATGCTCTGTTGGACTTTTTGGTCACGCAACATTTATACTTCCGTCACGTCAACTTGTCACCAGGGGAACTGACCGATATACGACAGGCCTTGGTGAATAATAACATCTTTGCCACCCTTGCCGTAAAACACAGCTACCACAAGTATCTGAAGCATATGTCTCCAAAGTGGTTCCAAACAGTGAAGAACTTTGTTGACAGAGTAGAAGATGAGGCAGAAGAGAGGAAAAACAATCGCCTTCAAACGGTAGGGTGAACTTTATTCTTTAATCCTTTACATCAGTTTTCTTATTCTCCATTCTGTCCTCCATACATTTCCTAAGGTGCTGACAAGGAGAATTTGTTGAACAATCAAGAGCTTCTTTAGTTGGTGATGGAGACGTTTCCTTTATTCTCGTGACCTTAAAATGTGATTCAGGGCTGATATCGTAAGGAGAAATTAGGTGCTAATTACTCTCATGGGCCAGAGGGTTAATGAATATTTTCTCCAGTTGATTTATAAGGTATGTTTCTTTGTTAACAATTATTTGGTAGGTCACCGCTGACCCATTTATTATCGTGTCTGAAGAAGAAGAAGGAATCGAGGCGCCTAAAGTTCTAGGTGACATCTTTGAATCAGTAGCAGGCGCGATATTTTTGGACAGTGGTATGGATTTGACTAAAACCTGGGGTGTGTACTACCGCATGATGAAACCCTACATCGGTAAGTTGGCCATCGCCACCCGCGAGGGTGGATCAACCTCCCATCCTTAAAAGCCTTATCAGCGGAGAGCTCCGAAGTTTTTTTCGCAATAAGCAAGAAAAAGAGTAAGAATGAGTCAGAGAAAGTACATTCAGCATGGAGTTTAAGAATTCAACCCTAGCTATCAACTCCAAAGTGTAAAGGAAGGCACTTGAATAACGAACCTAGAGGAAAGCACTAGAAATATTCATTGATATGATTTTTCTATTCAGATCATTACTCAGTGAACATACCGCGAAATCCCATCAGACTTGTCTACGAGGAAGACGGGAAGGCTGACTTTGGGTGAGTGTACAGTTCAGTACAGTTATGCCGGGTTGGTTGACTCTCCCTGCATACGTCTCAGACTAACTGCGCCAAAGGTGAAAACAATTTTTAGAGGGTAATGGACTACATTTTTTCCAAAAACGATATTTATGAACTGTGGAAGCAGTCTTTAAAAACATTGTTCATTAAAGAGTGGCAGAGTGCGGGAGACCTTTTCAAAAACATTGGCATGTGCACGTATACAGTGCTAGAATTATGCTAAAATGGCGGAAAATAAAACTGTTCGGCGTAAACGAAGAGCGCAAAAATAGTGTGGCGCAACATGAAATTTTCAACATTATATCTCGAGATAGGGAGATATTGAGAAAGATTACACAGAATTTCGGCAGTGGCTCGGTTTTATTTACCAAATTGCATGATCTTACTCCTACAAAAAAGTTCACTAGTCCGCTCATGATCTGTACACCAGTCAGTAAAGCATCGAAAAGCGCGAATGACAACTCGCGCATGAAAGTGGCCGCATAAGGCTTACGTAACGCCAAGCGTTACTGGCTTTTTCAGGCGCGTCTTCTTGTGTGCGTTACTTTCATCTCACGCGCGTATAACGAGTCAAAGAGGCCTTGTTTGCCAATCGGTTATCAAACAATGAGTTCTTGATCACGAATTTTCATGTTTTTTGTTTTGCTTTGTTTTCTCTAGGAAAGCGGAGACCCTTGATGATGGAAAGATTCAGCTTACTCTGAGAGTGTACTGGGGAGAGTACACTGGAAAAGGACCGAACAAGAAGATTGCTAAAGCTATAGCCGCCAAGCTTGCTATTGAAGGACTGAAAAAGAAATCTTCAGAAGAGAACGCCGCGGTATATATTAGGCAGTTGGCAGAACCACATCAGCATAAGACTCGAAAGCGAAAACTCAACGAATAATTTACTGGTATTCCGATGAAAATGCATAAATTTTCCAGTAATCAAGCCGAGTAAACATCCCGTTAGGCAATAAGGAACCTTTAACGAGCGAAATTACAATACACACAAAATATGATGGAACTTACCGACTGTTTCGATTTTAGAGTGACCGTAACTCAACAATTTTGGTTAGCAAGACAGCCAGTACAAACACGCGACTAGTTCGTTTTCGACAAAGCACATGGCCGATGTCCCGGATGTTGACGTCAAACTGCAGGCACGCAACAGGAGCTACAGTATACGAGGAAGATTAAGTTTCAGTGTGGGCTTGGAGGACATCAATATTGAGGCAAAGTGCTTTCTTAGATTTGTGTTGTTGAGATAATGCTGTGGAACACTGTTCATAGGAAGTAGGTTTTCGTATGTGCCTATGCTTATTAATGTGTATTACCTTCCGCTATGAGCATTCCTCTCTAGGAGCTACGCTTATGTAGGTGACGTACCTTGAATGAATGGGAGTCGTTTTAAGATTACTTTGTTTACCACTGTCCCTTAAGTGTTGTCATTGACTTTCTCAGACATCGACATTTGTCTAGACGTTTGCATTATAAATACGGCTTTGAAATATTTTTTATATACATTTTGTCTTTTAACTGACTTTTGTTTTTAACTTGAGGGTGTCCATGACAATTCAAAAGATTTTTATTTACTTTTTATCTGTTTAACGACTCTTATCTTGTGGGCGTCAGGGCGTCGTCGCTAACAATTTATGGAAAAGAGAGAAAACCCGAACTAAGCAAAAGTACAGCAAAACAAATCGGAAGAAAAACAGAAACTCTGAAAGCAACAACTTTGAAAGAAGTAGTGATTTGGTATATGAGTTTAATTGATGAAGATAAAATTTTAGTTATAAAATCACTTCAAGAGAATCAGGCATTTCCTTTTAAAGATTTTTTTAACCAGTTTTAAGTGCAGCATGTAAGAATGCAAGACCGATTTTGGTAATCGCGATATGTGTTTTCGTTGTAAGTAGTGTTATTGAAATAAAATGGAAAGTCTTGTGTAAAATAACTATACATATATGAGAAACCTCCTAAAAAAAGCCGCCAAATTCCGTAATAGATAATAATTTTAACTAGCATAAATTTGCTTGAGTTTGTAGTACAAATGGCTACGTTACTCGCTCCGTGACAGATAGTGAGCTAAGTTGTCATAGGAGGATAAGCAGAAATGCTTCAGAGACCGAAATAATTAAGCTCTTAAGTTTCTGCACCAAATTAAAATTATCGCTTCTGCTATGTATCAACTATGTGACCTATTATTCCTTACTTCCTTAAAAATCTATTGGTTGAAAATAACAAAGTCGTTCACTAACATGGCGGACGTGCCTTTTGTCTCAAGCATAAGAGTTCGTCAGATACTTAGCAGTGTCATAGCTACTTCGCTTGCGTAAAGTGAGAAGAAGTGAAAGTCTATGTAGCTTGAGAGAAATCTCTGTTTAAACTGGATGTACATTTTTCTGATTATTCTAAACCGTGAAACGTACCTCTTTGTAGTTAGAAGTCTGTTTCTTTTAGAAGTCAGCACACCGTTCGTTCGTCGCATAGTGTTACATGGGTACTGTGAGCACCAGGTAATGTGCAGGACACTCTTTGCCAATGCTTGCTAGAAACAAATGTGCAAGACGCCACCTTGCTTTAAATTTAAACCATTTTCACGATGCGTTGTCTCTCAAGTTTGAATTTGCGTTCACTCAGGTTCACGCCTGTGAATGCAGGTGCACATGCCTTTGTGAGAGCGTCACTGTCTGTAAGCGATACGGATTTTTCAGTGTTTTAGCAGCCGTAATCCAAAAAAATTCCGACAAACCGTAACGACCTTGGATTGAGAATGGTGAGGGCTTTGCCGTTCATTGAACAATCTGACCGAGTGGCGCGAAGGGAGAGTTTGCTGCCGACGCAGCCATCGGAAAATCACCGCGCACGACGGAATGGCAATCGCCAAACATGATGCTACAGTGAGATGGCTGTGCGATACAAGGCTCTCTGCGACATACGATGACGAAAGTACCATGGACATCACCCAAAATGTTGTTATAACCGCATACGTTTTCTTGATAGTCACAACCTCCGTGTGCCGCGTGGCCAGTTTTAAAGCGAAGAGACGGTCAAAGCTTATGGCAGTCGCAGTCCATAAGGATACAGGCCCTAGCGTGTAACCCACAATAAACGTGGTGGTCTCTTCGACCCGGCATAAGTTCCAATCTAGGTGGATAACGAACAGCAGATAGACGACGTCCAGCGGCTCTAAAAGAGGCCCAACTAAAAGACATGTGTCCCCCTCCACCTTACTTGGGCAATAATTAGCTCCCAAAACAACCGTTTTAAAAGCAGTTGTTTATACTGGCTGCCCTGTGTTTACATTATAAACTAAATGGATCCTCTTGAGCAGAGAGGAATTTCCTCTGGCTAACCGTATTGCGGTCACGCATTTCTGTACACGCACGAGTTCACTGTGCACTAGAATGATTATGATCGCCGGGCAATCAATTTTCCACACTCGGCTCCTTGGGAAACCTACAATCAAACCGTTGCAAAGAAAGACCCTTGTACGGTCGCCCATAGAGAACATGCTGCATTTTTTTTTTTGTTGCACGATAAATCTTATTTATCGCGCGATAAATGATAAACTATCGCGCGTTAAATGAAAAATTATCGCGCGATAAATGGGAAACTTGTTAGGTAGTACTTGATCGGCTGTCACGCACGTTGTTTCTGAGGACGAGATGGCAATGGCTGCAACAGTTGGAAAGTTCTTTCTTAGTCTATAAATTTCAAACCTGCAATGTTATCAGAAAGATTAGATAATCCACACTTGTTCTCAGACACTGACAGCCATCTTTGAAAGTGTCTCGTAAGATTTCGCAAAATCAAGGTTTACTGTACTGATTCACAGAGGTGTGTGTCGTAGAAGTATATTAGAAAGTACTGCTAAATGAACTTTTCATGAAAATAAAACGAACTATTGTAAACATACCTACAGTGATACCTCCTCAACTGTGGCAGCCATTACCGTCCGTGGAAACAACGTGCGTGACAGCCAAACACGTGCGACCTCACAAGTTTCCCATTTATAGCGCGATAATTTTTCATTTATGGCGCGATAATTTATCATGTATCGCGCGTTAAAAAAATTTGGCATGTCCTCTATGGGCCACCGTACCCTTGCCTCTACGTAACTATTACTAAATTTATTTCAAAGTTATTAGGCAAGAAATATTTCCAACACATTGGTCCCGGAAGTTTTATACAAAGCTTTTTAGCTGTTAAAACGGCTGCAAACTGACGGTTGAGAAGGATGCTCTCAGTAAACTCTCTTTAGCAATTAAGGTATTGATCTGTTTGTTCAGCCCGAGGGAGCTCTGGAATAACATGTTGAAGTGGAAAACGTCTCTTTTCGGATGAAATATCGTACGAAACGCATAGTCTAACAGTTTTAAATTCGGGTTCATACAACGGTAAAAAAAGTTTGAGATATAAGCACTTCTAAGCCAATGACTATGCAAGATTTTTATCCGGTCAAAGTCCAGTTTTTTTTTTTACAGTGTTTTGTGGTTTTAGCTCTCCTTCTTTTGGTTGATTCAAGACTTTAAGCATTTGCCACTGAACCATGGTGAAGTTGGAACTCGACACGAATCAGTCGCACACACAGCGAAGAAGGGAGAAAAAAAAATAATTAAATGACCCTTGACCCTTAGATAAGATTTCGCCCAAGTTCGCCTTTTATATCTCTGGCTCACCTCTGCACGACCTGTGTCGGCCTCCTGGTCCTGAACTGTAAATTGTTTGTAAATGGCTACTGGAAGAGAGCGGTAGTGCCAGTCCCTTGTATTATCCGTGGTTGTTGTGCTATATTCGAACAAAGTAAAGAGAGAGAGCGGCTTTTCTTGACGAGGTTATTCTCATTGAATATTAGGAGGCTGAGTGAAAGCAGTTCAAAATTAAGTTTTTAAGCCTTTCCCGCTATTTTGATTTGTTACAATGGCCTAAAATAAGCTGGAGATCAATAGTAAGGTGTCCATAATCGAACGCTATCGCTCGCGGCATGCCTCGTCACCAGCTCTTAGTCTTACAAATTAAATGCCGCCCTCGTTGATTTTCTTGTTATGATTTGTTCTCACTTAGATTGTTTCTTTATTCATTGTTTTTATAAAGATTAAAAAAATTAGAGGAACGTTAGAAGTGGCTCGAAACATTAGAGTTTAAAAATTCGTTACGGCGACTTCATACTTCATCAGCTTTGAAGTGTTAAAATATGAGATCCTCAGTGATTGACGTCAATCCTTTTCTCAGAATTTCCGTGGCACTTGGAATAAAGTCGCTGAAATGGGTTCAACACATAAGAGAAAAATCCATCATAAATATGCAGCGTTTTTATGGCAGTGCTATTTCCTAATTCTTTGAGTATCTTCTTGTAACGAGTAAAACAACCTTTGCCTTCAAAAAGGAGACAAACAAATTAGTTCGTAACGTTATGAGTATATTAACTAGATTCCAAATGGCAAACTTTTGGCGTAACCCTTAAGGTTAAGGAGGCGTTCGCAGAAGCACCGGTCACCCGTTTGGACTTACAGCTGTGTAGAGTTCTTAAAAGTTTGGGAATAAATATTCAGGTATGCCGCATCGATCTTGTTTCCCTTGCAAAAACTTTCTTTGCTTTCAAAACTTTACCTTTCACGATTTCGAAAATTTCCTTGGAAAAATCCTGGCTTCTATTTACCATAGTGAATAGTTAACTGACATCATCAAGTGCCAAAAAAATTTGGCACACTTTCTTTTCTAGAGCAACCATCTAATTAATATGCATGGTTGAGTTCCATAATCAAATGTGCCACAATTTTCTTTTAGCGTGCGTGACATTGTTGAATAGATTGAAGTGTTTCGAACCAAAGCCAGCCACGTGAAATTATTTACAGATCTTTCCTTTTTCCATTTTTTTTTCTTTTACGATCTTTTGTTTTGACGTATTCAATTTTTTCCCAGAAATCGATGCGAGGTACTTTCTCAGAAAACGTAAATATGCCATGGCCTTAATTTTGCTCGGCGAAGGATATTCATTCATTGTCTTTGACTATTTAAGAATATTCTATCGTCGAAGAAAGTTTTGAGATTTTGGTGAGGAAATTATCAGGGTAGCGAATGCCATTTCTTGATCAAAAGCGATCGATTGTTTGTCCTTGTTTCGATCACTTTTTAATTTTTATAATTTGCTTTTTGACCTACCGTGTCTGAAATAATTTCCCAATTGAATCGTCCTTCATTCTGAAGGGGATTACAATTTAGGGCTTTGCATTGACACTCAAGCTTTTTGTAATCATTTGAAATTTTAATAGGTTACACCATGGAAAAGGCTTCCGAAAGCGAAACAGGTGGAGAGGGCATAGAACATTTTTCCGCTCGGCCGTACCAAGTGGAGCTTCTGGAGCGGGCGAAGGAAAGGAACACCATCGTATGTCTGGGCACGGGAACTGGCAAAACGTTTATAAGTGTCATGCTCATAAAAGAACTCGCTCATGAAGTAAGAGGAAACTATAAAGACGGCGGGCAAAGAACTTTCTTCCTTGTAAATAGAGGTAGTTATGTATGTTTTGTGTGTTTGAGATCGGCTTTACCGTGGAGGAGGGGGTACGATATCTCAGCGTGGGGTATGATATCTCAACTTTCCTTGCCAGAAACTAAAATATAAGATCAAGAATGTGGTCTAAATTTGTACTCCCTTGAGTTAAAAGAATGTTGAGGATCACCAACAAAATCTCATCCACTTTTAACTAACATGTTCTTCCTTTTTTTCCAGTTCCACTGGCCAGCCAACAAGCAAAAGCGATCGCTAATCATACAGACTTGAAAGTCAAACATTACGTTGGAGAGATGGGAGTAGATTACTGGGACAAGCCCACTTGGGAAAACGAGTTCAATACAAGCAACGTTCTGGTCATGACAGCTCAAATATTCCTCAACCTGCTTTTGCATGGCTACATACTTCTTTCGCAAGTAAATCTCTTGATCTTTGATGAATGCCATCATGCCAAGAATAAGGATCCTTACAGCCAGATTATGGAGTACTACAGCACCTGCCAGCAGCGCCCATTACCCAAAGTTTTGGGTTTAACTGCCTCGATAATAAATGGAAAAGTAAAACCTTTTCAAATCGAATCGGAGATCCAAGAGCTGGAACGCACATTAAGATCTACATGCGAAACAAGTCAAGACGAAGATGTTGAAAAATATGCTGTTAAACCCGAAGAACTGGTCCTTGATTACCCGAGCCAGAGCACTGATGAAAACGTGAACATTTTAATCCAAATCCTCTCAGATGTCTTAAAACCAGGAATTGGTTTTCTCCGTGGTCTGAAGACCAATAATGACGAGAATGCACACCGGTGCGCCAAGCTCGCTAAGTCCGCCCTGAGCGAATGTAAGGAGACATTGTATGACCTGGGCCCTTGGGCTGCTTTTAAAGTGGCAGAATACCTAATCGAGGATCTAGGTAAGGTACTGTTTTAGATTTAGAGATAACTGTACCTGTACCCCAAGTTCAAGTCAAGTTTTTGAAAAATCATAATACGGTCAACACGAACCAAATGTTATAAATATTATCCACAAAGAAGTGAAAAATCTCATGCCTTCATTTCCAAAAATTTTGGCCTTGAAGGTTTGCTTTAAAATTTGCTTTAACTCACTACACCCTGACATCAGTAGGCATATTCTCCATACTGTTCTCTATACATTTCTGAAGGTGCTGACAAGGAGAACTTGTTGAACAATCAAGAGCCTTTTTAGTTGGTGATCATTTCCTATATTCTTGTTACCTTAATGGTTGATTCAGGGGTAATATTGTAACGAGAAATTGGATTCTAGTTACTCTGAGGGTCCTTCAAGACAGAGAGGGCAGGGTTCAAAGCAGCAAAGAAGGACAATTGTTTTGTGAATTTAGTGCCACCCAGCTACGTCAACTGCAAGGCATTTACTGTAATTTTACTGAAAGTAATGGGTCTGAGGACAGCCAACATTGTTACTTCACGCCTAAACTTGAAAAACTTCTAAGTGTTTTCAAGGAGTTTGCTAACTCACAGCATGAAGGTAAGGAATACTCAGCTGACTGCTTTATTTACGAAAGTCGAATTTTTATATCCTTAGTGAAACCAAAACAGAAGATTAGCAAAGTGGATATTTTTGCATTTCTTATCACTATTTGACCCTTTCACTCTTAAGATCTCTCCTGATTGTGTGCCAAACCTTCCTAAAATTTCAACCCTGAGACTTTGTGTTTAATTTCCAAACATCCTCAGCCCATTATTTTTCTCTCTCCTTGGCTTATTTATATTTTGAATTGTAATGGTATTGTGAGGAGAAATTTGGTTTGGTTCATTCTAAGCAGTAAGAGGTTGAGTGGAATCCTCTGGCAAAGCATTGGAAATAACATCAATAATAACAATAGCAATGATAATAATAATAGTGATGATAATGATGATAATAATGATAATAGTAGTAATTGTAGTGGCAATGTTAATGATAATGGAAATGATAATGATGATAATAGATACTGTATCATGTTTCAGAGAGAGTCAAGATTTAGCAGAAAATTTAAACTTCTGAAGTTATCTCCTCATTCAATTGAGAAACAACTTTCAGTTGAAGAACAAATCACAAAAGAGGCAAAAAGATGAAACATGGCTACATCTGCTACCCAGCTTCACCTTCAAGAAGATTTAGCCATTTGTTAAAAATTATATTAATAATAATGATCTTGTAGGTTTATTTTTGTTTTTGTATTTATCCTTACACATTCAAAAGCCAGCTTTTAAATTGGCTCTTTCTTGAAATCTGTTTTATGAATTTTATGAGTGATTTTAGGATGCCACTCTGCAAAACAGCTTGGTGATCCTCAGTTTGGTTATTTTGCAGCATCTGAAGTGGAGAAGACTCTCTGTGCCATTGTATTTGTTGAAAGACGATACACAGCACTGATCCTCAGCAAACAGCTTAACATGGCTGCAAAACATGACCATGAGCTCTCATTCATCAAAAGCAACTTTGTGATTGGTCATGGCACAGGTGCAGGGGTTAACTACTCCAGTAACACTGAGATGAATTCCAAGAAACAGGAGGAAGTGCTGCGCAAGTTCAGAAATGACAAGAAAAGACATGAATTCAATGTGCTGATAGCCACCTCTGTTGTTGAGGAGGGATTAGATATTCCCAAGTGCAATGTTGTCTGCAGGTTTGATTTCCCAAAGAATTATCGTTCCTATGTACAGTCAAAGGGCAGAGCTCGTGCCAAAGGTTCCAAGTACTACATGCTGGTGGATGAAAAGGAGCAAGTGGAAAAAGAGAATGAATTGGAGGTAAATTTTTTTCAGTAGCTAAGTCAGTAAAAATGCAAACCCATTCTGGTGATTGTCATTGATAATGTATAGCTGAGGTTGTAGAGCACTAGACTGCTGTATGGAAGGTTGAGGGTTCAAGCCCCAGACTGGAGCAACCCCCAGGGTCTTAGAATAACTGAAGAGTGTGCTGCCTTTGCTAAGACATCTGCAAATAGTTAGACATTATAGAATACTCAGATAAGGATAATAAGCGATAAGCCCCATCTTCTGCATCTCCTCTGTACTTGTTAGCAGGAGAAATTAAGGAACCCATACATTTCTCACAAAAATAGGAACATAGATGTCAGTGTCATAGTCTGGCCTTTAGATTGTTTGTACAGGCTTCAATTTAAACCAGCTTTAAGCTGAATTGTGAATGCTGGTTTAAATATCATAAATAAATACATAACCTGGGTGAAGTACAACTTAAGGAATGTTCATTCTTCTTCATCTTAATGTTCATGACGTATACCCTAGATGCTACGTGAAATTGAGAAAATCTTGTTGGAAAAATGCCATGATCGGTCCGAGCCATCACTGGAGGAGTGTAATGAGTCAGTAGACACAGATTTATTGCTGCCGTACATACCAGTAAATGGCAAGGGAGCTAGAGTAACTATGAGCAGTAGTGTTTCTCTACTTTCAAAGTAAGTGCAAGGAATTTACTTTGAATTTTGATGTAGTTCTAAATTTGAGATAATTGGTTGACTTGTTTATTGTTGAGTAATATGGTTGTAAAAAAGGACAATGCTCCATCTATGACGCATCATGAAAAGGGATGATGTGTATTTACTATGAGTATTGCTGCAAAGCTGACTGCTAACTGATCACCCAGTAGCAACAACGAACTGATTTTTTAATTGACAGCTCTTCAGTGTTCTCTTTTTCTGGAGGCAACTAGTAAAATTTACTGCCTGTTTTGATTCACTGAAATCACTTGGAATTCGTGAAAATTTAGCGGGTAAAAGGATAATTCTACCAGTTTAAAATTTTTTTTTACCTGTCATGTTTAAAATAAGGGAGTTCACTGCCTCTTTAAAAGCTCTTACACCATGACAACATAAAAGTTATACTCTTATAAATTTAAACTCAGGGATGTAGAATAATCCCTGTACTTAATTACTTATTACAAACTTTATAAAACTGGAACTTTATCAAAATGTCTACTTTTGTCTTTTCAGGTACTGTTCAAAGCTTCCAGGAGACCTGTTTACTCAGCCCAAGCCAGTTTACAAGGTTGAAGAAACTGTGAAAGATGGTTACAAGTGTAAACTAACACTCCCAATAAACTGTCCACTACGTGAAGATATAATAGTGAGTTTGGAGGACTTCTCTTTTTTTAAATAAAGAAATAAAAACCTTACCATAGAAATTTGCCTATTTTCACTGTCATTCTCATCGGCCATTGACAATGTTTATCTGTCTTCTGATTGGTTATTGGTACTTTGGTTTTGGTGTTGTGACTCTCAAATAAAACTGCTCTCATTCTTTGAACCAAGTTTCAAGGAAAAGCACTGTACTTTAAAAGGAGAATTGTTTGTTAGCTCTTGGGAATTAACCCTGTAACTCTCCAAGATTCTAAAAGTAATTCTCCCAACTCACTACCATACATTTCCTTGTAAATTGGAGAGGAGAATATGGTGTTGTATCAAGACAACACCTTAAAGCTGATGAACTTATATGTTCTCATAGCCTGTTGGCTATGTAACATATTGGAATTACAAGGAGAAATTACATACTAATCGCTTATTAGAGAGTCATCTCTGTCTGCATTTCAACAGAGTGAACCAATGCCGAGTAAGAAGCAAGCCAAGATGGCGGCTGCGCTCAAAGCCTGTGAAAGGCTTCACACGATTCGCGAGCTTGATGATAACCTGTTACCAAAGCAGACTTTATCTGACGAGGAAAGTGATTTGGAAGAAGAAGCAGCAGCTGAGTCTGACGGAAAGGCACCAAAAGCTGGAACAAAGAAGAGAAGACGGCGGTATAGGAGAAAGGTAAGCAGTTGAATTTCACAATGTTGGCCTGTGACTTACTCATTAAACTGTTAACTTACATATCTCAGTAGAATGTCGCAGGCAATGTCTAAGCATGAATTTTGGTGGTCAGCTAGAGGGTCTGCCGCTCCCTGAGTAATAATCGGCCCCATTCTTATCGGTCAAATTATAGCCAACTCAGTGATCAAACGTCGGAATCACCAACTTTTTTTAGCTTTAACAAACAAGTTATTCGCTTCTGAAACGCCGTGACTTAGTGATCATGAAACCATGAAATCAGTGTTCGAATCCTCACGTTGAACTCAAGCTTTTCCTTCGCTTCACGCTCTTGACAAATATTTACACCTTCTTTACCTAATGTTTTGTTCTTTTCCAGGTTCCTGAAGTATTTGTCAGCAGCTTGGTACAGGATTGTCAGCCCCAGTTCCTCACGACCATCACCATACAAGTCACTAAACTTACTCAGCCACAAGAGTTTGTCATTAGTGAGCGACTGTTCCTCGATAAAACTTGCACGTTTGGAATGCTGACAACGAAAAGAGTTCCTTGGGTTAGTACTTGATTATTAATATTTCATTCGTTATCAGGTAACCGAATTCTGTGGAGCAATTTTCAATCCAGTGTCGCGCTGTGATTGGTCCAGAAAGCTTGCACCTTTCTATCAGCCAATCAGCTGCAAACTAAAACCAATCACGACTTGGTCGCCTGCGTTTTCCCGCGCTTTAGGCAGTTTGGTTGTTTTTACTTTCAGTTCCCGCAATTCTCATTGGTTCCTAAAGGTCCACGATTGCAGCATATAGCACTTTTACCACACACACTGTAGATGTTGCCCTACATCCTACAATGCAATTTTTTCACTCTTCAGATTCGATCGTTCAAACTCTTTCCTAACTATGGCGAAATCACAGTATCCTTGCAGTGTCACAGATCTCCTTTGCCGCGTGTTAAAATCACTAAACAAGAGTTGGACATTATTCGAGAGTTTCATCTCTTTCTCTTCAGCCACGTTCTACGCTATCCCGTGGAATTCACACCAGGAAGCGTAGATGGTTACTTCATTGTTATGTTGAAGGCTTCAGGAAGGAGTATTGACTTTGATTACATGAGAGAGGAGCTTTCGCGCGCATCCAAACAAAGCAATGGAAATCAGCGCATCGTCGTGGACGCAGTAGTAACAAAGAACTACGTTGAATCTCCACAAAAGTACGCTGTTTTGAATGTTCGTGACGATCTGACTCCGATGTCTTCGTTCCCGGAAAAGTCGCAGGGCAACAGTTACGAAGAATATTTTCGCCTTAAATACGGAGAAAAGGGATGCATTGCGAACAAGAATCAACCTCTCGTTGAAGTGAAAGAGCTCTCCGCTAGAGTGAATTTTCTTGTGGACCAAAAACGAGGAACAAAAAACAAGCGAGATGTGATTTGTCTTGTTCCAGAGTTGTGTGACGATATTCCCATTCGCGCTTCCCTTCTCAGCGTGTCTCAGATTCTACCATCTATTCTTCAGCGTGTCACCTCCCTCCTTCTCGTTGCCGATCTCAAGGCCATGGTTACTTGTGTACGCAATACAACAGATGAATCAACCCTTCCTCCCATTGGAGCTGAAGAGGGCTCAAGAGAAGCGCCCATGAAGGTTGAAGACGATACTTGGGACCCTGAAAAAGATGATGCGCTTTTCCCCGGCATCAGGTTGATGTTCCCTCACAGTCCACCATCTGCTAACCACCCCGACTCCTTTCTCGTTCTTCAAGCTATTACCACCACCCACAGCGGAGATGCATTTAATCTGGAGAGGCTGGAGATGCTGGGGGACTCATTTCTGAAGCTGGCCGTGTCTATTCATCTCTTCTGCACATACAGCGATAAAGACGAAGGCAAGCTGACCCGACGTAGGACAAACCAGATTAGTAATTTAGCGTTGTACCGAGCAGCGGCAAAGAAATCTCTGGGCGAGTATCTCCAGAACACGCAGTTGGCTCGCGACGTTTGGTGTCCTACGGGATGTCAGTTTGGCGACGTACCACCGAATCGCACCACAGGTAGCCCACCCATGGAAGTTGACAGCTGGGACACGGTCGAGGCGATGAAAGTTGACGAGACCTCAGAGAGTGGAAAGAAGACAAAACTTACTGTTACAGAGCATGCGCGCCAGAAATGCAACACTCAAATGATAGCGGACAAGTCCATAGCTGACAGCATCGAAGGACTAATCGGAGCGTATCTAATATCCTGTGGTTATCTTGGCGCGTTGCGATTTATGAAGTTTCTGGGGCTAAAAGTTTTACCTGAAGTTGTCGTCAACGTCGACATTGATCCGCGGGCGGAGAATAGTAAAGCGGGTTGCTATGCTAGATTTTGGCCGGATCAGACAAAAATAACAGCAGCGCAAGATAAAGGAGATATGGTTTTCCGCCTCACTTCTGGCCTGGAAAACTTTGAAAACGAATCAATCTCGTACAATTTCCAGCACAAGTTGTATTTGGTAGAAGCGCTAACCCACGCGTCCTACCACGAAAACCGTGTCACGCCAAGTTACGAAAGACTCGAGTTCCTCGGCGATGCTCTGTTAGACTTTTTGGTCACGCAACATTTGTACTTCCGTCACGTCAACTTGTCACCCGGAGAACTGACCGATATACGACAGGCCTTGGTGAACAATAACATCTTTGCCGCCCTTGCCGTAAAACACAGCTACCACAAGTATCTGAAGCATATGTCTCCAAAGTGGTTCCAAACGGTGAAGAACTTTGTTGACAGAGTAGAAGATGAGGCAGAAGAGAGGAAAGACAATCGCCTTCAAACGGTAGGGTGAACTTTATTCTTTAATCCTTTACATCAGTTTTCTTATTCTCCATTCTGTCCTCCATACATTTCCTGAGGTGCTGACAAGGAGAATTTATTGAACAATCAAGAGCTTCTTTAGTTGGTGATAGAGACGTTTCCTTTATTCTCGTGACCTTAGCATGTGATTCAGGGCTGATATCGTAAGGATAAATTAGGTGCTAATTACTCTCATGGGCCAGAGGGTTAATGAATATTTTCTCCAGTTGATTTATAAGGTATGTTTCTTTGTTAACAATTATTTGGCAGGTCACCGCTGACCCATTTATTATCGTGTCTGAAGAAGAAGAAGGAATCGAGGCGCCTAAAGTTCTTGGTGACATCTTTGAATCAGTAGCAGGCGCGATATTTTTGGACAGCGATATGGATTTGACTAAAACCTGGGGTGTGTACTACCGCATGATGAAACCCTACATCGGTAAGTTGGCCATCGCCACCCGCGAGGGTGGATCAACCTCCCATCCTTAAAAGCCTTATCAGCGGAGAGCTCCGAAGTTTTTTTCGCATAAGCAAGGAAAGGAGTGAGAATGAGTCAGAGAAAGTACATTCAGCATGGAGTTTAAGAATTCAACCCTAGCTATCAACTCCAAAGTGTAAAGGAAGGCACTTGAATAACGAACCTAGAGGAAAGCACTAGAAATATTCATTGATATGATTTTTCTATTCAGATCATTACTCAGTGAACATACCGCGAAATCCCATCAGACTTGTCTACGAGGAAGACGAGAAGGCTGACTTTGGGTGAGTGTACAGTTCAGTACAGTTATGCCGGGTTGGTTGACTCTCCCTGCATACGTCTCAGACTAACTGCCTTAAAGGTGAAAACAATTTTAGAGGGTAATGGACTGCATTTTTCCCAAAAACGATATTTATGAACTGTGGAAGCAGTCTTTAAAAAAAAAATTGTTCATTAAAGTGTGGCAGAGTGCGGGAGACCTTTCCAAAAACATGGGCAAAAATAGTGTGGCGCAACATGAAATTTTCAATATTATATCTCGAGATAGGGAGATATTGAGAAAGATTACACAGAATTTCGGCAGTGGCTCGGTTTTATTTACCAAATTGCATGATCTTACTCTTACAAAAAAGTTCACTTGTCCGCTCATGATCTGTACACCAGTCAGTAACGTATTGAAAAGCGCGAATGACAACACGCGCATGAGAGTGGCCGCATAAGGTTTACGTAACGCCAAGCGTTACTTGCTTTTTCAGGCGCGTGTTCTGGCGTGCGTTACTTTCATCTCGCGCGTATAACGAGTCAAAGAGGCCTTGTTTGCCAGTCGGCTATCAAACAATGAGTTCTTGATCACGAATTTTCATGTTTTTTGTTTTGCTTTGTTTTCTCTAGGAAAGCAGAGACCCTTGATGATGGAAAGATTCAGCTTACTCTGAGAGTGTACTGGGGAGAGTACACTGGAAAAGGACCGAACAAGAAGATTGCTAAAGCTACAGCCGCCAAGCTTGCTATTGAAGGACTGGAAAAGAAATCTTCAGAAGAGAACGCTGCGGTATATATTAGGCAGTTCGCAGAACCACATAAGCATAAGACTCGAAAGCGAAAACTCAACGAATTATTTACAGGTATTCCAATGAAAATCCATAAATGTTCCAGTAATCAAACCGAGTAAACATCCAGTTAGGCAATAAGGAACCTTTAACGAGCGAAATTACAATACACACAAAATACGATGGAACTTACCGACTGTTTCGATTTTAGAGTGACCGTAACTCAACAATTTTGGTTAGCAAGACATGCCAGTACAAACACGCGACTAGTTCGTTTTCGACAAAGCACATGGCCGATGTCCCGGATGTTGACGTCAAACTTCAGGCACGCAACAGGAGCTACAGTATACGAGGAAGATTAAGTTTCAGTGTGGGCTTGGAGGACATCAATATTGAGGCAAAGTGCTTTCTTAGATTTGTGTTGTTGAGATAATGCTGTGGAACACTGTTCATAGGAAGTAGGTTTTCGTATGTGCCTATGCTTATTAATGTGTATTACCTTCCGCTATGAGTATTCCTCTCTAGGAGCTACGTTTATGTTGGTGACGTACCTTGAATGAATGGGAGTCGTTTAAGATTACTTTGTTTACCACTGTCCCTTAAGTGTTGTCATTGACTTTCTCAGACATCGACATTTGTCTAGACGTTTGCATTATAAATAGGGCTTTGAAATATTTTTTATATACATTTTGTCTTTTAACTGACTTTTGTTTTTAACTTGAGGGTGTCCATGACAATTCAAAAGATTTTTATTTACTTTTTATCTGTTTAACGACTCTTGCTTTTATCTTGTGGGCGTCAGGGCGTCGTCGCTAACAATTTATGGAAAAGAGAGAAAACCCGAACTAAGCAAAAGTACAGCAAAACAAATCGGAAGAAAAACAGAAACTCTGAAAGCAACAACGTTGAAAGAAGTAGTGATTTGGTATATGAGTTTAATTGATGAAGATAAAATTTTAGTTATAAAATCGCTTCAAGAGAATCAGGCATTTCCTTTTCAAGATTTTTTTAACCAGTTTTAAGTGCAGCATGTAAGAATGCAAGACCGATTTTGGTAATCGCGATATGTGTTTTCGTTGTAAGTAGTGTTATTGAAATAAAATGGAAAGCCTTGTGTAAAATAACTATACATATATGAGAAACCTCCTAAAAAAGCCGCCTAATTCCGTAATAAATAATAATTTTCACTAGCATAAATTTGCTTGAGTTTGTAGTACAAATGGCTACGTTACTCGCTCCGTGACGGTTAGTGAGCTAAGCTGTTATAGGAGGATAAGCAGAAATACTTCAGAGACCGAAATAATTAAGCTCTTAAGTTTCTGCACCAAATTAAAATTATCGCTTCTGCTATGTATCAACTATGTGACCTATTATTCCTTACTTCCTTAAAAATCTATTGGTTGAAAATAACAAAGTCGTTCACTAACATGGCGGACGTGCCTTTTGTTTCAAGCATAAGAGTTCGTCAGATACTTAGCAGTGTCATAGCTACTTCGCTTGCGCAAAGTGAGAAGAAGTGAAAGTCTATGTAGCTTGAGAGAAATCTCTGTTTAAACTGGATGTACATTTTTCTGATTATTCTAAACCGTGAAACGTACCTCTTTGTAGTTAGAAGTCTGTTTCTTTTAGAAGTCAGCACACCGTTCGTTCGTCGCATAGTGTTACATGGGTATTATGAGCACCAGGTAATGTGCAGGACACTCTTTGCCAATGCTTGCCAGAAACAACTGTACAAGACGCCATCTTGCTTTAAACTTAAGCCATTTTCACCATGCGTTGTCTCTCAAGTTTGAATTTGTGTTCACTCAGGTTCACGCCTGTGAATGCAGGCGCACATGCCTTTGTGAGAACGTCACTGTCTGTAAGCGATACGGATTTTTCAGTGTTTTAGCAGCCATAATCCAAAAAAATTCCGACAAACCGTGACGACCTTGGATTGAGAATGGTGAGGGCTTTGCCGTTCATTCAACAATCTGACCGAGTGGCGCGAAGGGCGAGTTTGCTGCCGACGCAGCCATCGGAAAATCACCGCGCACGACGGAATGGCAATCGCCAAACGTGATGCTACAGTGAGATGGCTGTGCGATACAAGGCTCTCTGCGACATACGATGACGAAAGTACCATGGACATCACCCAAAATGTTATTATAACCGCATACGTTTTCTTGATAGTCACAACCTCCGTGTGCCGCGTGGCCAGTTTTAAAGCGAAGAGACGGTCAAAGCTTATGGCAGTCGCAGTCCACAAGGATACAGGCCCCAGCGTGTAACCCACAATAAACGTGGTGATCTCTTCGACCCGGCATAAGTTCCAATCTTGGTGGATAACGAACAGCAGATAGACGACGTCCAGCGGCTCTAAAAGAGGCCCAACTAAAAGACATGTGTCCCCAAATTGCAACCTAAGATTTTGATCCTTTAAGATCCATAGAAATTTCTGAGTCTTCTTTCCAGCAGTAAACGGATTAATTTGGGTGAATAGATCCCTCTGGTGACAGATCAGTACTGCAGATCATGTTGCTAAACGATTCAGTCGCAGACAAATTAAGGACTTAATTAATAAAATTTTATACTTAAATTGAAATGCGGTTTCCACCAGAGACAGTCAAAACTTTCTTGTTTCATCGATAACTCCCTCAACAAACTTTCAGACCATCAGTCAAATACTCAGTTTGCGACAAGAGTCACAGAATAAGTCACAAATCAAAACATTTATGGAGGGGAAACATAAGAGAAAAAAGAAAGAACAAAATAAACCTTTCGAAAACGCAGACATTTTTCAATAGTTAGGATGCTCTGAATGAATGGCTTTACCGACATCTTCACTTCCCCCCACCTTACTTGGGCAATAATTAGCTCCCAAAACAACCGTTTTAAAAGCAGTTGTTTATACTGGCTGCCCTGTGTTTACATTATAAACTAAATGAATCCTCTTGAGCAGAGAGGAATTTCCTCTGGCTAACCGTATTGCGGTCACGCATTTCTGTACACGCATGAGTTCACTGTGCACTAGAATGATTATGATCGCCAGGCAATCAATTTTCCACACTCGGCTCTTTAGGAAACCTACAATCAAACCGTTGCAAAGAAAGACCCTTGTACGGTCGCCCATAGAGGGGGTCGCGCGTTAAATGAAAAATTATCGCGCGATAAATGAGAAACTTGTTAGGTAGTACGTGATCGGCTGTCACGCACGTTGTTTCCGAGGACAAGATGGCAATGGCTGCAACAGTTGGAAAGTTCTTTCTTAGTCCATAAATTTCAAACCTGCAATGTTATCAGAAAGATTAGATAATCCACACTTGTTCTCAGACACTGACAGCCATCTTTGAAAGTGTCTCGTAAGATTTCGCAAAATCAAGGTTTACTGTACTGATTCACAGAGGTGTGTGTCGTAGAAGTATATTAGAAAGTACTGCTAAATGATCTTTTCATGAAAATAAAACGAACTATTGTAAAGATACCTACGGTGATACCTCCTCAACTGTGGCAGCCATTACCGTCCGCGGAAACAACGTGCGTGACAGCCAAACACGCGCGACCTCACAAGTTTCCCATTTATAGCGCGATAATTTTTCATTTATGGCGCGATAATTTATCATGTATCGCGCGTTAAAAAAATGTGGCATGTCCTCTATGGGCCACCGTACCCTTGCCTCTACGTAACTATTACTAAATTTATTTCAAAGTTATTAGGCAGGAAATGTTTCCAACACATTGGTCCCGGGAGTTTTACACAAAGCTTTTTAGCTGTTAAAACTGCTGCAAACTGACGGTTGAGAAGGATGCTCTCAGTAAACTCTCTTTAGCAATTAAGGTATTGATCTGTTTGTTCAGCCCGAGGGAGCTCTGGAATAACATGTTGAAGTGGAAAACGTCTCTTTTCGGATGAAATATCGTACGAAACACATAGTCTAACAGTTTTAAAGTCGGGTTCATACAACGGTAAAAAAGTTTGAGATATAAGCACTTCTAAGCGAATGACTATGAAAGATTTTTATCCGGTCAAAGTCCAGTTTCGTTTTTTACAGTGTTTTGTGGTTTGAGCTCTTCTTCTTTTGGTTGATTCAAGACTTTAAGCATTTGCCACTGAACGTGAAGTTGGAACTCGACACGAATCAGTCGCGCACACAGCGAAGAAGGGAGAAAAAAAATAATTAAATGACCCCTGACCCTTAGATTAGATATCGCCCAAGTTCGCCTTTTATATCTCTGGCTCACTTCTGCACGACCTGTGTCGGCTTCCTGGTCCTGAACTGTAAATTGTTTGTAAATGGCTACTGGCGGCCTTTTTTGACTAGGTTATTCTCATTAAATATTAGGAGGCTGATTGAAAGTGGTTCGAAATTAAGTTTCTAAGCCTTTCCCGCTCCTTTGATTTGTTACCATGGCCTAAAATAAGCTGGAGATCAATAGTAAGGTGTTCATAATCGAACGCTATCGCTCGCGGCATGCCTCGTCACCAGCTCTTAGTCTTACAAATTAAATGCCGCCCTCGTTGATTTTCTTGTTATGATTTGTTCTCACTTAGATTGGTTCTTTATTCATTGTTTTTATAAAGATTAAAAAAATTAGAGGAACGTTAGAAGTGGCTCGAAACATCAGAGTTTAAAAATTCGTTACGGCGACTTCATACTTCATCGGCTTTGGAGTGTTAAAATATAAATAGGTCCTCAGTGATTGACGTCAATCCTTTTCTCAGAATTTCCGTGGCACTTGGAATAAAGTCGCTGAAATGGGTTCAACACAGAAGAGAAAAATCCATCATAAATATGCAGCGTTTTTATGGCAGTGCTATTTCCTAATTCTTTGAGTATCTTCTTGTACCGAGTAAAACAACCTTTGCCTTCAAAAAGGAGACAAACAAATTAGTTCGTAACGTTATGAGAATATTAACTAGATTCCAAATGGCAAACTTTTGGCGTAACCCTTAAGGTTAAGGAGGCGTTCGCAGAAGCACCGGTCACCCGTTTGGACTTACAGCTGTGTAGAGTTCTTAAAAGTTTGGGAATAAATATTCAGGTATGCCGCATCGATCTTGTTTCCCTTGCAAAAACTTTCTTTGCTTTCAAAACTTTACCTTTCACGATTTCGAAAATTTCCTTGGAAAAATCCTGGCTTCTATTTACCATAGTGAATAGTTAACTGACATCATCAAGTGCCAAAAATTTGGCACACTTTCTTTTCTAGAGCAACCATCTAATTAATATGCATGGTTGAGTTCCATAATCAAATGTGCCACAATTTTCTTTTTAGCGTGCGTGACATTGTTGAATAGATTGAAGTGTTTCGAACCAAAGCCAGCCACGTGAAATTATTTACAGATCTTTCCTTTTTCCATTTTTTTTTCTTTTACGATCTTTTGTTTTGACGTATTCAATTTTTTCCCAGAAATCGATGCGAGGTACTTTCTCAGAAAACGTAAATATGCCATGGCCTTAATTTTGCTCGGCGAAGGATATTCATTCATTGTCTTTTTGACTATTTAATGAGATACCTGTGGTAGCCCAGTCATAAAATGCCTTTGTTTTTTTGTCGTCTTTTTTTTTTTTTTTTCCTCCGCCACAAAATGGACAAATTGCGCAATAGTACCCAGTGGCCCTTGAGCTCTCAACACCATGACAACCAACTGTGATCCAATGAAGTGTTCACATGCTGATCACGCGTGTTATCTTGATGATGATTGACGTTGTCATGCACAGACAGGGCCGGGTCACATGACGAACCACGTGACGTATAAAACGTATACGTATTTGACGTATAAGACTCTTTTGTCAGTCGTTTTATATTTCAACGTATTTAGATTACGATCACCCGGAGTGTCACGGCGCAAACGCTCAAAATACTTACAGACGCATACACAAGTCGTATTGTTCGCGGCCAATCCACGCTAAAAGATGTTATTGAGCGGTAATTTTCGAACGGATTGAGTCGCCAACGCTTGAAAGCCTTGAAAGCCATGAAAGCCTTGAATGCCTTGTATGCCAAGTATGCCAATGTCCTAGTTGAAAAACGTACACTTGTTGTAAAAAGCAAAATCTGAAACCAAACTGCATATACTCTATGCAATCTGTTGAACAACACTCTTACCGTGAGACTAAAGAACAAAACTCTAACGGATGTAAACTGATAGTGAAGAAAGACGGCATGTTGGATTCACTTGATGCCAGGGAACGTAGCTAAGATAACAGTGTACAGGGAACGAAATATGGTCGATTTACAACGATAAATATTTCGAAATATAAACATTTTTCTTATAAAATCAATAAAAATTACTCATACTCTGTGTATCCGTTGTAGTTTCTGGCGATTTCTGCCGTTTTAAGCTTGCTTTACCATTACTGTTATTCACGTCATCTACTTTTATTACGTTGATAAAATCTGTACAGACATCACACCAACCAACTCGCGCGCAAAGGAAGAAGACTATATTAAAGGCTTGAAATTATATTACGATCGATTTTCATCAAGAAATGGGCCAGGAATTTTCCACAATAGTGCAAATAATGGTGAAGGCTGATCGCGGAAAAGCGATTGCGTGACACTCGGTAAGCTGTAAGATGACATGTTATTATTTACCAGGCGTAAAAACTCTTCAGATTCTCCGTCTGCATTTTGTACCCACTCTGCAGTCTGCAGTCTATATTTTGTATCCGGTCTGCAGTCTGCTGTCTGCATTTTGTAGTAACAGGTGTCCGTGGCACCAATACAGTTTATTTTTGGTGACATTTATTCGCGCAACACACATAATTTACTACAAAATACCTGTGTGTGAGGTAATTCGACATTTTCGTTCTTTTCCGCGTTAATACTCTTCTTTCCTTTTGTAAGAATGTAGACCACTAACAATGTTTCAAGTAATCCACCCACCCTACAAAAAATAACTCTTGCATGCAGAGCATGCCTGTGTTTTGAAATAGGTGTATGCCCTTAGCCAGACTTGAGCTCACTATTTCAGTATACTAGTCCGACACTCATAGTATCACTACACTTGATTCCAAGGATCCAGTACCATCCAGGTATCCCAGTTACCCTGCTCACAGGGTCTAGTTAAGTCGAAATAAGCTTAATGTCAAGAATAAATAAGCGGATTACTACACCTACGACGAATTTTGTGGTCCGTTAAAAAAAGTACTTGGTTCAGTTACGTAGTTCAACGAAAGGTTAATTCTTTTTGCCTGCTAGGATTTCTTTTAACATTGAATACATTTTCAAGACATGCTGTACTCGACGAGGTGCACTTCTTGCGATTGTTCTGCAATCTAGCGAGTCCTTCGGAAAAACGTCACCGAGAGCAGAGCTAAGACACTATTCAGAAGCAAGTATTTTCTAGGTTTGAAATTCCCTTCGGTTCCATTTGACCGTGAGTACAGTTTAGAATTCTCGAAGAAAGCGTATTTTAGCCAAAGGCAGAAGATTGGTATTTGAACGGAGCGCAGCGAGATAAGGTAATATTCTTTCACGGGAAAATGATAAAAAAAAATAGGGTTAACAGATAACTTCCCATTTGTTTTTTCTCGCGCAAGTAACAAAAATGTTCTCTTCCCTGTCCCCATCCAATCGCACTTCAACCAGTCGGGGGAGGTGAGTATAGAAGAGGGTGTGAATGGGGTTAACCGACTAGCGACAAAGGGCGTGAAAAATTACTGACTACCGACGAAACGGGGAAAAAATTACCGACTAGCGACAAATAAATTCTAACCGACAACCGACATGGTCAGACGTGATAGGGATGTTTGTATTCAGAAAGAACAGCATTTTGATGATTTCTAGCTCAGAAAATCCTTCTTCACCCGACGTAACCACATTAATTCCAAATTTAGCCGAATTATAGAATTTCTCGTCTTCAAATTACTTTAAATCCACGGGATCCTTCTTTTCGGTGAGCAGCGTGGGCTCATTTCTAGAACAGCGGCTCGTAATCGGGCTGACAAGACGCCCTGCTGTCTCATTTCAAGAACAGCGGATCACAATCGAGCCGACGAGACGCCCTACTGTTGTCTTTTTATTGCTCGTTGTTTGTTCATGCGGTCGGGTCATGACTGGGATTGCTAAAGTCATCGTGAGTTTTTTTCGAAAAGGTGAAGAAGTCGCCATCGAACGTCATCGAAGCAGGGTCACAGTAGACAAAGAAGCTCATAGAGGAGTATCTGAACTAAAAAAACATCTTACGGAGTTTTTAGGCATAAAGGAGCAGGCACATCAATATGGAATTGGCGGATTTTCGTTAAAGTTATTTCGCCTGGCGAAATCGCCTGCGGGCAAATGCGAAAATTTTGCAATTGTGACGGATGGGCAATGGCAGCTTGAACTTCCAAATTTAATATCGGATGAAAGTAGCAGTGAGCTCAACGGTAAGTGTGGAACGCGTGCAGCGGAGGTTGATGAATCACTTTAGTTCTGTAGTTAAATATTAAGCTCAAATATTAACGTGGTTAAACTCTGGTTCCACCGTTTTTTGTTTGTTGTTTTGTGGAGCGGATGTTTTTTTTTTTTTTTTTCACCGTCCATTTGAATGCGAAAATTGAGAAGAAAAATCTCTACAAAGAAGTAGCGAGTAAATCAGTTTATAAGCTTTTTTCTGATTAATTGGTGAATGAACAACAGTGTAGCTTAACATATTAAAGACCCCGTTTATTTATACACGCCCTTAAATTTATTCGTTTCTGAAAACCAGACGTTCAAATAATATTCAATTCTCTCCTCGAGGGAAGCTACGCACGAGAGATTTCGCTCGATGTGCACGTTTTATACATATTCACGAGCATTTGCTGATAAGAACTGTGTAAGTTTCTCAGAAGTCACTAAAGAGAAAACTTAAAAAACACGGTATTTAATATTTTAGTACACATTATCCAAGAGGTCACAAACTGGACCGGAAAGCCAGTAGTGTTGCTGAAGGCGCCGGCTACGTCTGATAAAAGCAAGCAGAAGTCAATGAACGACACTGAGAAGAAAGGTGACGAGTCAAAAGTGAGAAGGAAACGGAAATCACGAGAAGAAGCAAAAGAAGATGAAAATCTGGCAAAGAGGATCATGATTGAAGGAGGTGACATCGAGAGAAACGAAAGGCAACAAGGAGACCTTCAAAAGTTTCAGGATGGTAGGGCTGAATTAGCACTTGTAGTTCGTTTACCTGATTTTCAAAAGTCATAAATTTCGCTACTTTGGAAATTCTGCGGTTTCCTTGTTTATAAACACTGCCTTGTTTATACAACGAAAAACGCTCACTCGGTGCGTTCGCTATGTAAAGATAGTTTCTTTTAAATTCCGGCTAAAAACTGTATTATTATCACTTTGATGGGCATTGTGGCGCATTTTGCGTGCTAAAATAAAGAATTTGCCGGGCTAAAATGTATTTTTAAAAATAAACCAAGACAACCAATGTTCGCGCCGTCTTCTTGTAGCGTTGGTAAAAGAAACCGTGGAGCTATTTTTAAAGCCCAAATCATGGCTGAAAACACAGAAAACAACAAAAAATTTGTAAATTCTCAATCTTCTCAGGTAGGGAAGAAGATCTTAAAAAGTTAGATGCTGATTCCATGGCCGATAGCGAAGTGCATGTAAGTTTTGCGGATTCAAGAAAAACAAACTCTGTTTAACCAATTATGCCAAACTTCAGTCTTGCAATTGCACAATTACTTTCAATGCTTACAAATAAGTTAATCCATTTTTTCTTTCACGTCTTTTACGATTCTTCACAACACACATAGGGGAAGATTTTGTAATTTTTAGCCAGCTTTGGTTGTTACCAAAGCTGGCTAGCTTTTAGCGTTGGTATTTTCATTGTGCGAAAATAAGAGCCCGGCATTCAAGTTATAAACGCTCGCTGTCAAGTTTTTTTTTTTTTCAGTTTTTTTTTTCTGAATACCCTCCAAAGTGATAATGATAGTAATAGAGTTTATGGGTTTCTCTTTGTAGGGGCAGGGCAAAACCTAGGGACAATTCAAAAGAAACTGAAGGATCGGATTGTTTTTTTCAACTCTGAAGGATTTGAATGGCAGTGTTGCATTAAGCGAAGTGCAAATCAAGTGTGGCATATGTTCAAAAAGCTATGCTTGTCGTCACACAGACAGGACATTTAATGGAAAAGTCAGCTACTTCAAAGCGAGTAAGTAATGATCACTTATCTTTACATATTTTATCAGACTTATGATAAATTAGCGTTCGTGACAGTCTTGCCTGTTAAGTCCTTTAACTATTTTAATAAATATTTTGTATTTTTATTCACACTTGAAAATGACCTCATAGAGGTCGAAACGTGACTTTTTAGCGTTAATTTTTATAAAATTTATGAAATTACTCATCCAGAATTGACGAAAAGTAGCTAAACTTAGAGAGATAAGAGACGAATAATCATCATCAAAGAATTACAATGGGAGCACTTATTGAAAAACGTCAACGAGACGACTTTTTTTAATACTGAAAGGTTAAAAGCGGCTGGAAACCGAGAGAGGGATGCTTAGAGCATGGAAATTCGTGATATCTAAACTAAATACTTAAATAATTACAGACCACTTCGACAAGTGTCTAAGCAGAAAGAACAAGAATGATGCCACTCTTAAGAGTCAAGGTCGCATGGATGCATTTCTGATGAAAGCCAGTAACTCGATATCATCCAAACAAAAGGCAGGAGATATTGCTAACAATGAGGCAGACATGAGCAAAGAGGACTTTGACGGCGCAGATGCCACATTGGCAGAGAAGTAGTTTCATTTCAGTTGCTTGTGTGATGAACAAATCAAGAGCTTTCAACGTCATAAAGTTAGAGTCGCGATAAACTGGCGTTGTGCGTATAGCTCCATAGATTAAATGACCTTGAAATGTACAAATTGTTCGGTTTGTTTACCCCAGTGCAAGAGACACGTAAGCCAATAAATGTTATTTTGGTTATTAGGTGTTTTTGGTTGTTTCTTATATTACTTCATTACAGATCATATCTTTGATTTGCCAATAAAATCGAGCCTAATTTTAGTATATTTCGGCTTGTTAGTGAATATAAAGACGAGTTATTCCCAGATGCCTTGGACTCTGATTACGACAAAGGCTGTTTAGCTGGCCCTCAGGGATCTGTACTGGACATCAGCGTCAAGGAGGACAATCCAAATTATGATGCCCCCGTAGTTTCAGATAATGATACAGATGCAAGTTCCGCTGGGAGTGAAACTGAGAGTGAAGATTCCGAGTTTATATCATGCCCTATGTAAGTGTATCTGCTTGCGCTCCATCCCTATGTTTTCAGTCTCAAGCTTTCCTACAATTTGTTACACTTTTTTTTCTTTCCCTATCTACCAGCTCACTAAATGACGCTCATCCACTGGCTGTGAAACTCAACAAGCTCATTGAAGATGGGAAGATACCAGAAAGTTGCATTTATTACAAGTTCCTCAATGATACAATGTCGTTTGCATTGACTGATCCCAAAACTGCGTCTGGCTTTAAATGGGATGACGAGGTATGTGAATTTTTCTCGACCATCAAATACCTTGGAGGTGAGAGAACAAGAAAGTTCGTCCGAGGGCCAGGCTTCTTCGGAACAGGGAGAGGCGGAGAAAAAGAATTCAAATCGTTCGCGGATTTTAACTTGTGTGGCCCCTCCTTAAACGCGACAAAACGATGCCAATCAGGCTACACAACAGAAAGTGGAATGATTAAGCCCCATTTGCAGTCACTCCATTCCCTGTGTCAACATCCAAAAGCAGATCTACATGCGATTGTTGATAACGAGAAGGTTCGCGCCATCCCAGTAGCTTTAGCAAGTGACGGCACGGCTCTGAAGCCAGGCCTAGAATACGACTCGCGTCAAAAACAAGTAATTGATCTTACACATAGAGTGGACGAGAAATTCGTGAAAAAGCATCCTCTTCCAGACCCTGAAAAGATAAAGACCAATCTAATCACCAACGCAGACGTAACAATTGCGACCTCGCCTGATAACGGTGCTGCGATGCCCGTGGCGGTTAACTTCCGACCCAAATCTGTGACTGGAGAAGAAATATTTTCTTGCATGGAAGATAGTATTAGAACCGTACAAACCTGTCAAAATTGCTTAAAAGGTCAGCGAAGTGTTAAACACATTGTGACGAGTGAAGCCTCAAATTGTTTAGCAATGAGCAAATGCGAAGAGTGCCTAAAAGAAAAATCGGTCTGTGCAAGCTGCAAGAACATGGGACAAGTTTCTCATCACCCTTCTTTAAGGGCATGTGATTCTTGCTCAGATAGAAACGTGACGTGCCAAAAGCTAGTTGTTATGGCAGTAGCAACCGACTGCGAGGAGTGCAACAAGAAGGCACTTGTTCGCTTAAGTGACATGGCAGATGGCAAGGAACTGCCACCAGAATTAAAATTGGTAGTTCCCTTGCCAGATGTCGTTCATATTGGAAAAAGCTTTAAGTGTAGCTGGTCGAACTGGTTTATCAACTTAGACGGTGAATTTAGCAATCTCGTGTTGCTTCGAAGCTTACGTGACAATGCGGAGGCGTTTATCAAAAAGAAGCTTCGAAAGTTGCTTTCACTTGAATGTGTTAGGAATAAAGACAGAATGGCTGTCGAACCCATTATTCGTTTAACACGAAGAGAAGTTCTCAAAGTGCTGGAGGACGTTAAGTTCGTTGTGCATACCATCGTACCAGAACAATACAGGTTTTGGAAAAGTAACCAACGTGGTGTATGCCCTCACCCGATCGCAGTTTCTGAAGGCCCAACAGGCTCGATCCTTGCGCTTGATTACAACTTTGAGACAGGTTTATCAAGACTCCTAACAATAAGATTGCACCAGCCAGCAGATGTCTCTGTTGTGCGAGATGGACTGAAGGATGCTAGGAACTTGTGCTTCATTGATGGGATTGCATTCTTGTGCGAAAGGGGAAAATCTACAATTTCTTTTGTCGACTTCGAGGGAAAAGTGAAGATAAGTACAAAGTCACTCAAGCGACGAGCTGAACTTCTGAGGCACTTAGAGGCACTATCTCTCCCAACGGATGGAACGGTTCCCGTTTTGCGCGAAAGACTTAAGGACCACTTGGGTGCCATTTCTAAGAACACGGACTGTGCAGAACACGTCCAGATGCATCCTAATCGTCTTTGTAAGCCTTCTGCTGTCTATGCTGCAAGTAATGATTTGTTATTTTGTAGTGATGACGAGAGTCAATATGTCTATCAGATAACATTGAAATTTGATGGAGTGACCATTTACGGCAATGCTACGAAATTCACTGCCTATCCATCCAGCATCATAAATCTTTTGTCTATTACTCTACTTGACCAATGCGCATTCTTCTCAGGAGCCTCGAGCCAAGGTGAGCTTTATAAATGTGAACTTAGCGCAAAGACAGTGACTAAAGCTGTATGCAACTCGACTCTTCCTTGCTCTGAGGTAAACCAAATATGCACCTTGAACGGGAGGGTAGTTTACACGGATACAAAGGCGGGAAAGGTTATGCAATACAACCCTGATGATAAATCGGTTAGGACTTTGGTAGGAAGTGGCTACAACAGTTCTTCCGATGGGACACAAGACTCATGCTCATTCAAACAAATCGAAGGGATATGCTCTGTAGACAAGAACTTGTTTGTTACAGATGTTTCCGCTGGAAAACTGAAGATAGTGACGAGCCTCTCAGAAACGGTATCTTTTCTGGGGATTCTTGGCTCCCTTTACGATACCTTTGGAATTCATTCTAAGGGTATGAAACCAGACGGAGTGTCCTTGAAACAAGCAAAAGAGAACGGGACAAAGATTGACAGCTATGTAAAAGACACTGTGAGTAAGGTGAAAGAACGCTACCAGTTGAGCGAGACGTCTGCAACCAATGGTCCACAGGGAACTGTATCACAGAAGACGCAAGTATCTGTGTCTTTGCTTAAAAAGGGCATAGAAAGGCTATACAAGAACGTGGTGGACATTAACCCCCAATTTGTAGATGATCTGCTGCTCGAAACGTTGCTCACAACAGTAGTGGAAAATTTGCACGCTGTTTCACACCTTAAACACGAGACATTTACGGTACTTACATATGCCCAGGATTTTGGAACAATTTGCAAGGAATCTCTGAAGCGCACATCTAGATGGGCAGCAAAGTACTACACGCATGACAAATCCTACTATCCGGTACCTAAATCCGCCATGCCCCTTTCTGCTATAGCTACGATGACACCTTTGCCAAGTGAGGACATAACACCAGGGATGGAAGGACAGATCAAAGAGTGGCTAGAGAGTTACAGACCAGTACGCCAACGGACAGTTAGGAGTGAGACCACAAAAGATAAGGCTGGGGCCTTGCCGCCAGCTGTCTACGCCGTTCACCACACCGACGAGTCTGAAGAGAGGCTTCGATATCCTGAAGAAAACACTGTATCGTCAGCAAATGCACAACGCGTTGTCAGCATACAATTTGTGGACGAAGGGGATGTTACTGAGGTGTTTGAGGATCACAGAGAAGTACAAATCGATGAGTATGAGACAGATTCGGATGACGAGGAATCAGATTTTGAAGAACATCCAGAGGTTGTCAACAGAGCGTGTGTTACCCGATCCGGCAGGGCTGTTCGTGCATTTGTGCGTCTCGACATGTAAGAGGTACTAACAGTTAAAAAATCCATTTAACAGTGCAGATTGATACGTATGACAACCAAATTTTTGGCAAAAAAAAAAGAGAAAAAAAAGAAACCTCGCAGAAAAGTCACGAGAGCCGTTGAATAATAAGTGTAGTGAGTTTTTGTGGACGTCTCGCAAAAAAGACTTCCGTAGCTTACAAATTAAAATTAGGTATCCCAGGGGCTAGAGTGGGTGTTCCATTCTTTGTAGAATTTACCTCACTTGGTTTACTTCGATGCCCCGTAGTCGACAGGAAACAAATTCACATCTATAATAAAAGCTTTGGTGAATTTTATCGGTATACTAGATTTGCAAACAAAAGTGGGGTAGATGAGCACGTTGCTAAATTAAAAAACAGCGTTAACGAGGTTTAAGTGAAAACAAATAATGAATTATTACAAGTATTACACTTTGTCTAGAGTTTAAAGTCTTAAAACTGGGCAAATTGCATAATACATGTGAATAATTAACGTGTATTTTTAATTATTAACTGAGATTTACCGACAACCGACAAAGGTCAAAAATCTTAACCGACAACCGACAAAGTAATGAAATTTTAACCGACAACCGACATTTTGACCCCCCCCATTCAGACCCTCATAGAATTGTGAACAAATCATCAGAAGGCTTGGTTACCTAATTGAGCCTGGTATCTAAGCTCCTTCAGAAAGTGATCCTTGAGGCATCCTTAGCATCATAGTTAGTAGAGGACTAACTAGGTTAGCATTCAGGAACTTGAGCCATCTGCGTCAGACACTCAAGGTGTTCGAGATGGAGTCAAACGTGAATGTTCTTTACGAATTTACTTTATACGTGACATTTGGTGAAGTGAAACTTATCGATTGCTGGAAGAAATTAGACCGATATTAACAATGGCGTGTTCGAGCGGATCCACTGCTACAACTAGCGAAGAGGAGAAGAAAGAACAGAGGCTTATTGATGCCATGTTTCTCTGTGACGAGTGGAAATCTTCGAAAGGTGGATTATCAACTTTCAATCGCGAGTTAGCTATTAATTTGGCAGAGACAACGACTGGTAGCATGAACATCCACTGCTATGTCTCGAGAAGCGATGATCAGGACAGAGAAGATGCTGAACGACATGGAGTGAATTTAATCACCGCTCAGACTGTTCCTGGATCGCGAGATCCCTTAGATTGGTTGAAAGTTCCACCTCCAGAGCTTCCGAATCCGCATATTGTGATCGGTCATGGCAGAAAACTTGGAACTCCAGCATGTCACATTGTACGAGGTACAAGATGTAAATGGGTTCAGTTCGTCCACGTCTTCTGCGAAGACCTTGGAAAGTTCAAAGAAACTACTGCCACGGCTGTTACAGATACGATCGAGGAGAACGAGGAGAAGCATAAGATGGAAATTGAGTTGTGTAAAGCAGCGGATGCAGTTGTCGCTGTCGGCTCACGTCTACAACAGAAGTACAGCAGAAGTCTACCAAATGTAGAGATCATCACCCCCGGAATCGTGGAAAAGTTTTGCAACGAATCAATAGAATCAAGAGAACATGCAGGTGTATTATCGAGGACGTTGAATGCCTTTAAGTCCTACATGTTCATTAAGACATTCAACGTCTTCATGTTTGGCCGAGCAACCTTTGAAGACCTTTCTTTAAAGGGTTATGATATAGTGGCAAATGCCATAGGTTCCCTTGGAGGGAAATTTGAGCTCACATTTGTTGGCTCTTCTCCTGGTGAGCACCGAAACGTGGAGCGATGGTTTCTCCTGAACACATGCATCAAACGCAAGCAGATAACGATTCGTGGTTATTGCACTGATCAGGATGAACTGAAAGGAATGTTTCACCAATCAGATCTAGTTGCTCTTCCTTCACGTACAGAAGGATTTGGGTTAGTTGGCCTCGAGGCCATTTCTTGTGGAGTTCCTATTCTTGTTTCTGGTGAATCTGGAGTAGCTGAAGCTTTGCAAAATGTAGAAGGTGGAAATGCTGTCATTGTTGGATCAGATGAAGATGAATGGGCACGGAGGATAAGAGAAGTTTCTAGCCAAAGTCCAGAAGAGAGACAAGCCAATGCCAAACAGCTCAGAGAGAACTACAGGAAGGTTTACTCTTGGAAAGCAGAATGTGAGAGGTTTAACAGGCTGATTGAAAATGTTGTGAAAACTGCAAATGGTGAGTCCACTTCTTTTAATTTTCTTTTCGTTCAGTACGTTTGCTGAAATGTTATGCTACATGTTGGAAGCTAAACCGTATGTGTAGACTGAGCTACATAAGGTAAACTGAGTACTGGTACATGTAGATAAACACAAGAACGAGTAAAGTGCACCTTTAGTCCTGAGTTGTTACATTTATCTAGACTTGTGGTTGGACTACAAGTGTTCAAGTGCACTGTCTTTTAGGATATTTATCTTGCACTAATCAGATTGCCTCGTAAAGGTATGTATCTTGCACCAATCATATTACAGCGTTAGGATATCTTACACCATTTACAGCATTTGGGTATTGTTTTCTTGCAAATTATGTCATCAAATCAGGGGACTGAACACAAAGGATGGTCTTAACCAGAAATTTTGGGCTCATTTGCCTTTGCCTTAAGGTTGAGATTTATCAGGATATGGAAGGATCACATTTGACTTTTTGTACCATTTTTAAGTTAAAATATGTTTTTTCCTTTCTTTTACTTATGATGCACATGCCAAACAACTCACGTTCCATCAAGTACCATGGAAATAATGTTTAAAGTCCAATCAGAACATACCCAATCATTGCACTACATGAACATTGTGTAATTTTTCATGTGCTTGAATTATACTCCACCAATCAAATTCCACTTTGCTCCATCATGTGTCATTTCCTCGTAAACAACCTGCATTTTATCACATATTCCAAATGCATTTTCCAACTCCACCAAAAAAAATTCTCACAGAACTAAATGGGACTGATGGTGAACTTTCCATGCAACTGCTATCATGGACTTAACCCAATCGCATGTCAATTCATTATAAACAACCTGCATTTCATCATGTATTTCACACACACAGGGCAAAGTCGGGATAGGCAACAATCAATCAAGGAGCCCTCTTTGAATTATTTTCCTTTTCTCTTGTTTAATGTATCCTAACTTATTCAGGATTATGATATATCTTTGGTGAGGGTCTATTGGAATTACAACAGAGTTTCAGTTTGCTTTTTTGTCATAAAATTAGGTGGAATTCTATTTTTTGGACAACTAACTGTAGATTAATAATTTTAATTTTCTCTATGTTAGAGGAACAGCAGAGAGAGTGGTCTCTTTTGCAGCCGTTATTTGGTGTCTTCACACAACATGCTCTCTTTCAAACGGGGAGTAGAGAGTGTTGTGTGATGGGACCAAACTATGGCTGTGAAGGAGACAACAGTAAGTGTGGCACGGATGCATTTCATTTTTGCTGATAAGTATTTGGACAATAGAGACAATAGATCACAAAATACCTGTGTGAGTTCAGATAAATTAGGTTTTTATTTTCTTTCTCTTAAGGTGAAGTAATGCAATATTTTTAGTTTTTTAAAAGTTATGCTCTTTTCCTGTTACAAAAATGAAAACATTAGTTACACAAAATGTCCCATCTTAATCCACCCAGCCAGAAAAATGACTCTTGCATGCTAGGCATGCCTATGTATCACCATGGTTAGGTCTGTTTAGATATTTCCATGTTTGAAAGTGTAATCTTTTAGATCCATCAGAATTTTGATTCTACTATTGAATGAGATAAAGATGCAAAAGAAACAGAAATTGAAGCTATATATATATATCCTGTATGTGGTAATCATTTTCATTTCATCAATATGTTGTTGGTATCTATTCATTGGTAACAAGCTCTATGTTTGATTGGTGTTGCCTCATTGTAATGTTCTCACATTTCAGTGGTTAATCAGGTAGGAGGTGGAAAAAACCTTGTTATATTAGGATTAAATTTGACTGTTACAATTTAACAGGTGGTGAAATGAATATTAAGGTTGATGTGGATGACTTGAAACCTGAAGAACAGAATATGCTGACTGGCATGTTGGCAACAGAGTCTGTCAGATGCCAAGAGGTTCAGCAGCCTAGAGCATCTGCTACATCAGCTGCATCTGGAAGTGTGTCCTATCCACAGATAGTAGATCTCCAGACTCTTAAAGAGGAAATCTTTCTATCAATTGTTAGAAATTATCTCCAGACCACACCACCATGTTCCAGTGAAGAGCACAATAGGTTTAAGGAGTATGTAAAAGAAATGAGGCTCATCATTACCGGTACCTCTGTAGGAAGTTTGGTGATAACGGTGAAGTGTGAATCTCTAATGATCTTGGAGGAGTTGTGGACAGATTACTCATCTGGTCATCTTGGTGAAGTGGTTCAGAATTGTTTTGTAACTGAAAAGATCTTGAAGGAACTAAACCTGGCTGAGCTGAGGCTGAAGACAACAATGGACATAGAAGAGTACAATGCGTGCAAAATGTTCTTTGAGAAAGATGCACTCAGAGGTTGGTAGAAAGAATCAAGATTGATGGAACTTGTCTCTGATTAAACTTAACCCTTTAACTCCCAGATCACATTTGTAATTTTCCTTACTGTCAACAAAACAAACTTTACAATGTTAGTTCAGAGAATTTAGTATTGGATCAACTAATTATCCCCAAATTGATATTTTTCTTTATTCTCATCACTTATTTGGTTGATATTGTATTGACATTGTAAGGAGAAATTCTCCCTTGGTCACTCATGAGAGTTAAAGAGTTATGCTGACTACTGTATGTAAACCATGCCAATGCAAGAAGTAATTTGTTTACAAGACATTTTATTTGATGTTTTGTTCTTCTCAAACATCCCTTCCCATGCAGTAACCTGTTATCTTTTCAACTAAGACATCTGGCTTGATATTATCCTCTCTATAGAGTTGTATTTGTCTTTCCTTAATTTATTAGATTACATCCATTAATCAAAGGTTAATTGGCAAGACTTCTAATGGAGGGGCTATGAAAGAAAATTTTACTCCTTTTTACATGTTGGGTGTTTTTAAAAATAGTGTGAAGTATGTTTATGGTTTAAAATGTTTGTCCTCTTGTAAATCTGATTTTAGATGCTTTATCCTCTGAATTCCACTCCACAAGTTCAACCAGTGAAAGTCCACAAAAAAAAGAACAATGGGAAAAAAGTGAACAGAAGACAAAGATAATGGAGACAACGGAATTGGAAGGTGAAAAGGAAATTAAAAAAACTTGTATTTAATTAAGTTATTGTGGAAAGTTGTTGTGAACAGTAATAACGATTATGTGATAAATGTTCAAAGAATTATCTCGTGTGGCATCAATTAATTAATATAATTGTACACAGTTCCACCTATGAGGACCAAACATATGAAGAGAGGCTGTGAATGCTAATCTCTCTCTGCATTTTTTACCTTTACACTGTATATGGAAATATAGAAACCTTAATGAAAAAGACTAAAGGCAGGTACATATAGAAACACAGCTAGACTGCATGGTTTATTTCTATAAATGTTTTGATATGGTTAAACTAGCAGTAATAATTCCCTTTTTCCTGCTTTCTTCCATCCTTGTAGATACATGCCGTGAAATGATACTTGTCTTGATATGATTAAAAACAATGCACCACTCATTCAACATGGTGCACCATAGGGTTAACAGAGGTGTAGAGGGGGGTCCAGGTTTTGACCAAGATATAACCAATTGTTTCATGACTAAGCTTATTTTGTATTTAGGATAAATTTCATGCATTTTATAGAGATGGTCACATGACTTGTTGGTTTGCCGTGTTATCATCTCTCAAATGAAAGTAACACCTTGAATACTAATATTGCTGTAAATAATGTAAAATACATAAATGTAAATTATTCCAAATATGATTGTGCCTCATTCTCTACTTATGTTAAAGGGACTTTGAGTTGGTTTGTGGAATGAAAACAATAATTGTACTGTATGAGTGTATTTCAAATGGATGTTTTGAACAGCTTTTTTAAATCTATCCTTATAGCTACAAGTTGGTATGCTTGTTTTTAACTATTTATCAGTAGCAATGCTAATCTCTCCATGTATAACTTTGTTTTTAGGCATGTTGCCTCTCCCTGGTTCTTCCACCTCTGATCCTGAAAAAGAACTAGAAGAGCAACAAATGAAACTTCAAAGAATGGAAGGTGAGTAAAAGATGCTGTTAAATTAACTTTAATAATAAAACTGAACTAAGCATGCTTTTAAATACAAGTAGTTCTCATTCAAAATATTTTTTTTGAAAGGAAATTACACCCAATGTAGTTTTCCATCACTCTGTGTTTTACTATAAGAGGGACTTGTAGCATGATCATCACGCCCATTCAGGGTTGTTCAGAAATATTTGAAAATATCTTGATCAGCAATGGACAGATTGTTTTCAAACTTGTCATTTTGCTTCTCTGATGATTGCAGTTTAATAAAAAATAACTGTGTTGCCTTTTGGAATAATGTAAGAATTGAAAAATATTAAAGATACTGGAAAATATACCCAAATTATAAATGTAACGCGTAACATCTCATTTGCATAAACCCGAAAATAAAGGTAAATTTCGTACTCAAAACAACATCAATTAGAAACTTCCATTATGCTCATTTATTGAGTAGGGCTTAAATACACCTTATGCCTAGAGACAGCGTTAAATGTTCGTTTTTAAAAGAACAGGAATAAAAAACTTGAAGACAGTCGCTGTTGTTTGCTTGTGTAACGCAGCAGATCCAACAGAGCTTTGCATGGTACATGTGCGGGTCTAGCATCTTGAATATACGCCTACAAAGAAAGTTGATTCGTCTGAGTAAGGTTCAAACACTTACTTACCCTCATCTAAACTAACTTTTAAAAAGAGCTAACTGCAAAGAAGAAATAAGTGATTTTTGGTTTCGGAAACGATGTTATTGTTTATTTTTAAACACGGAAAATCAAACACCACTTACCTGCAAAAATGCCCGTATTTCAGCTTTTACTTCACCTCGGCTGCTGAGACAACTCCCAAGCAAAGTTCATGTGTTGGACTACAAATCCCCAAAGTTTTACAGCCATACATACAATACAAACGAAGATATTCAAAGCAAACTAAATCGGAAACCTAAATTCACTCTCGCTTTGTGTTTATCAATGTGAAACGATCAAATTTCAAGCCCGCTCTACATTGAAATCCGCACAAATAGCGCTCGAAAAACGCTAAACTTCGCCTGATTTTCTAGTTGAAATCAAGCAACAAACATCGAAGGTCTCCTATGTAACATCTCCTCTATGTATGCAGGGAGTCCTTATGAATAATTCAGGGTAGGCAAGAAAACACGTGGATGTCTGACCGCCGCTAATTATTGCGACACGCGCGATTTGACAACAACAAACCAATTCGAAACAACAGCAAGATGAATAGAAAAAAGGAAAGCTCTTCGAATGCCGAAAAAATGAAGAAGTGGAGAGAACAAAAGTTAGAGAAGAAAAGAGAAGCAGACAGAAAGTACTACGAGCGAAATCGTGAGCGCAAAATTGCCGACGTGAAAGAGTACAAACGCAAAACGAAGCAGACAAATGTTGGCGTGACACGGCGGTCTCAGCTCGAGAAACAAAAGCAATTTGCAGCTAAAAAGAAAAAACAAGAGGAGAAAGATGCAAACGAGGAAAGAAGAGAAAAAATTCGGCAGCAAACCAGAGAAAGAGTAAGACGATTACGGGAGAAACGAAGGCAAGAAATACGCCAAAGTTCAGATGAGGATACTGCCAGTCCTTCCACACCCACTTTCCCGAACAGGATGGCAAAGAAAAGGGCACTGAAGAAAACGGTTGAAGCTATGCCAAAAACTCCGGAAAAAAAGGCGGAACTTTTTGAAGCGATTTCATCTAGTCCAAGGACAAGAAAAGTTCTTCAAAAGAAAGGCGTAATAAAATCCCCCGAAGAAATAAAAGAAACTGTGGCACTACGAGCCCTTGCGGCGGACATTTCGGAAGGAGCCGAACATGTTAAAAGGAGCCGCTCAAAGAACACACGAGCTGCGTATTCAGCATTTAAACATCTCGCCTTTGGTCAAAATGTTGCCAAAGCCAGTGCGAAAAAGACCCTTTCCACAATGGTAAATCTGGGACGGAAGAGCGTGGGAAAGGCAGTCAAAGAGCGCCAAAAAATATTATCGGGGGAGAAAAAGAGTTGGCTTTATCTAGAGCGGAGAACAAGAGGCGATGCAATTAGCCAAGAAGATAAGCGACTTGTTTTCAACTACTGGACGTATGAAGCCAGCAGACCGACAGGGGATAAAAAAGATATTCTAAGGAAAAGAACAGGGAAAAAAAAATACATTGAGCATGCCAAGCACGTCCTGGAAAAGACTCAAACGGAAGCGTTTTTGGAATTCCAGGCTATTCACCCTGATGTTAAAATCAAGCAGCGGAAGTTTGAATCGTTGAAGCCCTTTTTCATTCGTGCTGCAAAAGAACGAGACCGAAGATCGTGTCTTTGTAGAAAGCATGTTGAAGCCCAAATTTTTTTTAAGGACTGCATGAAATTCCGGAAAAATGTATCCAGAAAAAATGAAAGAAATGATGTGCCAATTCCCTCTTCTTTAACTGAGGTAGTTGAACTTACTCTGTGTGAAAAGCCAAATGAAGGAACTTACCACAAATTGAAATGCCTAAACAGGGAATGTGAGCACTGTGGTGTCGACAATTTTGAACTGCTGCCTGAAGAGCTTTCTGAAGACACTGAGGAACAAGTGATCTGGAAGCACTATGCGTATGTGGGAACTGGAAAGTTCTTGGCAAATGGGCAAGAGAAGAAAAAAATTGCTCTGATCACAAAACAAACAGCACCTAACGAATTGTTTAAATATTTTAAAGGTCTCCTCCAAGAATACCCTTATCATTCGTTTATGGCAAAGTGGCAAAGAGACCAAATGGACAACTTAATTGAACACCTTCCACTTAACGAGGTAGTGTGTGTTCATGATTATTCGGAAGGATACAGCTGCAGGCAACAGGACGAGCTTCAATCTGAGTACTTTGATGTGGCCAAAGTCTCCCTCCACATCACCATCCTATATCGTCACGCAGTGGAATTCGTAGATGGAAAGACGAGCACAGAAGACGACCCACAGATAATAAAGGAGCACCTGTTTGTGATCTCAGATGATGAAGTGCAAGACTATCACTCAGTGCACAAGGCACAGGAACTGGTGAAAAGTTACCTGGAAGAACAACTGCAGATGAAGATCAACAGACTGCACGAGTTCACAGACGGGTGTGCTGCCCAGTACAAGTCGCGACATTGTATTGGGGATCTTTCATGCTGTCTTTTCGACTACGGATACCAGATTCAGAGAAGTTACTTTGAAACCTCGCATGCAAAGGGTGAGCAGGATGCTGCTGGAGCCAATGTGAAGCAGAAGGTTAGTCAGGCTGTGCTGAGGAAAACAGCAGTGATCCGGAATGCCAAGGACATGACCGACTTCCTTGCTGTGAACTTTGCCACTCCATCAGCTTCTTCATTTGCTTCACGAGCTAAAGCAGTGGGACTGGCTCGTAGGGTTTTCTTTTATGTTTCTACGGAGGGTGAAGGTGCTGTTGTGAGACGCAGACCAGACAGAACTTTCAAGACACTCAAAGGCATCCGGAAGCTACACTGCGTCAAGACAACTGCAGAGCAGGGACGAGTGTTTGTCCGAAGCCGTACTTGTTATTGTATTGACTGTATTGGTGGTGACGAGGGGAAATGCAGTAATAAGGAGTGGATGGACGACTGGAAGGAGGTCATTCTCGAAAGGGAGTCATCTGTTTCTACAACCAGGCAAGCTGTCCAGGATACTGAAGCAACCCTTGGTGACACTGCAGTCAGAATTGCAGACCTCGCTGCTGAAGGTAGTGTAGTAGCCATTGCAGCAGCAGATGACCCCGACTTCGAATACTACCTTTTGAAAGTTACAAGCAATGGCTTGGTAGAACTGGAAGAGGCAGTCACAGATGACTACGGCTGCACCTTTCCAAGAGGATCAGTTGGACTAAGAGGCAACTTTTTTATCAGAGGCAACATCATTGACATGACATACAAACTTGATGTAAAAAAAAGTGCGTTTGTTTTGGCTGGCACTGTGCGGCATGTGTGTGGAGAACTAAAGAGAAAGAGGAATAACATTTACAAAGTCCCTGTAGATGTCAATGAAGAAATAATTGCTTCTTTGTAAATCTAGAGATAGTTGAAATATAATTTTTTTGTAACTCAGCCATTATGGCCAGTGAAATCTAGTGATACAGTCAAATGCCACACCCGCAAAGGATTGTGGGTAATCAGTAATTAAGCTTTAAAAACCGAACAAACATTGAAATCTTCACTAATTCTTTTTAGAACGTAAATTAGCAAGTATATCTAGCAAATAAAAGTATTTTTGGCATACTTTTTACATTTTCATGAAAATACCCTATGTTACACATTTGGGCATGATGATTGTGCTACAAGTCAGGATGTTAAGGTAGTAGAGGCGAGGTTGGTGAAACAGTGTTTAATGATAAAAAACTGACTGTGATGTAGTTTAGATAGATTTTGTACATCAAATACAATCTATCAATTACATGATGGTTTGACTTGTTATGATGCTATTAAAAGTAACACCATGAATTCCTCTTTGTACTTTTCCCCTTAAGGTTGACTCCCATCACTGTGGACACCCTCAGGGGGAGATTTAGTGTCTGAAATAGCAAAATGTTTGTAATAATGGGGTACAAGAGAAATATAAATTTGTTTTGTTTCTTAACATATGAAATAAAGTTTTCACAAACCATAAAAAGATCTGGCTGTAAGCAGAAAATTTCATATGTTCACACCCAATTGAAGAATGGTTTCTTTACTTCTCTTTTTCATAATGTTGGTTCATAGTATACTAGTCATGATTTTGGACAAAGTAAATAAGTGTCTGTTATAGCAAGAGAAAAAACAAGTGAAAAGTCATACTGGGGGGGGCAGGAAAGAGTCTGCATTATTGCAATAGCAAGAGTCTGTTATAGATGGAATTTATTTCAGTCATTTCTGTATGTGTTTCTCCAGGGGCTGGCTCTTGTCTGCAATGGCAAGGTGTCTGTAATAGTCAGGTGACCACAGGGCTAGAGTCAACTGTAGATTAATCCAAATTTGGCATTGTCTCATTCTCTACTTTAGCTAAAGATGGTA